CAAAGAATTCTCTGTTGTTGTTCGTCTTCAATTTCGGAATTGTGCGCAATTTGAGACAGTGTGTGTGTGTTTGTGTGTGGATTTGGGTAGGTTTGCATGTGTGTACATGACTTGGTGTACGCGAATGGGTGTGCGTTTCTTTTTGTGTACTAACATCCCCAAACACAGTGTCTAGGTGAAATTCAAAACCACCCAACAACAAAAATGCGATAAAATGAATACAGACAGAATGACAAGGGGACAACTCACAATATGCAAATGGATATTTTGAACATTGAAGGCAAATAATATTATTACCGTCAATGAAAGCCATGACGATGTGGTCGCTTTTTCCTCCGATTCCAATTTTTTTAATCTATCCGTCACCGGAAAGGTTGAATGCTTAGACATATAGCCGCTGTAGTACTTTTGGCACAATTGTTCTGGCTTAGAACGCAGGGATGGGAGGCCTGTGCCCCGTAGGTTGTCGTCTGATTTTTCAACCGAATATTATAACAGACTCTTTTGAATATCCTATCCGATCATAAGGCTTGTATTTCATTACTTCATCATTACCAGGTTTTAGAGGAACTTTTCGCATTTTGTCCTGTTACTCCTCTTTTGAGCATACGGCTTTCACAAAGCATCGACATCTTACTTAATTGATTGACTTTGTTTTTGCATCTTAAGGTTATTTAGTATTTGTTATTGTTCGTCGCCAAGGGTTTTAGGTCGACACCAATTTTGTGGTCTTTGGCAATGCCATTCAATCGGCATTCTAGTTCCAGGTACAATAACTCTATGTTACATAGGGTATTGGGCCAGAAACAACAACATTTTGTCAATTCAAATACATGTATGCAAAATTACAAGACTTTAACCCAGATAATATTCTGTTAATAAATAACTATTTTTGAAAAAATGGGTTTACCAAGATACAACAAAAAAATAAAATCATTTATAAAAGTTCACTGAAATAATGGTTATTTTGTAATAGTTGTATAAAAATTTTGGGTTAGCACTCATTTGCCAGCCGGTGGTTGATTACGACGTTTTTTCCAAAACAAACCATTTAACCACTTTTCAAAGGATTTGATATATATTTTTTATATGACAAAACCATCAATTTTTCCATTATTCGTTACCTTGTAGAAAACGTTTGTTATATGTGGTAGTCAGTGCAAAAATGCCAATATGTTGGCCATTCGTTATAACCCGAATTCGTTAAACTAAATACTCGTTATACCGTGCCTCGATTGTATCCTCAAACAAAAATATAATTGTATTGTAGTGCAGTATGCTAAATTTTTAATTTAATCGGTAACCAACCTATTAAGCATACGAAACTATTAACAAATAGAACGTCAAATGGCAAAGTATACTTAAGTTAATTTGCATTTTGGTTGTATTTAATAATATGCGTTTGTACAAATGTTTTATCATGTGTATGGATGTGGTTCATTCACGTACGCTCTCTCTCACACACACACACAACACCACCCAATGTTCTTTGTGTATTTTGTATCCAAAACAGCGGCAGTGCCAACAACAAAAATATAAACAAAAACAAGGAATCGAAGCAAAAAACAAACAAAAAAACGAACAAACAAAGCAAATGCAAAAAATAGGGGTATTTTGTTTGTCTTTTGTTTTGTGGCGGTATTCTTTGCTATTCTGTTTTTATCTTTTGTTTTCCTTTCGGTTTGTTTTGTTTGCCTTCGGAAGGAAATCATATGGTATGGATAGATGGATGGATGACTCGTTGGTCTTTGCCATTGAATAGGAATTTCGTATCAGATGTTTGTGTTTTTCCGCTTGGTTGGAATGAGAGAACTACTGAGAGTTGGAGAGTGAGAGAGGTCAATGGTTGTACAGTGGGTGTCATAAATCGGTGAATGATAAACTTAAAAATATAAATATCAAAACTTTTCTGTTTTTATATACATAAATAACAAAAATTGTTAAGTGGTTAATTAACACATTATTTTTATGGAATATTTTTATTTTACATATTGCAATTTGTTGATTGGAATATAGTTTAGTTTGTGTTTTTGTTCCAATGCAATATTGCCTACCAATCGATTTAAGTGCGTATTTTCTTTATACCGCAACAACAACAAAATGTTTATTTAGTATTTTCATTTGTTGTTATTTTGTTTTTGTTATCTTGCATACATGGCTATGTACATACATACATATATACATATGTACATGTACGTACCAATGACGCTCGCCCCTGCCACATTTATATTTATGAATAGTTTATAAATGTATTTATTGAACGACTGATATCATTCTGCACTTCATGCTTATCTAGAACCATGGAATTATAAAGATTAAATACCAGATGCAGCCATTGCAATGCCATGAAGAATTGCCGCACACAACCACCCACAGTGATTTTGTTGTAATATTTTTAAATGATCTTTGATATTTGAATTGAAAATTCGTTCATATTTGCCAATTTTCATCGGGAGAGCACATCAATTTTGCTGTTGGCGTAAAATGGGAAATATGTATGTACATATTTCCAATGAGCAAGATATGCACGTAGAATTAAAAATAATAATATATTAGAGGCAAATCTTTGATGCTATTGCTTTATATTTTAATAAATGGATAATTATTTCGAAATCCAAACCGATATAAAACTTAACGTTGATCTGACAAATGTAACGAAATGTACGCGAAATAGGGTGTCATAAATTTAATATAGCCGCCTTTTGGTCAAATAAATGAGCCAGATATGTTTTCATTCCAATTTCCCAATAAACGTTTAAACTTTAAAATAATTTTCCGTTTAAAATATTCGGTTTACATTTCAAAATACTCGGATTAGGATTTTTTGAAATACTCGCATTGTATATACCTATGTGATGTCTTTGGCAATATTACTGATAAAAACGGGTTATAACAAGTAGGAATATTCTACAAAAATGTTCGCTATAAAGTTTTAGTATAGGTCTCTCAAAAATCAGCCCAAACATCAAAAATCGTAAAAATATTAAATTTTATTTTTAAAATCGTTCTTATACCACCTTTTGTGCAATATGTCCTTTTAGAATAATGGTATCAAATACAAATACGAGGACAGTTCGGAAACAGGGTTCAAAAAAGACGCATCCGCATTTTTTTTACAATGAAAGCATGTATCTCTAATTTTTCCATTGTAAAACATTGCGGATGCGTCTTTTTTGAACATCTGTTTCTATATGAAGAAGTTGCTAGATTGAAACAAAATTTAACATGTGTTCATAAATGATATGGAAGTTTCCCAAACACTTTTTTCTGTTTATACCGCGCTGTTTGTGCTAGGCTAAGAACTTTCCGAACTGCCCTCGTATATTATCCATCAATAATATACATATATACAGAATATGTAGACGTCAATTTCAGACAAAAATATTAAAAAAGTTTAGTAATTTTTGCATAAAAATTTCTAAGTACTTTTTCAAACAAGCTCAAATGATGTTGAGTTACAATTGGATGTTTAAAATATATGACAGTATTTTCACACATACACATTATAGTAATATGTATGTCACATTATACGTACGTAAATTGTCAGTCCCATTGTAGAAATGTCAAATAAATTCTCATGAAGTATGTTAACTCGGTAAAATGTTCTAATCTAAATTCCGTTTAAGTCTAAACTAGGGTAGGGTAAAATAACTGTCCGAATCAAGTCAGTGTCCGTTTACCCCTTCGCCTGTTCTTTCCTGATAAAAGTGAAACACCTATTAATGCTATTTTTTCAAATTCCTTGTGATGTGTCGCGTGACTACTTAATAAACATTTCAACAAAACTAAAATCCTCTTCGGTATAGATTTTGAATGATTGTTGCTTCTTGTTTGTCTAACTCTAAACATTTTTGCTTTTTTACTTCTGATACTTCAAAAAAAAAATATATATATATCAAAAGCCATCAATGGGGGGGGGATTAAAATTATGATATATATGTATCGAATGTGGGAGTTCTCCCTTCATGGTAGATGATTTATAGATCCATAATTGTTTTCCATTTAATTTTTTTTCGTTCGTTTTCAACATTTGTAGAACACTTGTATCCAGTGTTTTATCTATCGAAATTCAATTCTAAACATAAGAAATTAAATAAACAAAAGTCTTTCGACATAATTAGTTATAGCTGAAATGTAAACATTCAACCAAACATAATAATATTTTAATGCAGGTGAATACTAAACCAACAGACGATGAGCAAACGAAAATAAAATAACTGTCATGTCAGGTTATGCAAACAAAATGATTAGGCATTTCTATGAAATTCTGAAATTTAAGCTGGCGCTACATTATTTTTCAACTGCCACATTTCCGATTATGTACAATTATTTTCAATAGTGCATTTGTGCAGAGCCACCCCCATAAGCTGTGGGATTTAGCAGTGCTCTTCAAATATCGCAGACAACGAACACCTCTGTTAATAAAATACATATATTTTTTATTAACACTACCACCTTAAAAAAAAAACTACAACAATTTATTTCATTTTCTTTTATTAAGAAAAAATATGATTAACATTTCAGTTAAAATGAGCACACATTTCAATTTCATATAAATCTTAACAAAAAAAGGAAATTTTGGATTTTTTTATTATTTTTCCTTTAATAGCTATTCTTTTCATGAAGAAAATGTGTGTGAAACTTTTCAAACTTTGTTTGTTAGCAATAATTCTGCCTAGCGTTTTGCTCCAGCACTGGAATACACGATACGACATTCGGGCATTTCATTGAAAGATCCTTCGTTTCGTTCTAAGCAGCATATTGTGTTTTGTTTTTTTTTTTTGCTTGGTTTTCGTTTTAGAATTTGCATTGGTGTTTGATTATAAAAATTGAATATGTGATTTATTTTTGTTTCAGTTTATTTTTAAAAATTAAAAAAAAATGCAAACTCATGTCGTATTTGCATATTTGCAGTGGGGGTTAGGGGATTATATTGTCTCGCCGATTAAACTCCAGCTTAATGTAATAGCATTGAACGTCTACAATTGAACTGTCTTCTCTTAAAAATAATCTAAAAATATATATTTTAAATATTCAATTATTAATTATTATGTTTTTTTTTAACAACAATAACAGTTAGTTAATAAGAATTAGTTTAAACACATGTATTTTTATTAATGTTTGTCCAACTTTTTTTTTTTTTTTTTGGAACGGCACTAACCACTTTTCGGAGCTTGTCCATACTTATAGTTGTTACTGTCTTTGCCCACATAAATATTGACGTCTGGCGTCTCCTTCATTGGAGCGTCACGCACATATGCTTTGCTGTTCATTTTCTGATATGGCATTCCGACTCTGCAACGATTGAAAACAACAAATATAACAACAACAATAATAATAAAAACACAATAATAGTAATAATAATATTTTGTAATTAAAATTGAAATATTTTGTAATTTAGAAGGTCTTGGATAAGTATGTTTGTATGTATGTTTGAAGTTGAATTCATAGAACCCCCATATATATAGAGGTCATTATCGAATTGAGTAACGGTCAAATAGAATATAATTTTAAATTCATTTGTGGTAGAAATAAATAAACATATATATATATATATATATATCGTCAGCTAAAATGCAAAAAGGCGTAACTAACAAAAAATTGAAAATTGACTTTTTGAATGAATATTGTGAATGTCAATAAACTACAAGTGTTGACAAAGTTTTACACGTCTGCGGTCAAAACAGGAGCTTCTATTAACAAAAAAACAAAAATACGTAACTACAAGTGGGTTTATTTAATAAATGCAAAAAGGCGTAACTAACAAAAAATTCACGTTTTTAAATAACTAAATTTGTTAAAAAATATAGTCTATTATTCGTCATATGCAATATCACCCTGCATGGCACACTTTTTCATTTCACATGACATGTTTATCGTTTTCATTCAAAACAGTTGTTTGCTTCTCCTACACAATTATATTTTTGTTAGTTACGCCTTTTTGCATTTTAGCTATATATATATATATATTCTTAAACTCCATTAAATGTTGTGGCAATTAAATAATCAGTTGAGAAGAAATACTTTTTGTAATTTGAATTGATTCTGCAAATGTCAAAAGGAAATGTTTAAAATAGGCAAAGATTCGGCATAATTTAATCCGAAGTAGACGTAATCAAATTATTGTTAAAAAATTGTCAATACAAATGCATGTTGTACATATGCCGATATTTTGATCGTTCTAGCAGCATTTTTCAAATTTAGTTATGTATTTCAAAATGTGCTTCAAAGGACCTCAAATTAATTTTCTTTATTTTGTAGAAAGGATACAAAACTAAGAGAATAGTGAACATTTTTTCCAAGAAAATTTTTCTTTTATTCGAAAAGTTATTATTTTTATTTTTTTCTTCGTATATTGGAACAAAATTATAGTACATAGGCAGATTCCGAATATTAACATTTTGATTTAAAATATCAATTTTATTAACATAAATTATCGTTGCTATCAAATAATCGTTTGAGGAACAAATATTAACAGAATTTTGACCAATTAAAAGAACATCATTTCGATTTTCTCTTTTTCCTTAAAATTTAAAACTACATTAAGGGCGGAAATATGGCGTACATAAAATAATAGATCATGGTTCAAAACTATATTCAATAGATATTTCCACATTACAAAATAACAACAACAGCAACAACAAACCAAAAGATTCCTGTTGACATTTTTTTGGGGTATGCAATGTCCTCTCTGAATACTTTTCTGTCTTAAGTTGTTTCCCCAAACGATAAATTCAATTCTAATTGTTTCTAATTAGATATGTAATAATAAATTAATTTACTTACATTCGTATCGAATTCATATCACTTGTACTGCGTTCCTTATCCATTGATTTCACCCGCAAATATTTATGTTTCACATCCACACCGGAGGTATATTCCTATAATAACCAAATACACACACACCCAATTAAAAATTGCAAACAACAAATAATCGTATTTGCGTGTAGAATAAATCCAACAACAACAACAAAAAAAACACTTCTGTCAACATCTCCGCAGTACTTACATCTCGCATCACATAGGTTATTTCCAAATTATTAACAAAACTGTCGAAAAATTCGGGATACAGATGTAATATATCCAGCAAGTCGTCTCGATGGATTTTATGTAGATCACAATATGTTAAGGCACGAACGTTGGCATTTGATTTGCCAATGTTGGGATAGATACAAGGATTCTCACCAAATATATCATCCTTTCCTAAAACAAAAATGAAATGTACAAAGCTGTGTATGTATGGGTGTGTGTGTGTGTGTGTCGGAGTGTAGGTAGGTGGGTGGGTGGGTGCTAGGGCTAGTTGGTGGAATCTGAATAATAGTAGATCTTGTTGCATATCCATTCATCCCACCATCCATCCAGTTTGCATGCCATTGCTTATTTCTATTTGGGCCAAAAACAATTTAGGAGTAGATGATGAGGAAGGAGCTTATGTAACGCAAACATCCACACCTGTTTTGGTAGTATTTCAATATCATATAATACAATGACACTACTACTAGTACTATACTAATGTGTTCATATAATTTCGATTATAACTTTAACACATATATTGTAAACAAAGAACAAATGTATATATACATATATGCTCAAAATAAATCTATAATAAAAACGATGTCTATCTAATGTTGTAACATTTTTAAATAAACAAAAAAAAAAACAAACAAATCATCGATTTGTGTCTAACATTGTTTTGCACATTTTACAATACAATTACAATTTGGCTTGGCCAAATATTACCCAGCATTTAAATACTTTTGTTTGTATGCATTTCCTCGAAACTTATACAGATTTCGAATTATTTTATAAAACAACACTTAAGATTTTAGTCATCATCGAACTCGTTGATAAAATTATTTATTTGAGTGCAATAATTTGTTTGTAAATGTAATTAAAAACCAATTGTTTAACATTGAAGTTTTCATTAGGACATAATATCAAATACCAGATATCATGTCCGATATGGAACATTTTCATGACAACGCACAATGTTAGTTCGTATATTAGTGGTCTATATTACTTTATGCAAACGATAATTCTCACTTCAAATTACGAAATATTAATTATAATTTAATTTACTAATACAAACGAACTCTTCTGACTCTATCAGATTAGATTAGTCCACATGTAAACTAGACTCACACCACTTCAAATATTATCAAGTATGCCAGTGTGATTAGGCCTAATGAAACAATCATTGTGGATGGCTATTGAATAATTATCAACGGATGGACAGACAGAATCAAGTGTTCGGTTGTGATAATGACGAACTTAGTAGGCAATCGCTTCTGGCAGTACTTATTGCCACTCTATTGTGAAGTGTCACTTTTACGAAATTAATAGCAATTCATTTCGATAAAACATCATTGTAGAAACGTCTAAGAATTTCAGAAGACAAGTATAATTGTTATATACAAGTTGTAGGTGTTACTCAAATATGTCGCAAATTCCTTTTGGCGATAAAAGCCATTGACGATAATAAGGAATTAATGACATCTTCATAGTTCTGGAAAAATGAAGATTTATTTCCGTCATTCCAAATACATAGCCCTTTTTGCGAAACTTTAATAAATTACCACAAGGTGGTTATTCCACTACTCTTAAAAAATATCGCTGAAAATTTTTTAGAATTTTTTTTCATCAGAAAAAGACTATGTTTGTGTATTTGAAGTGTGGTTGGTTTTCTTCTTCAAGAAATTGATATGTATAAGACGAACACGTTGAAAATACGTAAATTTTGAACCCATACTAAATAGATTAATTTTGTTATTTTAAAATAGTCAGAGAATCAGCTTCAAAGGACACCGAAAAACTTTTTTTAGGATACGAAACTTTGAGAAACCTGCGAAATATTTTTCAGAAAATTTCTCCTTTTGCAAAAAGTTACTATCTCTATTTTCCTCCAAATTAATAGTAAATAGACAAATTCCGATTATTAAAATTTTTAATTTAAAATATCATAACTTGTTAATGTTCTCAAATAATCGTGTGTTGAACAAACGATTGCCTAATTGGAACCAATCGAATTCGTAAACTTAATTTAATAAAAAAAAACAAAGTAAATCATTACGATTTTCAATTTTTCTTTATGGGAATGGGAATCGTTTTATTTATTATTTGTTTTTAATTTTCCCAAAATGTTCCTCTGTTACTAATTTTCCCATTTAAAAATTTTAAAAAGATTCTTCATTTGATGTACGAAAAATATTCATATAAGAAAAAATAAATGTTGTTGACACACATTTAAGCGATTGCAACTCATCAAGTTAAGTTTTCAGATATGTCTCGCAAAATAGCAAATAATATTAACATGCAATTTTTACAAAGGCTTAAACACATCATCTACACCTAAATATCCGTATTTCGGTATATCAATCCGAACCTGGTGGGAATCACTTTTTAGTTAGTGAATTTTCACTCTCAAAATATGAAAATTATTCACCAAACAAAGACTTCTCTCCAAGAGAAATGCAGATTTCATGGACATCGTTTCAATTTGATTCATGCCCATTTTAACATTTAGTTCAAAACATTTTCAAAAATACGTATTCCGATTTTATATCGCAACAAAATAAACGTCTATAAATTCTACAACAAAACAACGAGATTAACACTAACATCGAATAACAACAACGATAAACAACATTCATAGCCGCGCAGCATTCATTATCATCGTCGTCGTCAGGATGCAATTTTTAGAGCCCGTTTATTTCTACATCATCAACAACAACTACTAGAATTCTTTTTAAACAGGGAGAGGCACGGAGTTTTTGGATCCAGCCCTTCGGTTACTTACCCAATATGACTACGGTTGTATTTTCTCTTTGAATTTCTATCGATCCTCTAGCTATAAAAAATAACGATGTCAAGACATCGCCCTTGTGTACCAGAACATCACCGGGCGGGGCATGGGTAGTTTTGAATTTCAACGATAGAGCTCTGTGTTGTTCGTTTTTGAGTTATTTGAGGGTGGTGGCAAAATAGAAATCAGAAAAAAACACACATTTACACAAATGTTTCGAAAATTGTTAATTTGTTATTAGATTCTTTTTTGTTGCACACCTTAGACAGCCCGGACTGGCGCCAGCAAAGGCTGGACAGTTTTGCAAGAGTTTACGATTCAAGTGTAAACATATATCGGCCTGCAGGCATTCGGGAAATCCTTTCAGCACCGAATTCATATCAATGCCATTCGTATAGGTCCAGGCATGTTGGAAATACTCTTCTAGGCGTTGACGCAAGGGATTTGGTATCTTTGATGTCACAGTTCGGGGGATGTGTGCGGGTGGGTGTGTGGTATTGTTTCGATTCGTTCGTTTCGTTTTTCAATTTCAATTGGATTTTGTGTTCGATTTTGTTATTTTTTTTTTTTTTTTTTTTGGAGGGGGGTTACGTGTGGTGGTGGTGGTCGTGTTGTGGCGTTGTGTTTTCGTTATGCAGGACATACGCAATATGAAATAAAAATAATTTGTTGTTGTAATTGTTTTAAGCTGAAACATGATCTCAAGACAATTTGTATGATTTACCTGGTGGAACCTTATAAATTCTCTTACTCTTAACATTTGTGTATGATAACGAGCTGTACCCGAATACAATCTTTGTATAATAGCAGAGACGTTACCGAATATACTAGCATACATTAAAGCTGAAATTATATTCGAACATGAATACAATTGTGTGTTGCATGGATCAGTCACAAACATGAACAGAAAGTAAACTTACAGCCCACCAACATCACACAAATGGTGAAAATCTTTTCAGCATCAGTATTGGGCGCCACATTGCCGAAACCCACCGATGTCAACGAGGTGAACGTAAAATATAAAGCGGTTATATAACGGGACTGTAAAAACAGATTAGAATAACATAACATGCAGGCAGAGAGGTAGAGAGAGAGAGAGAAGAAGAGATCGGGAAGAAAACAGAAATTGTTGATTAGAGATCGTATGACCCACTCCAAGAGGATATAAGCTCCTCTGCTTATATATTTTCATTCAGCCATGTATGTATGTATGGGTGTATCGTATGGAGAAAGAAACAAATCAAAACCAAACAAGACACTTTACCTTGATAGATGGACCTCCGGTCTTATTTTCAAAATAAGGCTCATCAATATCATTGCCCAACGTATGTAACCACCCTATATTCTTTGTGAGCATAATGCGTTCAGCATTGCCAATGGCATACCTGATGGGAGGAACGAGACAAGAAGAAGAATAAGAAGATGGGACACATGAAAAACAAATCAAAATTCATATTTTTCACTCGGTATTCAGTTTGTCTTTTGATATTCATTTTAGTTTTTTTTTTTTTAGTTTTAAGTTTGGCCTTTTGGCATATTCGTAATAGGAAGATAAACATCGAGAAACACATACAAATGATAATAACAACAACAAGAACAGCAACATTAAGTTTTTCTATTTTGCTTTTTTTTTAATTTTTTATTTCAACTACAGACATACATACACACACGCATTCGTTTTTGTTTAATGTCCTCATTGGAGGGGTGGTTATATGGATATTCCTAGAAAAGATCGAGGCTGTTGTAGCTAATAGCAACAACAACAACAACAGAGATTAAAAAGGAAATGCAAATAAACAACTAAATCAATTTTTTATACAGTGTGCAATCGCTAAAACGATTTAAATTCATATCATTCCCAAAATGAGATACTGCTTCGAGAAGAAGAAAAAGAAGTTCAACTAAATTCTATATCTAGGTAGATGCATATGTCGATATTTTCTTGGTGGATTCGAACGTTATTGATTATGGGAGAATATGATTCAACTTGAAGTTCGGAAATATTGCATTCTTTCAAAAGCCTTTGTTTTGGCAAACATGTATGAAAATAGGGCGTGTTATTTATTTTACGTAAGTAAAATTCCTGTTGAGTATTTTTTATTGAGTTAGGGTTTGGATTAACTAAAATTGTTCTTGTATTCTTTTTTATTTTCTTATTTTTATTGATGTGAATAAAAAGACAATTGTCGAGAGTATAGGACAGATTGAAAACCATTTAGATGGTGGGTGGTGAAACTACAAATATTACTTTTAGGTGGTTGTAGATGACTTTTGTATATAGATTGAAATACACTCAATTTAAATATGTAAATATAACGAAACGATAAAACGATTTTCTTAGTAAAACCTCCACCATATATCTAATATGTGAATTGAGATCGGAATGATTATTGAAATTTTATTATACCAACTAATGAATAATCTCAATGGGAAGATTCGAGGTAGAGAATCCACACTGTATAAGCACAAAAAAATTGTTCGGTTAAAGAAAAAATAGATGAAATTCAGCAAAAACTAATAAATATATTTTTTTATTTTATTACCACACACTATACGTTGTTATTATTGTCGTTTTGCATACACAGTGCAACGAACGTTTAAGGATTTCAACCAAATCCATTTCACTTCATCGAAATAAATCTGAAGAGTATTTGTTCATAATTAAATACTTAATTTCACATGAAACTATTTCGGACTAAATCAACTGTAAGAGATGAAATGTACGTAATACCCTTTCAAAAAATATGTATGTATTCAAAAAGAAAGGTATGGTCCACCGATATGTTCTAAATGCGGAATGTAAAGGCAATTTTAGTATAAAATAGTTCGTATAATTCTATCATTTGAGAAGAGATTAGACCTCATATTATATTCAAATAAATATATTCAAATAAAATGTGCACATTTGTGGGCGATCGTTATAAATGCTTCCACATAAATTAAAGATGTTCAGGACATTATTTATAAATAGTTTCTGGGTATAAAAATCAAGTCCATTGTGTGAAATTCGTTTCAGATAATTTGGAGTTGATTTAGGTCGGTTTAAGGTCTATCCATTCGCATGCTGGCAGGTTGGTCCAACATTTTTACATCATAATATTCTAACCAGACTTAAAAATCAAGATGCAAAATTAGAATCCAACCAAGGTTATATACCTCATATGAAGCGGATTGAGTATCCGACATGGTCCAAACTTTGTGCTGCTATTTTTACCAGTCCACTACACCTAATTTATTATTTTTTAAAATTTTGAATATAATAATTGGTGGTCCTCATATTTTCCATATTATTTTTTGAAAACCAAATGGTTGAATACAAAGTTTTTCAATTTATTTATAAAATTTTCAATTAATTTGGAGTTTAATGTTTCACATTTATAACGATGTTCACACACGCAACAGTTTTTTTGATTAATAAAAACTGGAGATTTGATATTATCAATAAATAATCTGAAACATATACAGCTTTTTGTTTGTGTAAAGTTTAATATTAATAAATATTTTCTTAAATTTTATAATTATTTTTTTTTTGTATGGATATTCTTTAAATGTTTGCAATTGTAAATATTATTAAGCTTTTGCGAAACTTTATGTTATCATTAGTATTATTAATTACAGTTATATATAAAATTGGTAATTATTAAGTTTTTGAAAAGTTATATTATTGTAAGCTAATTTGTAAAAAATTTTTAAACGTTAGTAATATAAAAAATTGTCAAAATTATTAAATTAAATGCAAAAGCGAAATATAAACATAACTTTGCTAGTTAAGCGACAAAAGCTTTTTTGTTTTTATGTATTTATTTATTTTTATTAATTGCAAGGGGCGTTTATATTTGTTGACTGCTTTGCGTAAATGGTGCGGTAAAGGTGTGCATATAAATGTTTTCGATGTCCGAATGTGCAATATACTAGATATTTTATTATTTCTATTCCCTTGATCCTGTTTTTCCTTTGTAGTTTATGTGTTTCCAAAACTCAATCCAAAAATTGAGGAGATACATGTAAGGGAAGTAACGAGGACTCGTCAGTTATTTTTATGCTACTCTGCACTATCTGCTAAAGTATAAATTTTAAAAGAGTTCCATAATTTTTATCTGTGTGTGTAACTGTTATATCGTGGAGTTTATAAACAATTTTAAATATTATTTTTGTATAGTTCAGGACATGCAATTTAGTGAAAAGTTAATGTGGTCATATGACGATCTTGAATACGCTATTTTAGCATGAGATACAGAAATTGAAGAATTTTGAAAATACGACGTAATTCTGAATATCGTTCTTCAAATAACAGACCAAAAATGAACGGTAGAGGATGTTTTTAAATCTATTCATAATCAGGGAAACATTCTGAAATATTTACAACAAGGGCACAAACAGTTGGATATAAAATACCCAAACATGTAGCAAAGCTCCTTCACTTAACTATGTTCATTTTAAAATTTTAGCCCAAAGGTCTTACTTGAGGTTTGAGACATAACACGAACCACTACTGGATATTGTATTGTATGTGAAATGTGTTTCCTTTCATCCTTACAATACACACAAACGAACCAACTTTAATTTGCGTATAACACCGCGATGGCATCAAAATAAAATTTCGATATAGAAAACTTCAATCTTTAATTGAATAAGACAACATCTAGAGAGAGAAACCCAAATATGCTGAGCATATTCTCGAATTCACTTTCACCTTTGCTCGTGACACTGGATCGTATAGCCGGCCGGTTGGAAAAAGAAGGGGAACGGAAAAAGGTTAAAGTGAATTTAAAAATATGGCAAACTAAAGGATATTTCAACTTTCACTATATCGTGGAATGCTGACCATAGGCGTGTAAATTTACTCTAACAGCATTTGTTTGCTTCACGCAAAGGTGGAAACATGCAACCACTCCCTTTGGTGCTGCACTGCTGAATAAAACAAAAACACACACATCATTAAAAATTATCATTTCAGTATTTCAAGATCTAAGTACATGTGGGGTTATACACTTTCGGCATTTAACAATCCTGGAGTGGGGACATGTGGCTTCTTTTGTAAAGTGGAATAGAATTATCAGAAATTCAAACTACAGGTATCCAAGCAATACATATTTACACTTTAGGTTCCGTGACATTTTCACAAGTAGGAACACTTTTTTGAACGTACAGATAGATAGATATCTTACATTATCGATAAGCAGGATTAAAAAGGGATTAGAAATAATTACGGGATCGAAATCAAATATGTGGAGCAAGCAATACTACAATAAAAATACGCAACGCTGTGACAAATGTTTCTGTTTTATCATAAACAAATTACCTTTTTATCCGGTCAAATCTCCAACGTTTCTTGTGAAAATTTTTATTACAACTTTTTTTTTTGTCTCGTTAAATTGTCAAATATAATATTTACACAAAATAATAAAATAAATGTACACAGGTATATGAAATCCCCATTAACCAAATGACAATAATCCTATCCTCCCAATGTCATTAACTCCTTCGTGACTAGCTACAACTAAAAACTGATAATAGACCCTTGGTGGCACTTTAGAGATGTCGTTGTTCACTCTGATCACCATCCATCCACCATCGGTGGAAACGTTGACAGTAAAATTTCAACTGTCATTTTGTGTTATGGAAACATTTGCAAGACTTAACATGCATGTCGTGTTTGCGGAGTAGCAGATACGGATTGTTTTGCAGAAGTATTTTCACAAATATATTTATTTTTCTAGCTTTACGATTTACACGCAGAAACAAAAATCGATAAAATATGAAGAATAAAGTTAAATCTAATTGGAAATTGTTGGATCATGGCCGATACAAGGCTCATGTAATAAGTCAATCAGAAAGCAGTCGAAATCATCCATTCTAAATGTAATATCCCTGTCTTTTCAAATTTCTATTTACGTTTTAATTTTTGTTAATAAAATATAGAAGACATTTCTGTGATGTCATCCGGTCTCACTGTTCGACCTTATAAATAGGCCTTTTAATATAGTCGACTTGTTACTTCATTTTTATCGATGTTTTCCTTCTGTGTGTGTATGTATGTAAATAGTTCGAGCAGAATTTGGTTGGTCATCAATTCCGTTAAATACTTAATATTGTTGCACTGTGTTTCTTGGTATCGATGTAAAAAAAAACTATCTGATTTTTGACAAATACTGAGCATACACCTTATCACCATCACCAGAGTAAAATATTTGACGAATATGATATTAGGTTCTCCTACATACGAGGTTCATTCAATAAATGTGTGAAACCAAACAAGTAAAGGATTACAAAAATATGATTACCAAAAATAACCCAAAAAATACATAAGTAGCAAAAAATAAAAATTCACGAAATTGTTGAACAAACCTCGTTAAACGTTTACACACATATACAAATTTAAATAATAACTTCATATTATTTCAAAAATATAATCAAATTTAAGACGTGTTCCAATAAAAACATGGACCATAAAAAACAAATTAAAAAAAATTGAAATCGAAGTGTGGTAGTAGTGGTGATGGTGTTGGCTGCATTAGTAAAAAATATTTAAATGTATATTACACACATAACTTTTTTTACACTATTTAAATATGTACAATGTGGTCCAAAATGCCACACACACTCAAAGCTAGAAAATTAGTAGAAGAAATAATCACTAAATGTCTCCAATAACCTGGTTCACACACACCTCGTAACAAATGGTCAATTTATTTAGGGCATCTGGCCACATATCAAATTATGTGTATTGTCATGTTTAAGATGTTAGCCTAAATTCGTTCGTCGTTCAACTTTTGATATGTGAAGATGCAGCGGAAATCAATCGACACTTTGCGACATGAGGTGGATGGGCCTGGCTCGAGACCATCGACCGCGGTTTGTGTAACAAAAAAACATTACCATATGCAAGCCAGCCAGTGTGCAATGAGAACAAATGTGGCCATAAGCAGTACCAAGACAGCAGCTCCATATTCCGAATAACGATCAATTTTCCGTGCGACCCTCACCAGCCGCAGCAGACGGGCTGTTTTCAAAAGACCAATCAGAGTTGTTGTCTGGGTAATAAAAGATAAGACAAAGTGACATTCAGTTACATTTCTGGAAATAGATTCGGGGCATGCATCAACTAAATAAGGACTCTTCGCCATCAACCAAAGCTCCTAGGCATTCTATACAGTTATTGTAATAATAGTTATAATTTAATAATGACAGAGGAAACCACCTTTTGTTGTCATCAATGTGCGGCGAGGTGTCTTCACAAATAAAACCAAAATCAAAACAAACAACAAAAGAAATAATTTGTCACTACATATGTATGTATTATGTATTTAAAAGGCACACACATATGTATGTACTATGTACTTACATCGCACATATGTATGTCTGCCATTGTGGTGGTACAGGTGGTTTTCATATAATTTTTTTTCTTATTTTTTTGCTAGGCTCAACTAAAACTTTACAAGAAATTAAATCTAGTTTTAAACTAATTTTGTATTCAATTTTGTTGTTGTTGTTTTCTTTTTTACCGATTATCAAGTAGTTTTGGGCTTATTTTTAATTCATGTCTATAAAATTGTGTTTTCAACTAAAAAAAAAAAAAACAAAAACAGTTTTCAACTAAATCGTTTTTAAAAAGCATCTAAACAACACTCGAGTCCCAAAAAAATGGACACTAGGAAAACATAATCAAAAAACTAGACGAAGAAGAAAGCATTGAAGAACTTGTGGAAATCCAAAAACGAACGAACTAAAGAAAAAAAAAACAAAATTCAAAACTCAAAATTACACTCTCAGTATTTAATCGAATCGAAACGAAGATACACATACACAGAACCAAAAAGGAAAGAAAATTGAACAAAGGTGTTGTTAACACAGGTGGAGAAAGAGAATCAGAACGAAAACTGAAAACTGAACTAAACTAAAATAGAACGACACTAAATCTTTTCATGACATATTTATAATTGGACTTTGAAAAGCGGAAAGCCCTATGGCGGCTTTCCATTATTTATAAAAGTAACATTTTTACAAATCTAATTTCACTAAATTTAAATTTCATACGAATCGAGATAACGCAAATTACTCACACACACACACGCGCTCCTATATAAACGATATGTATGTGTATGCATATGTAAATGGACTCTTTATTTTGGGTTTTTTATTTATTTATTTATTTGGTATTGTTTTTGTTTGGCAAATATTCAAACTACATACTCCCTTTGCAATTTGTTAAGAGTTGTTTTTTATTTACTAAGGCGGATGTAGGTTTAGTGGGTGGGGTTAATAGAACAAGAAGAAGAAGAATAAGGTGGTTAGTTGAAAGAACTTTAGAACCTGTACAGGCCTGTAAATATATCAAAGAAACCAAAACAAACAAAAAATGGAATTAAAGCACAACGATGTGTAACGTGTAAAGGCGGGTCGGTCATTCGTACAGAACAAAATTTCCATGTCACATTTTCAAAGGCCCTCTAAGCAACAAAAAAAACTTTTCTGACATTTGTTCAAAAATTATTTCTTGATCCCTTCAAAGTCCACGAACAAAATCAAAATGTTCTATTTGACAAAATCCTTCCAAATTCTTCATAACTAGTTTGTTATTTTTCAAAATTGCACAGCTTAACGAATTCGTTTGAGCAAATTATCATTTGAAAATAGAAAATTTCGAGAATATTGTGGTAACTCATTCGTAACACAATTCCCTCAAATTTGATATTCGGACTGCAAAAAATCATCGACCTATATTTTATATTAAGTATATGTATTAAGTATTTTATATATTAATTAATTAGGAATACTGTCAAATATTGACAATTTAATCAATAATAACCAATTTAAATAAACATACTTTTAAAACACACACACACACAATATACAAATATCGTAAAACAGTTTTCTTTTATGCTTAGAAAGGAATATTGAAAATGCCACATAATTTATTTGCTCTGATTGAAATAAGAAAAATAATTTGACCCATCTTTACATTTTGTATAATTTAATTTGATTTAAATTTATAGAAGAAAAAAGTTAGAAGTTAATACTTAAAAAAATTATAACAGAAAATATCGATATATCGAAAAAGAAAATTATTGACATTTTATCGCCGGTTTAATGATTGAAAGATTTGAATGGAGGGCGAATTAAAAAAAAAATTACATCGTAAACAAACTTATAAAAATTATTGAAATTAGAAATGCAAATGTAACATTTTCAGGGATTAAGTTGTCCTTTATCGAACATCAATTACTAATCTATTTTTAAATCTATATCACTATCTGGAGGACTACAGAAGAGAAAAAAACATGCTTTCTTAATAAATGTTTACCTTTTTTGTTCATACAAGATAATTTTCATAGTTCTCTCTATAATTTAAAAAATTTTGGTAGAAAAAATCACATAAATGCAATAACTTTTCATAAAGTTTGGCACTAATGGCAAGTGGCACAGTGGTTCCGTGTAAAGCTTATTTGTTTCATGTAGCCTTAATTAACCATAACAACAGAAATTCCTAACCTAACTAAGAACTATGAAATACATTAAGACATTACTGTTTTCTTGGGTCATATTTCCATAAAAAGTTTAGAAAACTTCGGTTATTAGGAATATCTATTTGCCACATATATACAGATCATTTTTGTTGCAGGGAAGTCTAGAATATTGGTACCTCAAGTACTCGTATTAGCAGAAACTCCGAATTAGTGCTGAAGAATTTGAAATAAATTTAATATTCCATTAAAAACTTGCTCATGAAGACCTGTCTAATTCTTTCCTATTTGGTTTCTATCAATATTCTACCTTAAGTTAATTAAGATATGGAGTATTTAAACACAGTTATATGAGTCGAATAATCGAAAAGCCGAAAAAACGTTTTTCTAGAGTAGTCTACATCGTAACGAGTAAATTGTCCTTTTTTTCAATATACGATTAAACTGAGTGGTTTTCGAGTTGCCCGTTTTAAAGAAAGAAATGATAAATGACCTTCGAAACATTTGTTGATGTGCCAGCCGCTAAGATATTGCATTTAATTTGTTTTTACTGCAAATCACATTGTCCTTGCTAATGACCAAATTAGGTTCCCTATATAGCTCAGATACAGCGTTTTTTTTTTCAATTTGCAAAATAATTAAGCATAAACATTGAAGGGATTGATAATAAATGACAAAACATAACTATATAATAAAAAAATAAAAATTTTGAGATCATTTTTAACTGTTTGTAGTGCAATTATCGATAACTTTTAATTTCTATTTGCAGTAAATAGCAAAATTTGTCGGTAAGTTAACTGACAGAATGAAGTAGTCGCTTAAACTACTTGCCGATGGCAACTTTATTGTAAACTTTAATTTTGAATTTAAGTTTGAACATATTTTTAATTTTGTCGACTTTCGCTCGACCAACGTTTGAAAAATATCTCTCTGCAACTCACGTTTTAATCCAATTCTGAAGAATTATTTATAATTCATTTACATAAACAGACAACATTCAGTAAGGTTTTGCAAAATATTCCGAAATTTCACCTAAAATCCTTCAAATTAATTTTTTGTAATTATTAAAGAAAAAATGCATAAAATAAGTTTGTAGACTTTGGTCAAAATTGTAACAGTGCTTGTTGAATAACAAAAATACAACTCTGTTGTAATGCTTGTTATGTTTTAATTTACAACGACTGTGACATACAAATAATAGGTATATTCCTTTACTCAATAGTTTGTACAAATTATTACTGAATGTTGCTCGTTTGCGTAAAAGTCCAGTAAAGAGAGAGAGAGAGACTTGCGGTAGCCGATTTAACAGTTATGTCATTGAGTATTTACAAATTCCTACAAGGAACATTTACTCAGTAACGTATTTTTGGTCAGCTGTTTTGGGAATTGACATTTAAGAACGATTGGATATCGTACATCTATGGCAGATATGAATGACAGGTCGGCTACAATTAGAATTTTTTGTTTCATGTTGGGTTGGCAAATCTATAATATTTTAAACAATTACTGGCTATACAGAAAATGAAACCTTAAGAATAAAAATATTACGGTTAATATTAACCCGGGTAAAATATGTTCAAATATATAGAAAAGGTTGATAAGAGGTCGTCCTCCAATTATGCTTCGTGCGTATATACAGATATATATATTAACAATAGTTTGGACATTACTCATTTTATTTATTTTTTTTATTAATTTCAGCCACAATAATTTATATTTATATTTTCAAAAAAGTTCCAAGTTAGTAAGTCATAATTAACTAAATTCGGCTGGGAACATTATTCTGGGAGGGGTTTCTAATTTACAAAAAACTACAATAAAATAATAAAAAAAAAAAACAATGAAAATAATAAGAAAACTAAATGAAACTAAAGTGTACGTCATCATCATCATATGTATGTAAATAGCTAGATAAGTAATTACAAGATAATCAGTCATTCGAAAGTTTCTTTTACAGCTGTTCCTAAACGAAATTTGTTGGATACTTTGCAGAAGACAGGAAGCTGTGTATATTCATTGGAAATGAGAAAGGGCAGTGGAAGATTGGTCGTTTGTTTGAATTCAATATGCTTGGTATTCAAAACAGTTTTAAAGTGCTACTTTTTGAATTTGGAATTTTGTTGTTATTTTATGTTGAGCGAGACAGAGAGAGAGAGGGAGCGAGAGGTGCAGTATGTTGGTCAATAAAAGAGAGCTTATCATGTTTTGTATTTACAGGCAATACAATTCCTTTGGCCAGATAAAAGATATCTATGGTACTTACAAGTTGTTGTGGTTGTTGTTTGTGGAATAGGTCTTTTGTCAATTGGGTGGAAGGAAGGTTTTTAATTTGCAATCAATAAGATTTGTGATTATTTTTGATCGGTTTCAACTATTATACCTAGTACCCTGACTGACTGATCGACAAATCGAAAATAAACAATTTTTATACGGATATTCACAAAATTCTTTATGCAAAGTAGTAGAAAATATTGAAAAAAAAAATAAAATCAAAAATCGTGTATGTTGTGGAATATTAAAGTTAAAATTGTTGTTGATTTTCGGTTGCTTTGGGTTTTTTTGTTAAGAAATGTAGAAACTGGCTTTTAATACCTCTTCATTATCCAAGCCAAGCTGTAAAATATGTTTGTTAATAAAAACAACATTAAATTCGGAATTATAACAGTTAAAGAGATTGTTTTTTGATTTTTTTTTGTTGTTGTTAAGTTTTTTGTACAATAAATTAGGAGAATTTGTACGATTATGAGGATGAGAAAGAAGAGTGGGTGGTTAAGAAAGAGAAACAGAGAAGAAAGTATAAAAAAGCTTGATGTTTTTTTTTTGTTTTGGTTTGGTTTTGTTATAGGCGGCATCTGATTCAGAATTGAAAATATTTTGGTTTACTTTTATAAATTGTAATAAAAAACTGCCAATTTCGATTGTCTGTTGTTGGTGTACATGTAAAAGTGTGTAGTAGTGTGTGGGCGTTTACGTTTGTTTGTATGTGTGAGTTAGTGGGTGACTGAGTGTTGCCGGTATTTGTCCTTAGGAGTGAAAAGTCAATGATGGTGTCAAGCGTTGCTTTGCTTAAAAACATTTTCATGATTAATTGGCGATTCACAAAATTCCAATTTCAAAAAACACAGGCACATAACAGACACCCTCATTGGCCGCATTGTCTGTCATCCTTCATTAAAAAGGATGGAATTTCGTGTTTTGTCAGATTCCAATTGGATGGTGTTTTCTAGGTTCTGTTTAAACGGACTTGTGGTGCTGAATGTTATTTGAAACTTGAAATTTCGCAAAAAGGCTAATAAGTTAAAAAAGAAAGAAATGTTCGAACGATAAAACTAACAGATATAAAAATTTGAAATTTTCAATCTACCGTGAGAACGGGTGTAAAAACGAGTAAAATCGGAATTTTACTACCAGGCCTAGCGTAAATATTGTATATCATCTTAAGAATTTATAGTTTAGATTTAAGGATTGTATGACCAAAATAAATTTAAAGGAAATGTAAAGAAACAAACATGCAAAATAGACCATTTTTGTCATTTGCCTGCAAGAACAAATGTGTTCTAAAGACGAACGAAACTGTTGCTTCGCATCCTGCATTACCGATGTGCGGCTAGCAATAGATATGGTAAAATAAAGAATTTTATGAAAACTTTGTCATGTAAGAGGTGGATGTCAATATTAAAGCTTGAATTATTTACGTATATGAATATATATTTTTTTTTAATTTAACAATATGTAGGATCTATATCTATTGCTTATGCCATATATTTGTTAATAGTTCGCACAGGAAATAATCACTGGATATATAAAATGGTTGTATGGTTGAATAAATACCCAAACCGTCGTTTATAGTTGCAAAGGACAATATAGAAGAGAATATTTTGTGTGTACCAACCTAAAATTTCAAATAAAAACTGACGGGGTGCAAATATTGCACGTTGTACTATTTTTATGAAAACTTAAAATCCTTTATATCGTGAGGTGCCACTCATACTGGCACCTCCCCCACAACGGGTTACAGTTTTGAAGTGTATAACATTATACATATACATGAAGACATTTAAAAAGTGCGACATTCGAAGAAGCGAATCAAAGGTGTGCAGGGTTACTAAATTTTTGATGTTCAAAAAAGTAAGTCAGAAGTACCACAACGAAAACATTTCCTCTTTGGGCCTAATAAATGAGACATTCGAAAACATACTTGGCTTTTTCAAAGTTACGTTGTGATGTGCATCGGAACAGGAGCTTGGAATTGAAATCTTTAACAGATGTACTTTGACATTTTACTCCTCCGAGTGTACACCAATTTACCATAATGTATCACCGATATAATGCTAATATCGGAATTCAGATTCAGAAAAATTGGGCTTTGCAGTAAAAACGAAATTCTCTTCAGTAGTGTTGAAATACTTGCTGCAAACTGCTTTCGATGTATTTATTTATCCAGTGATTAGTTTCCGATCCATTTCGTATATTAGCACTCACATGCATATATACATACAAATATGATTGCATATGTATGTATATACTTTAACCGTATATTGCACTAACTATTGTAATAGAATAATTGAAGGGTAAAAAATAATAATAATACTAATTTCTAATGAAATGAAATCATATGCCACAACAACAACAAGAACAACTAAAAATGCACGTTAACATTAATAATTTAACATTACAAAAAAAAAAAAAAACAAAAACAAAAATTTTAAAATATTTCAAACACAACGCTTTATCAATAAATATATGTTGTTGTTGACAAGTCATTTTTGTTTGGAGGTGTATTCGATGGTAATATGTAAGTTTTGTAATGTTGTTGTAAATACATGTACGAATGTAAGTATAAATATATAGACAAGAATAATTTCAGTGTTAAACATATAAATGTTAAGTCTTTGCAGTTTCCAGTTTTGTTGTTGGGGAGAGTGCCAGTTTCCTGTTTGACTGATAACTAATAAAAACAATAACAAAAACACAAAAAAAATCGAAACCAAAAATGCACAATTGGACACTGCGACTAACGAATGTTTCCAGAACGGTTTTACAATAGTAAGTAGGTCCAATTTATGTTGAACTTGAGTTTGGATTTTGATTTAGTTCGATTTTAGTACTACATCTCTTTTTTTATTATTTTGTTATTCAGAAACGTCATGAAAAGGTTTATAGTCGTTTAAAGCCAATATATATTTTATGGGTTTCAAAATAATACAAGATTTTGTTTAAAATAGTACAACATAACACTTGTTTTTCTTTTTTATTAATTCGTATATTTTGCGACTTACGTAGGCTTGACAGTGTCCGATTTTCCTTGTTTTTTTATGATTCTATCTTATACTCTGTTTTTTTTTTTTCGTTAATATAATCGGACCAAGAAACTTGAACATGTTTTCAAAACGTTCACAAAAAAAAAAAAAAACAATAAACAAAATACACAAAATACACAAAATGCCCATTTATGTGTTTCAATTACTGTGGTTGTTTGGTGGAACCATACAACTGTAGGGTGTTTTACAAATTCTGAATTCCCCTTAATCATAATCGCATTGGGGAATGGACTACATTTTCCTGTGGAAATGTCCAATTTTTGTTTTCATTAATTAACAAATACTCAAGTGCTAAGAGACATTTTCAATACTTGTTTTGACGTGGTGTAAAACTGAACACCGGTTGGCTACTGGAATTCAGCACCCTACACCCTACAATTGCGAATTGGCACACCTCATCCACCGTCTGTCTCATTTGGTAATAAAAATGCAGCAAAATTGAGATGAGATTTCTTGCAAATATATAAATTGATCATCTTTAGTTTGTGATTGTTGCCGCTGTTTTATCAAATAAGAAAGCAATGCTAAATGATTTCATTTTTCTCTTCAGGTTTTGATATTCATTTGTAAAATTTGTATTTTTTGTTTGTTTAGCTAAAGGATGAACTAAGATATTCAAACAAATTCAAATCAAAATACAATCTATTATGTAATAACAGTAATCATAATAATAATAATTATTGAACAAAAAATACTATGCGCTTATTTGTACACATTTAACTAATTAGGAAAAGTTGTTGCCACACTTACCTCGTCCGTATCACTGCCCACCAGGAGCAAGTCGAAGGGAATGGCTGCCACCAGATCTATTAGGAACCAGCCACTCAGATAGTGCACCGCTATACGGCCGGGGTGGGACACCACCTCATCTTGTCCATTGACAAAAGTGGTGCGAAAATTGATTAAAATATCGACGATAAATGTTACATCAACTGCAAAAATGAAGGAACGTACAAACAAATACAACGTACATACATAATATACAGAGGAATGAGAGAAAGAAAGGCATAGAATCAGAATTGAAAATCGATTGGTTCAACTGTAATTGTAAAACGGTATTTATCAGTCCTGGATAAATATGAAGAGGTCTGCTTTAGTTCTTCATAGAATATGTAGGGGATCTAAACTAAAACGGACCTCGCATTTAGACTAAGTGCACTCTCCAATCTAGCTATTGAACATGAACTAATCACAGGAAGTCGAAAGTCGAACCGGCTTAATGTGTATGGTTCGATTCAGTGACATGTACGAATGAGAGAACAATGGCGATGAGTGTCAAGTTATGAATACATATTTACAATTTTGTTGCATAATGTGAAACGATTTATGTATGTAGTATGTTGGCGCGTCTATGTTTGATTTTCTATGTTTGGAGAGTCCAATGAAAGGTCCAAAGGAAAACACGTTACAAGTAATTTTTCTGGGGTGTTTATTGTCCTTCTCTTACCTGGATCGGCTTTCATTGTCTCTGCACATGTGTACATGTCAGTTTTAATTGTCAAAAGAAATGTCAGCCCATAGAGCGACTGGCCAATGGGCTAAGCATTTTATTTTGGCAATTAAAAACATTGGATATTTTATAGCTTTGAAATAGGTATCAGAGACCCCATAAAGTATATGTATGGATTTTAAGGATCAGAAAAACTTGATCTGTCCTAACATTCAATAGACAGGGTGTGTGTATGTGGCAAAACCAAAAAACTTTCAACCTGTGATAAAAACTTTAATTTAAAAATAATTTAAAAATTGAAAATTTAAAAAGACCTGTGGTTTGGATACGTAGCACCTACATGAAATTTAGGCCACATTTATAAATCCTAAATCCTTTCCTAAATGTTGTTGTTGTTTTTTTTTCAAAACTATTTTTATAAAATCTTAGCGTATTGGAGAAAACTACTATTCTGTATAATTAGTGAAAAATTGGAACAATGAGTTAATATAGATTTACTGAAAATAGGTATATACATTATGCACCTGATCGATAAATTTTAATTTAGATATCGTTTATGGCGACTTAAAATTAAAAAAAAACGAATTAGTGATCATACTAATACCTATTAATATTGTTGTACATCTTACTATAAGGATATTTGACTATAGCGTTACAAAGTTTGACTATATTACATACAAAGTTATATACCTATATGAAGATATTAGGGGCACATCCTATAAATTGGATGTAATTTGTTGCGTGTGAATCAAACGCAAAATAACCTGTTCCCTTAACCATTCTCTACCTAATTTTTTAAATTGTTTTTCTATACACACAATATTTGAATCCCTAGTCCATGACAACCAAACATTTAAAAAAATCATTACCATGAATGGTCAAAGTAAGCATAGATCGAATAGAGGGGATAACTAGAAGATCACATTTCCTGATCACTGTTCAATACTCCTGCTTTTTTCTTTATTTTGCATTTATGCCGTTTTTGTTTTTCTGTATGCGTCATTTAGGTTTTTTCCAATTACCTATAAGATCCACAATAACTATAGGATCACTGTTTATATACTTATTGGTACGTCTCTGATAATCTTGTTCACCCAACAAAAATGCAGCAACATATGGGGTAAATATAGCCGTGTACATCACCAATATTAATATGACCCAATCCCACACAGCCTTGAACGGTGAATAGTGAAGTATGGTCCAACGATGTGTTTTGGCTCCCATATTTTTTTGTTCTGGCAAGACATTGGCACCCAATGACAAAACCTAGAAACAAAGTGCATTCGGTTATAAGGAATAGTTTTCTCTTGCAGCAGAAGCCCAAAGTCACCAACATATATGCTGGTTGTCTAGTGGGCGCATGTTGCTTACCGTTTCAACAGGATCGGGAAATTTAATTTCCATTTTTGGACTCAACAATGCCTCCTTGTCCATTGTGTCTTCGCCGTGCTCACTGACATGCTTTGAAGATAGCTTTCTGCCAAAAATTTGCGAGGAAAACTTATATTTGTTACTGTTGCTGTTGGCATTCTTTCGCTTTTCGTCCGGCGTTGTCTGACAACTGCTTTGCACTGTCGACTTCGAGTAGCCTCCACCGCCAACACCTGCACCAACGCCGCCACCTCCCTGCTCGTAGTGTCCACTATAGCCTTCCGATTTCGGCTTCTTACTCTTCTCGCTGATGTTGTCCATGCCGCTTAATCCAGCTTGCGTCTGTATAAGTACGGCTTTGTGCCGCTGTTTCTCACATTTGTCACACGAAAGACTGCCGTCCATTTTATGGATCGGCTTCAATGTGCAGTTCTCTAGAGGTGTGTGGTGTGGTGGGTGGCTCCCTACCACCTTGGTCGATTGCTGCTGCTGCTGTTGTTTGTACAATTGTTGTTGCTGCTGTTTGCGTTTGTGTTGTATGGCCTCGTGAGCGTTCGAACCGTACTTCTTGCCCTGCTTCAAATTTTCATGCAGACAGTTTTTGATATTTTCCAAACAATTTTGAGAAAGCTCGTTTTTCGCACATTTGCGATACATGAATTCCTCCTCGCCATCGTCGATATTGTTTCGCAATATCTTGTGATACATGCGAAAGTTGTTGGGGTTCTTTTGACAAGTATTACGTAAAAAGTACTTGCCATTCTCATCCTTGTATGAGAAAAGATTGGAATTCATAAGAATGTCCGATACAAATACGCTCTTTTTGTTCATCCTGTTGGCTGTGCACATCATCGAGAAGAGTTCGCGCTCCACGAATTTCTGCAACTTCGACGAGCTAAGGATTTGAAATTTCTTCTTGCGAGTATCCACTAGAGGGGTTTGCTTATTTTTCGATACGTAAATTTCACATTGGCGTAGAATCTCATCTAACTTACGTATCTCATTCAGCTCTATACAGGATTTCTGTGACATAATGCAGATCTAAATCAAAATTCGAAAAGAACATCTTTAAGAAGAAAAGAAAGAACGAAAAGAGCATTGAAAAAATCGATACCAATTTTACCACAGGGTCGACTCACAATATTACATCAGCCCGAAAGTTAAAATAAAAATATATAATGACGTTGTTTTTCTTAAAACAAAACTATATTTTCTCCTTTATACGTATCTTTTGTGTTATTCTGACATTTTTATTTTATTTAAATGCTATTTGTTTTTATTACTTGAGTTTTTCCTGCAGCGTTTATTCGACTTTTTCCTTAGTTATTTGCTCTAGATACTCTCTTGATGGAATAAATTAATTGTTCTTTGCGAAGAACTACCTACCATTCGTATCAACCCCTAAATTGTAGAGACTTGCCAACTTGCACAGAAAAATAACATTGCCAACCATTAGACAGTTAGTCAGAATGTAAATAACGGTAAAACACTGTCATTTGAATACCTTCCGACAAGAATTGACGTGCAAACGCTGGGATAATTATATTGAGATAACATTTATTGTATTTCGGTAATTCTCTAGTTGAGCCTATTCTAAGTACGATAATGAAATGCTGTTACCATTGTTAAATGTTCCCGCAATTCACGTGTGTTCTTGTCAAATTCTATTAAGTATTATCCAAAGCATATGAAATAATAATGTATGTATATTCTGTTAGCGAACATGTATTTGTTTTCAAAATGTAATTTTTGTCTAAGAGAAATCTATCATGAGATTATAACAAGTGTTATGTGTTGTAATGTAGAGCATCCAGCATAAACAATGGTATTATATACAATTTATATAACAGCTTTATTGTTCTTTCTTATTACTTATTATTCAATATCTATTTTTGATACGTTTGTAGCTTGTAGTTTCTTTCGTTCTTTCGGGTCAGAAAGGTCATCATCTTCGTTTACTACATTTGTATTCAGTCCGAACTCGTTGTTGTTGTTGGGAACCTGCGAGTCCAAGTTGTGTGTAGATACATTTTTGTAAACGCTTAGAGCTTGGGCAACAAACGAAGAAATATCACCGGTGTTCGCAGGAAGTATTAAAGTATTATTGGTTTTGGCTAAATGCTTGAAGGCGGAAATGTATTGTTCAGCTAAAGTTAGGGAAGCAGCATTCTTTCCGTTCTATAAGAAAACAAAGTAAAAAGTAAATACATTGATACACCAGTATTAAACTTTGAAATACCATATCATTCAGTGCTTTCGAAAGCGTCAAAAGACCACGTGCCCTTGCATCGGCTACAGCCAGCATAGCCGCTGCTTCACCACTAGCTTTATTAATTTGTTCCTGTCGGTCGGCTTCTACACTCAAACAAAAACAATTGTTAATGGTGTGATGTTAAATTTTAATGGCTTTTTGTCATGTATATACCTGAAGCCAATATCCTCGATTGACGTTTACCTTCAGCGATGTTTATCTCAGCTTCTCGCCTACCTTCAGATTCTAAAATAGCAGCACGCTTTCTACGCTCTGCTTCAACTTGCATTTGCATAGCTTCGTGTACTCTCGAAGGAAGCTGTGCAGGAGAAAGAAATTGTATGCCAATTTTTTTAAATAATGACAGCTCTACTTACTCGAATATCACGAATTTCATAACGCAAGCACGCAATGCCCCAAGCTTCACTAGCTTTGTTTATCGAATCGACAATGCTTACATTAAGCGATTCTCTCTCCCGAAAGACTTTATCTAGAGACATTTTGCCCAATTCTGAACGCATTGTTGTTTGAGCCAACTGAGTAATGGCAAACTCCGGATCTTCAACGCCATACGAAGCTGTAAATATATACGATGAGTGTTGAAAAAAATAGCAATATTTCAACTTTTAACTTACCGCGATACGGGTCAATAATCCGTAAGTACAACACACCGTCTATGCTGAGAGTGACATTGTCCGAAGTGATGGCACTTTGTTTTGGAACATCAATGGCAATTTCCTTCAAACTTTGCACGTACTTTATTTTGTCTACAATTGGCAGTAGGACATTAAGACCCGGCTCCAGAATACGATGAAACCGGCCCATACGTTCCACAATCCATGCCTAAAATAATTCAATTGTATTACCAGCAAGTTATCTAATAAAGGCTTTGTATACAAGGCGTTTTTCTAACACATCCTATTTCGTCCGAAACGGGGACTTAGAATATCTATGTGTTCTAGTTCTAGTACCGATTGTTCGAAATGAAATGATACCAAATACATACCTCCTGTTGCGGAACGAACATTATGATGGTGTTGATTGGAGTCGAGGTTTTCGTCCTGTATTGATTTACCATGAGAACATTATGCCGGCGTGAATGCAGAATTTGCTGAAACAAGGCACAACGTGATATGTTAATAATCGTGTCATTTATTGGTAAATACTCATAATTACTCTTGCTAATAGTCTCCCCGTATTTACATAAAACGACATTTTGACTTAATATCTGATTTCTGATTTGGTTTGTAGATTAATATTCTGCAAAAATACAGTGATGGTGTTGCCACTGTAGCAAGTGGTAATTTTATAAATTGCAAATGTCAATTCGGTCATCGATAAATGCCTCATCGATTATCTGTGTTCGGCGATTCATCGATATGCAAGAAGTATTCAGAAATAATAGTTGCGTTCCAGGTCCTGTAAGAATCTACACCAATATCTTTTACTTTTTTCACCTAATTATTTTCCGCAGCAATAAACGAATTGAACGAATTATAATAACACACAGAAAACATATTAGTCGACAAATGTGCCGATGAGATCGTTTCCACGGCAGTGGGGTTTAAGTTTACCAATTATTGGGCACGGACGGTTACATACTTTTTATATTAGAACGTACTCAGAAATGGGAAATCTTTTAAAATTGATAAACATGAGTAGTTAGGCGCTTGCCAAACATTCAAATATATTATTATTTTTAGAATAATACCTTCTAAGATATCATTAAGAAATCTTGTTAAATGGAGTAGTATAGTTTGCAATTTAATGGAAATCGGCCTTAATGGCTTCAAATTGCATTTATGGAATAAATAAAATAAAAAAATAAAAATAAAACATATCAATTGTTAGTAAAATTGTACGGGAACACAAGTAATGCTAACAGCATCAGTTTGGAAGGATTGTTCTGCCCAACTTTGCTATTTATTTATTTTTCATTATATTATATTATTGATTTTGGCCTGTTCCCATACTGTAAAAGTCTACTAATTGGTTTGTTCCCGTACTGCAACATAAAGGAAAAAATGGTTATCGTAGTAAAAAATAGTAGATTCTTGCAGTACGGGAACAGACCAAATATTTACTGTTTTATTCAATATCATAAAGGAAAAATTTGTTATAGTTGTAAAAAAATTGTAGTACGTAAACAGACCAACTATGCTACACTTACAGCTACTTCTGAAGGGCGATTAAGAGCTAAAACGACATATACATTAGAACTTTATGAGGATTTATTTGACATATATGCAAAGGAAATGACAATTGAAACCCACTGGGTTAACGAAATCCGGTTAAATGTATACGTACTATAAGGAAAGTTTTCAAAGCGACATAAAATTCGAATAATGCATAACGGTTCATATAGATTAGTGTTTGAAAATTATTTCATAATGATCCATCCGCAGGGTCCAATTTTGGATTAGCGGCATTTTTGAATAAGTGATGCCACCAGTCCTTAAACCGCACTAAACTTGGACTTTTTTGGATGTATTGCAATGCTTCAGGCTGATCTTCACTTAAAAACCGGTAATAAGCTTCGTCGCTTAATATTTTTTAATTCCTGTAAGCGTTGTTCGTTTTTAAGGTAATGGTTTAATTATAAACAAAGCTGAAGATGTTAAACAGTGAAACAAGACACGAAAGGAGTTTTTTTCTGACAAAATTTATTAGCTAAATATCACTCTTTGATTTAAAACGTATATTGTCACGTTAATAAACGACAATTTCCATATTACATGATCCATACCTCTGGAATAATAAATGGCATGTTCCTGTAATGCACGTAACGTAACGGGATTAATTGCCAAGTGACTGCGGGCATGAGCAACGTTTCAATATTCAGAAGCTTTAAAAACTCGACGATGCCATTAATCGATTTTCGATTTTTTCGGTAGTGTCGATAGATTAATGTCGATTCTTTATATTCCTATACCAAAAACAATAAAAAACTATAAACTAATTGAAATAACGAGAAATAATATAACATAAAAAGAATCATGGACTTCATAGATGATTTTATACAAGAATATCGGAATAATCCATGCCTCTGGAAGGCCGATTCAGTTAATTACAAAAACCGAAGCAAGCGCCAAGAGGCCTATATGAAGTTAATTGACGTTGCCGCAAAACATGGCGAACACTACAATGTAGAACGGACCAAGCAAAAAATTAATAATCTTCGATGCGCCTTTCGACACCAGCTAAAGAAATACAATGAACTCAAAAGCAAAGGCGAAAAGGAGGAGCCATACTGTCCGAAGAGAAAGTATTTCGAGTCGTTAATGTTTCTCAAAGACGAGGAAACCACCATAGACAAGCGAACCAAACAAGACAACATTGGCGAAGTCACCCCCACTATCCATAGCAGTGGAAATAATGGTAAAAACAAATCGACACGTATAAATGTAGAAGCAGAGTCTATCAGTTCTGTGGAAGTAGCAGATACTGATAAAACATCGACATCTAATAGTGGTGCCAGTGCAAGTGTTGATGTCGAGGACCCGCTGCAGGTGCCTAGTAATATATTTTCTGATATATGCAAGGAAATCAGCAAAGACAATAATGGCAACGACGGGGACGAAGATGCAAATATTGAAGAAACGGCACAAAATATTTCCGTGATATCCGACAAAACTGATATTGAAGAAATAACCACGATTACACCAGTCAGAAAGGAGCAAGTTTTTGTAATTGATACATCAACTGTTACCAATGCAACTGCCACCACGACCAACAACACTCCCACGACATCGTCTCCACAGAAACAACAGCAGCAGCAAAAAGACACAAGTAAGTCGCGGAAGCGATCTTCATCATTTTCGTCGCAGCACAGCAATGAAACAACGGATACTACCCCCATTAAAACAGCGAAAAATGACGTTACCTTTGATTTGGAGAATCTTCTGTCATTGGCATGCAAAAGCTTCCAAAAGAATTCTGTCGACCACCACACAAGTTTTGGCGAAATCGTGGCATACAAATTGCGAACTATGGATGCGACCCAAGCACTTTATGCCGAAAAGATAATATCGGATATCTTGTATCAAGGTCATATGAAGTATTTGTCGCCAGCAGCGATACAGCGCTGTTCCAATCTGGATAGATTACAAACGCAGGAGCACAAATAAAATGGAAGAGTAGCAATATAAAAGGACACAATTTAATCGACTCTCATATTAAGAATTTCTATAATAATTTTAATCAATAAGATATCATAAGCAACAATATCTAAAAGAATTTTTTAGTCGAAATCATTTAATAAGATGTGTTTCACTGGGGTGAAGTGTTTTATTGAAATATGGGTATCTCAATTGAATGTATGTATGTTCTGTGAAAGTCCCATCATTCATATATAAAGTTGTTAAAAGATATTCAAGGACTCTACGAATTAATGTATGGTGTGATTTATAACAGAATACTCTCGTATGTTTGGGCAGTAGTTTTCCAGCTTGAATGCATTTCCAGTGAGTTTTTAACAATTGTATACTATATTTATCCCCTGTCACTTCAGTTTGCTATTGCATTTACTACCACAGCAATTTTCACAACTCGTTCTGTTCGGAAAAATTGTTTTGCTACTAATACTAATACCCCTCCTTCCATACCCACATGTGATTCTATCATAATTTCCACCAACTTTAAAAAAAAATGTGTTCAGTAATTTCCCTTTCCTGTATTCCCACTATTATTTTATAGGAGAAAGCATTAGGAAAATACCAACAGCCAACAATAAATTAGATTATCAGATTTTTTAATACATTGGATGGACTCTTCCCAGTACTATCTTTGTTTATTTTTGAAATATGTAATAAATTCATAATTTAAAAATGTCGTTCTTTTATAATGCTGTTTGCCAAGTGGTTTGATCACTGTTTTTAGAAAACTACAGTATTAGAAAAAAATGAAATTTTATTTCATTTCTACATTAATATCTGAATGGATGTAGTGGTGTGGTGTTCATGAGGAGCTGCAAGATTATTTAAATTCATTGATTTTGACATTCATTTGGTGTGGGCTTCTTTTTGTGGCCACCACCACCGGCACGGGGCTTCTCCTTTTCATCATCAGACTCTTCCTCTTCTTCTTCGCCATCGAAGGAGTCGTCATCTTCGTCTTCATCGTCGATAACATCTCCGGTAAAATACAAAACGGCTTTAGGAATGATTCTTGCACGCAAGAAGTGACCGATCTCGAAATCAGTTGCTAAAATCTAAAATAAATTTGACGTTAGTCTTTTCCCGTCTTGGTATAAAATTACGCTTGTGCCAGCATAATTAATTTGTGCCTACTTACGCCTTGTGTTTCATCGTCAATTTCTTCTTTGTCATCGGCTACTTCCGGTGGGTTAAAGAAATTGAAGAATGAGTCATTGGGCACCAATTTAACAATGGTTCTAACATCAGCACGTTGCTTATGCTTCTGCTTCTTTCTAATGGTTCTCACGGTCAAATTCATTTTCTTCTCCCAGTTAATGGTACAACCCTTACATTTATAGATTTCTGGCCCCTCAAACCCGAATGGATAATCTTCGTCTAGGGCTGACTTTAGGAAATATTGTTTGGTCAACACTTCGTTTGTGAAATACTCATTCTTGTCGAAGTGGAACTCCAAGGTGTACGAATGTTCGTCATCGTACTTAATGGTTATGTCTGTCAGTTTTTCCAATACAGGTTCATCGTGTTCCTGTACCATTTCCGACAAAATCTCGGTGTTGCGGAAAACAGTTAACCAAAATTTGGGAATACCCTTTGTGTCGGCGGGTACATCTTTGACCTTCTTCAGCAATTTGCTGAAGTCGGGCATATCTTCATTGTTCTCTTCTTCCGGCTCCACTTTCCATTTTGGATCCTCTTTTGGTGGATCTACTTCGCCAGTAACAATGGCGCGGCGTTTTTCGAACAAGACTTGGTACTTCTCTTGGTATTTCTTCTCCAACTGGTACACTTCATCGAAAAATTGTGCCTCCAATTTAAGGTGGTCCAATTGGATATTTTTCAGCACAGTAATGCGCTCTTGTATCTTGGGTGGCAGACTCTTTACCATTTGTTGAAGGAATTGTCGGCGCAAAATAGCATTCATATAAGCAGGCCTTGAAAGAAATAAAGCATGTGTAAGTTTGTATAGAATAAGAGTGTGTGTGATTGTGTGCGTGAGCAATATGATGAATGCTGGGTATGCTTTTCTCAAAACCGGTTTTAAGCCGGTAACTTTGTACACTTCTACAAGCCGATAATCCGGCAGATTCTACTTACACCATTTGATTTGTGGAAAACTCCTTCTCCTCATCGTTTTCGCTCATAGATGATCCAGCATCCTCGTTGTCCTTTTGGGCGTCATCGTCACTCATCAATGCATCCTCTTTGCCCTTAACGACATCTTTATCTTTTTTGGCGTCCATGCTGCTGTATTCCTTTATGAATTCTATCGCTGAAACGCAAAACATATACATTCTCATTCGTCATGTTTGTGTGTGAGTACGAGTATATGCATAGCAAATTATACATAGTATGGGCAAAAAATCAAAACTGCGTATTTTATAATGCAGCTTAGAAAGAAAAAAAATGCAAAATGTAAATTAGTGCACCCATCAATGGAAGGCAATGCCTCACATTTCATAAAAATTATAATTTTCAAGAATAACTGAGCCACAAATTACGATCATTAATAGGTCTCCACCAATTAAGAATAAATGTATGCGTTTCTTGACGAAACGATTTTTTGCAAAAACACGTGTAGTCAAATGTTTCTGAACATTTCTCGAGTTGAGATGCAAATTTATATCGAAACAACCAAACAAATACAATGGTGATAGATATGTTTTACTAAAAATATTCGATAACTTACATATAAATAGAAAACCGGGAGAATAAATTTGAATTTGCAAATTTTTTTATGAAGTCACGCTACTCGACGCCTTTCCGTGCTAGTCTACCGAAAGAAAGAAGTTAGGGATACGCAAGTCGACTATGGTCTAGAGTTGTGTCGTTCCGCAGCGAATAAGTTCATGAGAAAGACTCTGCAAAATAAGTGATCGGAACGATTTTCCATGTAGTTATTTTAGTTCACTTGGCTTCGCAGTTGAATTCACTTTGTCGGTATGCTTGGTTTTTAACAAATGAGTGTGTACGATACAAAACATTTTGAGTAGCACAATTTTGAAATTTCTGCAGAAGTTGTTGGTATAAATGTGTGTATCTCAATATTAAATTAATTAAATTCCTTTTATGAAAATGAAATTTATTTATTAAACGCATTAATACTACTAAAGCCTTCAAGGCCAATAAATAAGATTAATATAAAACATCATTTTAAGTAGATTAGGCGATTTTACTTGCGGCAAGTCTTTGTTTGCTGGAGAGATGGACAAGGGGAAAAGAAATTTAAAAAAAAATTGCTCCTTCCGTAAAATTTTCTGGCAATTCGTTTTGTAGTGTCGCTAATTTCAAATACCAATCCAGGACATTGTCACAAAATGTCAAAAAATATTTTTGAAACCGAATTACAAGTTCAAAAGAGAACGATAAGAATTGCCCGAAGTAAATTGCCTAATCTAAATCAGGACTTATATCTAATTACAAAATAATCACAAATATATTAACAATTTTTTCAATTTTATAATAATTTTGTAAATTTTATTTATTTTTAAATAAAAACAGTTGACATATTTTTTTAAAATTAAAATTACCGAAATGAATTTATAAATTAACATTTCATACAAAGCCAACTTAACATGCCAGGCCTGAATCGCCGTATGTGTTTCCCCCTTAATTATTTAAAATTATTTGTATTTTTTAGAAATAATTCAAAACCAAATTTTTATTCGAATTGTTTACTTAAACATGCTTTCTTGAATATCATTGCTAAAACCCGACTAGTAATGTTAGTTCCCTTTCGTGGGAATATGAAATGTGGCATCACCCCAAAACACAGCTGATGGGAAAACGTGTTAGTACTTGTTCTAAAATCAAATAAATTGCAACAAGCAAAGGGTGATTGCCGTTTCAAACTTTTATTGAAATTTCCCAAGTAATGAATAATGTTGTTATTTTGTCCACAATGCAGTAATATCTTAATGGTAGAACAGGGCACAACTGGTCATCGTTTCTCGTGCAACACATGTCCCTATATATTTAATATCAAGAAGAAGTCATCGACAAAGACCTATCCCCGTTTAAAGGTAAATATCAATGTAAATATTAAACAATTAATCAAGATAACGTTTGACCGACAAATTACCAGGAAGTAGACCATGTTATGGGAGGCGCTGCTGCATGGGAGAACGTAGATTCCACTGACGCAGAGTGTCCATCGTGTTCACACAAGAAAGCTTACTTTATGCAAATGCAAACTCGTTCTGCTGATGAGCCTATGACAACATTTTATAAATGCGCCAATCAATTGTGTGGCCACAACTGGAGAGATTAGGAGCATTCTTATTTCGACTTGGAAATCAACAATTGCTTTGTATTTATTAATGTCAATATTAGGAAGGAGAATTCGGCCTCTTGGCGATTGTCGATTAAGAAGATTTAAACCAACACTATTCACTATGCAGTCATCGAATCAAATTCCTCCCATTCATAATGCAAACGATGACAATTCCTTAGGTATTGCAGCGCATTACCTCAAAAGTGGAAGTGTTATTGCTCTGCCCACAGATACAGTGTATGGCCTAGCGTGCGATGCCAACAACGAGACTGCTATCAAAAAACTTTACACAATCAAAGGACGTGATTTCCACAAGCCGGTGGCGATTTGCGTACGAAATTTAGCTGATCTAAAAAAATATGGACGAGCGGAACATTTAAGTGATACTTTATTGGAAAAGTTATTGCCTGGACCTATAACCATAGTCATTGAGCGTTCAAAACATTTGAGTAATCCTTTTCTTAACCCCAGTACAAGTAAAATAGGAATACGCATTCCGAATTTCAAATTCATTCAAGACCTTTGTAAAATCTATAACGAACAGCCACTGGCGTTGACCAGTGCCAACCGATCTTCGGAAAAGAGTAGTTTAAATATTAAAGAGTTCGAGTGCTTGTGGCCTTCTTTGGGAGGAATATTCGATTGTGGTCATATAAGTCTCTCCGAAGAAAGAAGGTCGGCATCAACCGTTGTTGATTTGTCTGTGCCGGGCCTATATAAAATAGTTCGTGAGGGCGTTGCTCTGAAATTTACTCTCGATGTTTTGAATGAACACGGCTTGCAGTCATTTGAGTCGTTGGCATCATGTTGATATACATATATATTTATTGTACAATAAGTAATATAGGCTAAATAAAATAATATAGAAATAGATTTTTTTTTTAACTTGAACCATTATTCAATAGTCATGCTTATTGATAATTTGTGGATTTTGCTATTTGTATGGGTGTCCTTTTCCGTGGCAACTCACTTGGCAAACTTTGCCACCTTTCAGGGGGCCACACAATGAATGCCGCTCTCGCTGTCATTAAACCTATAAATATGCATAGTTATTATATAACTTTTTTGATACATTAAGATATCACGAACCTAGTGCGATTGGTCCGAATGTATTGGAATCTAAAGAATGTCCTGTATGATCACCCTCCACCCAACAATGACCTTCTGGAACTCGTACAATTTCCTGCTTATATCCTAAAGTAGCCACTACATCGCCTTGCAAACCGACAACGCGCTTTATAATCTTCTGGCTTGGGTCTTTCGGCGAAATTAGGCAAACAATATGTCCCCTTTGTATATTATTGCTACGTACAGCCCATCTTGATAAGAACACATAATCAGTCTGAGAAGAATCCGGATTTAAGGCAGGCTGCATAGAAATACCTGAAAGATTCGACAAGTTTTTTTTTTATTTTTTTATACAAATTTTTGAACATGTATATTTTTTACGTACCATCAACCCTGGCTACATATCCCACGCAGTCCAAAAACGTTACCCCAATTGGAATTCCGAACAGCACCTAGCCAGATAAACATACGTACGTAATAAATGTATTCAAAAGTTGCAAAAGCCAATACTAACCGATTTTAGGAAACGATACATGGAATTATTTTTATAAATTTTATTGATGGTGTATAAACGATTAATTATTGTGCCCTATTGTAAAGTAATTTGCAAAAACTATATTTACAATTTGATTTGGTATTGTTTTAAAACAATTGAACAATACAAGGCCTATCTGACATTGTTATCTAAACACATATTTCTTCTTCTTCTTCTTACTTGACAAAACATATGTCAATGCGACTACGTCATGTTGCCACATCGATGTGGCAATTGCATTTTAGGGGATTCGTGTTATATAGCTTCGTAGCATTATTTGTAAGTTGCTATAGCTTATGGTATAATTATGGTACCATTCTATAGACTATCTTGTATTAGTGTACCATGAGTGTTATATTCGCCTCGCCTAGCAGAAACGATATGAAACATTACCATATCATTGTAAGTTTTATCAATTATGGTCCGATATTTTATACGTGTCGCCTATACTTTTTGTATAAAATGGACCGAATCTATTTCTATTCAAGTTGCTCCACAGGACACAAGTATGATGTGAACATTAACAATTCTTGGATTTGGTCAAAGAATAGCTATTTAGCACTTAAAATGGTCGAATGTTGTTCAAAAATTTCAAATTATATTTTTCGATAACTTTTTTAACTTCCGGAACTTAATTTTATAATGTCCTCTAACATTATAAAATTAAGTTCCAGAAAACACAGCAAAAATGTGTCTAAGACTGATAGTGTTTTCTGTAGTTGATGTCGATTACTGGTTTCACATTTAAATCAATTTTGCAACTTGTTACTTCGTTTTGACAGAATATGATGAGAAACTATGTGGACAATATACAACAATAAGATATATTTGTAACGGTATTTGACTATATTTGGAATGAAATATTTAAATAGCATTATTAATTATACATCAATATTATGTAATAACTAGCATTATAACATTTAAGCCTTAATTAACAAATTGATAAATTAACAAAGTCCCCCTTCTTCGTCATCTTCATCGTTTGCCGTTGCGGCACTGTCGGGCACTGCTCCACTTTCATTACTTCCACCTTTCGATGCCTGTAATGTTTATATTGTTAGACAAAGATAACGCAAAATATGAGTGCGATACTTACATCCATATTTGGTGACGTATAGGAAGCTGTAGCATTTTTGATAACAGCAGGTTTGGAAGCATTCGGTAATCCTTGAGGTAAGGGAACAATTAATGCCAACTTAGAATATTCGACATCCATATGCCGTATAAATGGAGAAGCTAATGCTTGCTTAGCTGTGTCTGGATCTTCATCGTCATATGCTTGCAATAACATTTCCAGGGTTTGTACTTCTTGAGGGTCACAGCAATTGCCCCATTCCTTAAATGCCTTCTCGGCCGCTACTTGATCGCCCCTAGCCAATTGAACTAATACCAGTGCTACGGCCAATCTGCCGATCTGTCCATAAGATTCAGTTTGTTGGTTGAGACCAATTTCTCGTCTCAAAGCGTCAGCTGCTTGATCATACCTAAGCGAATTTGTAAAATGAATTATGTACATGTGAAAACTAACAATAACACGACCATTATTTACATTTGCAATTTCACCAATATGCGTGACACTTTGCTAGCATATTCGGCTGCTGTTCGTGATGCGTCTTCAATCTGTTATAACAAACAAAACCACAGTAGAGAAAATCAATTAGATACATTATAGGAACACTAACCATGCTAATTTCCAATGCTCGTTGGTAGAAACGCAGTGCGATCTCGGGATGTTTTTGTTCCACAACTTTCGACGCCTTATCTAAAGCTGATGCAGCCGATTCTGGAGATCCGTGTTGTTGATACAGATGACTAGCTCGGCCGGCATATTCTTCAACACTAAGCAAGTTATTTGTTTCCTTACATAGTAAAATAATCTGCAATAGGTATATTGGTTAGTATGTTTGCCAAAAGTAGAAATATTTGGATTGCACTTACTTGTTCGTAGCACTTGGCTGCATGGAACCAAGAGCTATTGTTTTTATGACAGTCAGCCGCTTTAAGGAAACACTCCTTGCTTTGATCGTACGATTTTGCAATTCGGAAGGCAGTTGCAGCTTTTGTGTAACAATCTGCCGCAGTATCGTATTCGGGTCGCCATTTCAAAAGACCTGTTTTTAGACTGAAATACATTTGTTATATATAGCCAAAAATCTTGAATTATTAAATCGACATTTTATCAATTTTGCTCTTTCCTTATGTTCACGTAAAAATAAAAGGGAAAAAATGCTGATATACTCGAAAAAATACTACTTTTAATATATAGTGTATATAGTATGATTGTTGGGTTTTACATTTGATTTCTATTCCAAAATTTGACGATTTTAATATGGGGGTCTATTAAAAAATGTGTAAAAAACAAATTTCCCAAATATTATTTTCAGACTATATTTCCGAACCACGGTGATTATTTATTTAGATGTAAACACTGAGATAGAAAAGAAAACAGACGAAGATATCGATTTTTACAAATACTATGTATTGCTTTGTGGTTAATGATTTGTTCGTGCTTTGAACGATGTCCATATTTGTTAAAAAAAAACGCAAATTGATAAATTATTTCGTTATGACAAATTTTCAATTCTTCGATGCGAGTCCATATATTGAAGGTCGCTGAAGAATACAATTTTTAGACATTCGAAGGAGCACTGGTCAATACTCAAAATTTTTTCTCGGAGTGGACGTAAACATGTAGCTTTGTCTATCAAAAATAAAAGATGAATAATATTTATAGTTACCTTTTTTCGGCTTGCCTGATATATTCCTGCCCTTCTTCAATTTTGCTACCCATTTTTTTTTTTTTTTTTTTGAAACGTAATTTCAATGCAAAAATCAATAAATGTATGAGGGAATGTAACAAATTTGTCGTCAGATCCTTTTTCCTAGTTGACACCTGAAAACACAGATACACACACTTAACTTCGGAGCCATGAAAAACATGTCGACGGCGGTATACATGAATGACGGCTGTTTAAGAGTCTAAACGCAACCATAGAGTCTAGAGTCAGCGACAGTCGTTTGCCGTGTGTTTCTTATTGGCAACGGGAAATCGCGACGGCTGACGTTTGCGTCTAGCGGCATGACGCTAGAATAGATTTTATTCATTTTTGCTCAGCGTCATACTCAAAATTTCTCTCTTGCTCTCATTTGAGTTGCCATATTTAAGGTAAAAATCAACAGTGCTACCAAATTTCAATGAGAATTTATATCAAAATATATGGCAGTGCTGTTAAAAAAAAAAACAAATATTTTCAAGGATTGTGGACGTTTTTTTAAGGAATTAATAATAAAATGGAAGAAAAATAATTTTTTCAATAATTTTATCCAAGTTCCTTGACATTATTGTTTATTAAATAATTCTAGCGTCAAGCCGCTAGACGCGAACGTCAGCCGTCGCGATTTCACGTTGCCTATAAGAAACACACGGCAAAAGACTGTCGCTGACTCTAGACTCTATGGTTGCGTTTAGACTCTAAGTCAGCATCTATCACAGTGGTATTGTTATTAAATTTCAAATGCTCCCCAACATGGCCTATAAATAAGGTCACCAAGGGAGACCAGCTGATTATCGATACCTCTCAAGTTTGCTGTCAAAATGCATTATTGTGAATTGACTTCCATTATGAAAACGTAAAAAATTTTTGACATTAGACTTGAGAAAAAACAGCTGTTTTCCGATTTCGATTGCTATCTTGGTGACCTTATTAATAGATCTTGCTCCCCAATTTATGAAAAAGTGAAACGATAAAAATGACCAATCGTTCATAGCGATATAGCGGCCTAAAAACCTTCGGAGTAAACTCGACATCATTCCGAGGACAACTTAATGTACAAAAACAGTATGACCATTATCTGCTTTTCAAGGTGTTTAAATAAAATATATTGATCTTATTTGTATTCCTAGTCTCCAACAATTGGTCTGTTCCCGTACTGCAAGAATCGACTACTTTTTACTACAATAACAAATTTTCCTTTATAATATCGAAGAAAATAGTAAAATCGAGTAGAATCTTGCAGTACGGGAACTGACCAATTATTGTTATAGAAGAAAATGTTCAAGCATTGACAATATTCAATATTAGGGTTGGTGATAGCATTTCTTTCGGAGAATATGTAAAAAAATACGCAAATCCCCTAAATAAATATACTGTTGTATTATCGCGGTTTTTCAATGAATTTTACCCAAATACGCATTGCGTAGAAAAATATAAGACTTAAATTTCCAAGGTTGACAGAACGAATTTTTTGTTTATGGAAAATGAAAAAAATATGTTTCTTACAGTACGTTTACATTTAACCGTATTTCGTTAACCCAGTGGGTTTCAATTGTCAATTCCTTTGCTTATATGTCAAATAAATCCTCATAAAGTAGGTTAACCGGTAAAAAGTTCTAATTTATATGCCGTTTTAATCATGTTTGTCATGAGTTTTGTATTATTTTTCAATGTTTGTCTCTTAAGCGGTGTACACACTATCATTGTTGACTGTCCACTTTTTTATCGATTACTGACTGTCCAACAACCATAAATATTTTTGTGGTTGCCTGATGAATGACAAACATGTGAGGCCACACTATCAAACAAGCAAAATTTGGGCAAGAGTGCCATTCAAAAATGATAGTGTGTACACCGCATTATACTATAGTCCTTCGTCAGTTTTGAGTGGCATATTTTTTTACCGATTACTGACTTTCCAACAACCATGATATTTTCTTGATTGCCTAATGAATGACGAATATGAGATATCACACTATCAAAATAGCAAATTTTGGACAATAGAGTAATTCAAAAGTGACATTGTGTACACCGCTTTAATGTTTAATGATGTGTTGCCAGGTCCAAATAACCAATATCGCTTTATTGCGTTTCGATTATGTTCTGTTCGGTTTTATCGATATTGTTCTGACAAATTGTTGAATATTGTTATCGATTAGTTATTTTAATTTGACGTACACTTTTTTCTCTCTTTTTGTCTTAACTACGAAAGAAGATGGTGTGTGATTGAATTTTTTAATCTTGAAAAATAATTGGAATCTTAGAACAAAATAATTTTATAATGGTGAAAACAAATACTAACAGAAGTAAATTTCGTATTTCATATTTTAGGCGGCCCATAAAACTTTCAGAATCAAGCAAAAGCTTGCCAAGAAGTTGAAGCAAAATCGTTCCGTGCCCCAATGGATTCGTTTGCGCACAGGAAATACTATTAGGTACGTAAACATCAAATAACGTCAGTGAAGCAAATTTGTAATGCGAATGCTTTGGATTTTTAGATACAACGCCAAGAGGCGCCACTGGAGACGTACCAAGTTGAAGTTGTAAGCTTCATCTCGGAGTTTTTTCTGCACCATCTACTTATGCGAATATTTGGAATATTTGCTAATAGTTTTAATATTTGCAAACATCTACAAGAAATTCATATTCACAGTGGTGATGTGTGTCAAGAAAGAAAAAACAAATAAAATCAGAACATTGATTTAAAACTATATTGATTTATTATTCCTTCAAGTAAAGTGCTTTAGACAAAGTAGCCGGTCACTGGGGTATGTATGATTGTAAGCTACACATCATTCGCTGTCAAGTAAAATAAATGTGTTATGTTGAACTATGGATTATTCGAAACAATCTTAAGCACAATAATCAGATCTAAACGCAGTTTTGATCTATATATATATTAGCTATATAGTTTATGGAGGCAAGAGAAATTGTTCTGAAACGCATTATTGAGTACATGTGTAACGTACATAAAATGTGCCGCATTTAATTTTAGAGTTCATAGCGTTCAAGCCTGCATAAATACGAGCATTTTAAAATAATGTTACTGCTCCTCACTATTTCCTAGGCTTGAAGGGTAATATTTAAGGTGACATGCAAAGCTTGGCATTATTTTAAAACTGATCATACATCATGACTTGAGCTGGATCTGGGATAATAATTACCATATTTTATTCCTGTTATTGATTGATGCGATGAATGCCTTCAAATAATTACTATTTTCCTATTATTTCTCTTGAATGCCAGCAAGTGAACGAATCAAAGAAGTACTCTAAACCACGAATGAAAAAGAAAAAAAGTTTAGGAGAGATGTATAAAATACTCCCATAAAATTGGCATCAGGGGATGGGTCTTGTTCTATGCAAATTGTTGAAGTACATATGGGTAAATGTTCCTGACTGCATATACAGGAGGGTGCAAATAATTAAAATTCCTCCTAATGTGAAAGTAGCTTGAATGATCTTCAAAACACAAAATTTATACTTTTCAGAATGTGTTTTTGTTCAATATTAGCAAGAATGTATATATATTTTAATTCATTTTATATATATTTTCATTTCATTTGATATTGTGGGCGTAACAACGGTAACAAATAAATAAAAACAAATTGTTTTCACAACATAGGAGTTTTGTTGACTAAAGATATTTCAGGTCAAACATTATATATATTTGTCAATACAAATGTTATTGGATTATATTTCAAAAAACTCTAAACTGCGAATAAAAATAACTTGGAGGGTAATGTGGACCAGTATGTGTGGGTAACGAGGATCAGTAAGTTAAAGGTAGTTTGTGGATTGGTTGTGATAAATATCAATTTGTGTTTTGGAATAGCCTCCATTTAAGGGTACCACCCCATTTGCGGTATTTTGAAGGTCTTTGCTTCATTATCCAACCGAAGCACCTGTAATTTCGCATATCGAGTTTTCAGAGGATAGAATACCTCCTTGCATATTAAATGCGCCCATGTTTTGAACTCGTCCTCATGAAAAGGTTCCAATTTTTATAGTGGTCCACATTACCCGATATTGAATATTTTTATTTAAAAATAAATTTCGGCTTCAAAAATGAATAAAAATTAATTACAGCTAAAACAAAGAAAACAAGAAAAACACATAACTTCTTTATATTCGAGAAAAACAAAGTGTTCGACTGTTGTGCTAAAAATGTCCAAATCACTCTTTTACAAATAGAGCTACATTTTCTACTACTAAATTTTCAACATTGCAATTATTAAAAACCAAGTTTGATGTATATTTTCACTAATTAGGAAAACATTTATCAAGGCGGCATTGACATATTTCAAGCATTTTCTTAGATATGGGGGGTGGTCCACATTAGACGCATAGTCCACATTACCCGAAGTTACCCTAATTAGAAGAACCCACCAAGAACATGCTGCAATTTAAAATTTGTTATTCCAGAACCTGTAATAATCTTTTTGAGTACGGAAGCAAACCAATTAAAATATAGGTGGAAATGTGGCTTAAGTCTAACTAAGGGCCACCTAACGGATGGTTTTGAAATTTTTAACACGTGTAGTCTTTGGAGTTCCTATTACTATTCAAATTATAAGGAGATTCGGTCGCGTAGCCGGATTTGTCATATGTCCATAGGGTAAAATTTTAAATCCGCGGCCGAAGGACGGCTATCCACAAACAAAATCTTGGCTGTGTGCAATGGATTTTTTCGATAAAATCAATTTTGTTATACTCAAACAAATAATTTGATATTTCTCATGTCATTATAAATTGATATTTTCTCACATAATGCAAAAATATGCTACATTTCTTCCTCGAAGTCAAAGGTGTCATATAAATCATTTCTAACTTTTGAGCTTTTATTTCGATTTTTTTGTTCATTATAAATATTTGTGGATTTCCAGTTAATATAGACATTTTTGGCCCATTCGTATCTTTTCCAAATTTTTGGTTTACAGTACAAAGTGTTTGTCAATTTTAATACAACAGAACGTTTTGAGTAGGAAATTATTTAAAAATATTCCAAACGATTTGAGGAGTAATCAAAACACCTTTCCCTTCAGGTGTGTGCTAATTAGGTGGCCACCACTGTACGTATTAATCTTTTAAAATTGAGAATTCCATTTGCAGTTCATAACATTTCACTTGTATTTCGAGAATGTATTTGGTAATTTACAACTTTTCATGTGTAATTTTAAACTTTTCATATGAAATTCAAAAAATTCCATACGAAATTTCATTTGTAAGTTTTATCTTTCCATTTGAAATTTGTATAGTTTAATTTGAAATTCAAAGAAATTCGTTTAAAATTCAACGAATTAAATTTGAAATCTATAACATTTCACTTTTAATTCAAAATAATTCAGCTGTAAGGGTCGTACCTAAATGTATGCGTATGCGTACGATTTCACCTCAAAAGTTAAATACATGTATTTTAATGAATGTTACTCAAATACGCATTGCGTATAAAAATATAAAGTTGAAAATTTTCAACCAGGTGATGGTAACATTAAATGTCAAAACAATAAAGAACACAAAACTAAGAAAAAGAAACGAACTGAGATGAGACATTGGGATTCGAACAATTAAAAAGCTGTTTTCATCCATTTTCACGGTTTTCAATTGACACACAAGTAAATACGGCCCTTGCGTATTTGGGTAATACCGTCGTTCAGCAAATCCTATAAAGGTGAGAATTTTTGGTACACAACCCACTGAATTTAGGTACGGGCCTAATACGTAACAATTCATTTCAAATTCATACATATTCCTTGTGTGTTACCATTAATATTTTTCGAATTTAAAATGAAATGTTATTTATTTCAAATCAAATGTTATGAATTTCAAAGGGAATTATTTTGATTTCAAATGGAATTTTATGAATTTCAAATGCAATCCTTGGAATTTCAAATTGAAGTTTATGAATTTCAAAATGTATTCTATGAATTACATGTGAAATTCTCGAATTACAACTGATATCTTATAAATTACAATTTGTATTTTGGTAATTAAAAATGGAATTCTTGAATTACATTTGATATGTTTTAAATAACATGGGAAAAGGCAAATTCTCTTTTCAAATTGTCGTCGTTGAACTGGATTGATGATGTCGTGCATTAAAATATATAATATGCATCAAAATCATCACCGTTACGTTTTTGCTGAGATGTTGTTAAGAATTAGGTGTTTTACATACATTGTAAATAAAAAGGACAATATTTAATTCTACTCAAGTTTCTTTAAAATATATAAGCAAAAAATTGGAATATCAACACTAATGGATTATTATTTTTCATTGGTCTTTTATTTCATACGAATAAGTAATGGTGGAGAGGGGTCTGCCTTACATAAATACATTAGGTAGGGTATGTGGGGGCGGGGCAGGGACACTTGATGAGAAATACTTTTTTTCAATATAATTTAAATTTAATGAATAATTATGTATGTATGTCAAATTAAAATTGTAACTTAGTTTAATATACACTATCCTCTAGTTTTGAAAAATAAATGAATATTTGCAAACTTTATTGAGAGACTATCGGGCTCTTTTTGTCTATGTCGGACATATTGGTATTGTTCTGCACCGACCCACTTCCGGGACTAGCTGGTATTGCACCTGACCGATCCATGTTCCAAGGATTTGCACCAGATATTGGTGAATCTGAATGTCCGAAACCTGTGTGATTTTCATGGTCCATTGTGTTTGAACCGTCATACTGTGTATTTTCCAGCCGAGTTATTAGACGTTCGTCCTCTTCGCCAAACTCACCACCCATTAATGTGGGTTCTCCTACAACCATGACGTCTTGTGATGACAGCGAGAAATTGTGACCGGACGGAGAACGCTTTTGATTACTCACTGGTGGCGTGTTTGCGTTTGCGCCCCCGCCCGAGTTTGACCCCTTTCTTTTGCGCCTTTTGTTGGCCGGCCTCTGCGGGTCTTTTTTCCCAGGGGGTGCGACCATTCTTTGCCACTTCTGAAAAAGGGTCGTCTTTAAACAATCGCGTGGACTTAGCGCATATGCTTTGTGTCGTGACATTAATTCCTGCATTGGCTCCAGAATGACACAAAGCCGTAGGTAATTTAACGTAGAGTTAGTGATTCCAGCCCTTGTAATATTTTTAGTAATTTGTTCAAGAATCATTGGATCCGATGGTAAAGAAGTTCCAATTACTGATCTAGGTATAAGTTCCCTGTGGCCCTTGATTGTCATGTGCCATGATTTTATTCGCATGTAATCGTCATACATAAATTCCAATATGAGACGGGCATCTGCACAGACTTTGGTGAAGAACGGCTTACCATGTTGGGTTATAACGGTGCACTGATCACAGTCCAATGTTATTGATGTATTGTGAAATGATTCCTTGGCGTGTTTCAATTGGAAGTATAAATCGGATACTCCTCCTTCGTAAATGCTGCGGAAAAATCTGGGAATCAGTGTGCGGCCGATAGTATAACGTTTGGGTCCATCTTCCAGGCAAAATAAAACCGTTAGCTTGGCGTCATCTTCAAAAAATTCTGTTGTGAACGAATCCCACCAACAGTTGTCGCTCTCTTCAGTTCTTTGTTGCAATCTTTTATTCATTTCAAAGACTCTATGTTCGGTGTGACTGAAGTAGGAATTATGTCTTCTATATCCCGGATCAATGCGGTCCATTTGAGGTCCTCCCATCATCGGGTGGCCGCCACCATGACCAAATCCGGAGGCTGGTGGCATTGAATTGAACTGACCGCCAACATTAAATACAGCCTGTCCGGGAAAGTGTCCTCCCTGACTATTGAACGGTGTCCCGGAACTAGCGGGTCGGCTGAACTGACCCATTCCAGATGAAGGAGAACCAAATGGGCCGCCTACAGGACCATTGAAATTTCCAGAATTAGATGGTTGTGGATATGGACCCGACATATTTTGTTGCGAAACGGGTCCGGGCGTTGAAGAACCGGAAGGTGCCGGGGATGATGTATATTGTGGTGTATTGGAACCAGTTGGGTTAGCGTTTGGAAATACAAGTGGTTGATTACCGGCAGGCGAATTTTGTCCTCCTTGCGAATACGGTGTATTTGAGCCACCGTAAGGCATATTTCCTTGCGCGAAACCGCCCTGGTTAGAACCATCGGGATTTAATGAGGGATTATTTCCCCCGCCACCCATCATTGAAGGATTTTCGGGCACATTTACGTTTTTCCAACTGGCATCATCCATGACTGATTGTGAATTTAAGTTTGTATTTGCGTTAATGCCTCTGCGATTCATAACTAACAAAAGTTCATTTCATTCCTGCAAATAAGAAAAGGTACTGTCTGAATTACCACAACACACAACATGACAATTATAAAGAAAAAGAACCACTCCCGCAATGTTGCAGAAATTATAATTTCTCCAACATTGAGACACATATCATCATTTAGGGGTATCCAAAACCTTTTCTTTACCAAAACACAAATCTTCTACGTGTTATGTATGATAGATACTGTATGATGTGTGTGTATGTATTGGTTGTTGATTCTTCTTCATTGGGTACATACGGAACAAATTGATCCAAACTTTTCCTTATAATTTCAACTTGTATTTTTCTGGGTTTTTTTATTATAATTCTCCGAGTTGGAATCGACTTTTTGTTCACTCTTAGCAACAATTTGCAAAAATTTCCGATATACTATAAGTAAAAAATATAATAGCGTACACCACAGAATTAGGGATGAGTAAATCGACTTTGGACTAATCGAATTTTTGTATTGAAAAATCGAAAAGTCTAAAAGTCGATTTTTACTATCGACCTACACAGAATCGTAATCGTACAGAAATAATTCAGTCTGAACGGCGACACAACAATTAGAACGGCGTCAAGGGATCTATTTTTTTAGAAATAATCTACTGCATCACCCCAATGCAAGGATTTAGTGACTCCAAATGTTGTTCAAATCTTATACCATATTTACAATATTGACCTTTTCCGGCTTAACTCTAGTTTAGTAAAAACGATCAGATTTTTCTGAAATTTTTTCCAGAGGTATGTTTAGCAAGAATATACTATTTTTTTAAAATTTCTTTGATATCATAAAGGAAAATTCGTAATCGTAGTAAAAGCTAGTTGATTCCTGCAGTACAGGAACATACCATATATTGGATTTCGTTAACCCAATGTGTTTGAATTGTCTAATCCATTGGATATATGCCACAAGGTAGGTTAACCCGTAAAAAGTACATTCCATTAATTTTTTTATTTATTCCAAAAAATGCAATTTGAAGCCATTAAGGCCGATTTCAATTAAATTGCAAACTATACTACTCCATTTAACAACATTTACATTCCATTTATTTTTTTATTTATTCCAAAAAATTCAATTTGAAGCCATTAAGGACGATTTCAATTAAATTGCAAACTATATTACTCCATTGAATAAAATTTATTAATGATATCTTAGAAGGCAAGTGGCAACTAACTAGTCAAGGATAGATATATTAAATATGTGTACAGAACATATTTGTATGGGCACGGAAAAAATCGGGCCACAAAGCGTTAAGAAATCCTAGTACCGATCGTTCCTTTTGCTGAATAGTTCCTTTGAACTAGTTCGTTCCGGAGCGATAAAAACTAGACGATTTAAAATGGTAGGCGTATCAGCACAGCTGTTGGTACAATTAACTGCCAAAAACGCCTCATCTAAAACAAAAAATTTAAACAATTAAAAGGAATACAACTTTTTGAAGATCATTTTTGGTGTACAATTATTATTTCCTAAATGAATGTGTGTAACAAATGAATTCGTTTTGTTTGTCGAAATACTTTTGACATATCAATGTTCTACAACAGTTGTGCGTTTCAATCGATTGCTGTTGCGGCTACCTTAGACAAGCACAACTCTAACGACACAGCTCTAGAATCAAAATCAATAGGAGCGTGTTTACGTAAATTTTTGAACGCGATGACATCTATTTACCAAAGATTTGTGAGTTTCTAAGCGTCAAATTATAATTGATATTTTAATCAACATATGTATTTCTCTCGCAGCTCAGTAGTCTCCGGCTTAGTAACCTCCCGAGTTTAAAACAGGTGAGTCAAGTCCATTGGAAGGATTCGAATATGAACTTAACTTTTACTGTTACATTTTATTCAACTAATGTCAGTTTTATCCAAAAATGGGGAGCAAGTTAAGGTGCTTTTCTCGGGTTATCTTTGAAATTAACATGCTAATCAAAATAGCCGCCTGAGGTACGTACTATAGGTGCGTGCCCTTCAGCGGCCAATATCTCGGGAAATATGGACTACCCCCTAAAAGTAATATATATATATATATATATATATATATATTCGTGAGACCTACCTGTGGGTGAAATGAGTACAAAACTTAGCATAACTTGGCCTGAGGTACGTACTATAGGCGATTATTTAGAAAAACATGTCCATCAGGGGCCAATATCTCGGGAAATATAAAAGTAGTCCATACTTAGAAAAACATGCCCTTCAGGGTCCAATATCTCGGGAAATATGGACTACCCCCTAAAAGTAATATAAATTCGTAAGAGACCTACCTGTGGGTGAGATGAGTACCAAAACTTAGCATAAGCGAAAAATCGAAACTTATTTCAATAAATATTAAAGTTTATATATCCCGGTTTCTATAAATCATGCACGAGGTGATATTTTAAAGAGTGTACGTTTATTTGCAGATTCAAAATGTGCGACTGTATAGCAGCACAAATGCTGAGAAAGCAATACAACAAGCACTAGAAAATCGTTTTCCAAAGGCAACTATAGAAGTGAAGGATGTTTCTGGCGGTTGTGGTGCGATGTTTGAGGTGTTCGTCGAAGCAAAAGAGTTCGTTGGTTTGAACACTTTAAAGCAACATAAACTTGTTACAAATACTCTCAAAGAAGAAATAAAGGAAATGCATGGCGTACGAATACACACGGCTGTCCCTAGATCTACCTAAGATGTTCTAGGGGATTAGAGTACAAATTGTTGTAATTAATATTGTAAACTTTAATATTTTTAATATATTTATAAAATATAAATGTATCTATCATATATTTGGTATTGTTATTTTAATGAAAGTCAAAAAGGAATTTGGCTGGAATAATTCAGTGTTGCAATACTTAAGAAAATAAGAACAATGGGTATTCCCATAACATTTTTAGCTTTATCGGTGTCTTTAATATAAAAAGACCTTGGATTTAAAATCAACGTCCTCAAAAAATTTATAGTAAACATTTTTTGCTTGCATCCGTTGACTTCAGGGTTAGCCGATATATCGACTACAGTTTAGGAGCTCACTTTATTAATAAAATTGATTTTAACATTTTTTAAAGACATTTAATTAAGTATAAACATAAGGCATCAAATAACAAGGTTTTCGTCATCGAACATTTTTTTGTACAAATACCTGTCGTACATACTCATTACAATGTTAGTTATTTGCTTATGTATCACAAGATTTGGTAGATACATTTTAAAAATATGTTATTTTCTATTACATCTATAGTATAAAACGTCGTTTTAAAACATAGTTTTGTTTTGTCTTTCCGCATGTGAAAATGTTGGCGTATTCTTATATTTTAGCAAGTTGACTTTTCTTGAAATATATTTCGATTGGTAGAGGAGGTACACCCCCATCTTTAGTGGGTGACAAACTGTTGTCATCAACATTTTCTTTGGGAAGGGTGTTTGTGGTTGGAACTTTACTAGGCTTAACCCGAGACTCATTGTTATGAAATCGTGATCGGGAAGTGGTAGATGTTTGTAAATTTACGGTCGATGATGGTCTTGAGGCAACAGTACTTTTAACATGCTCCATTGTTTGATTGCGTCTTCTATGTTTATTTTTTCCTCTTGATCGGTTAACAGAAGGTTCGCGTGTCATTTCAGTTGTGGTTTCTTGAGCTCTTTTCGAATTTCTGGATGGCGTCTTTTGACCCCTTGATTGGGAATTTGACCGATGTGTCCTCCTTGTGGATTCTGTCGCCGATAATGTTGATGTCGTTTTCTTAATATTTGTGCTAGTTTCTACGGTTGGCGTATCTGTAGTCGATGTAGTTGGAGACTGTGAAGTTGTAGTCGTGGTTGATGTCAACGAATACTTAAGCAGTTTATTTTTCTTCGACTTATATTGGCGATGATATTTTGGTGATTTTTTCGTTCCAAGCAGCGGGCTTCTAGTGGTTGATGTTGTAGTTGTTGATGTATTATTCTTGTGCAGTTTAAATGGACGTCTTATAGTTTTGGGGTATTTGTGAGTAGAATTATGTGCCTGATAGAAAGGACGTTTTAGTTTTGTCTTTTTAAATATACTTTCCTTTGTAGTGGTGGATGGTGAAACTGTTGTATAAAGTGACGGATTGAATGTGCTACTAATGTTGGTAGTTGGATCGGTATGCTCATCTTCTTCACTATAATGTGTTGTAGTAGTAACATCTAGCGTGTTTTGACGTGTTGTATACATAACTGATATATACGGCTTGGATGTTGTTATGTCGTCCACGCTGTGTGGAGACAACGTTGTAGTTCTGCTTCTATTTATTCCAGTGGGTATACGGGGAGAGCTTGTGCTAAAATATTGCTTTTGGTTGCCTTTCATTTGCTTATTTTGCAAAGGAGAATCAAAGACTATATTATCTTTTGTATAATTCTCGTCGATTATTCTGTTGCGGATGGGTGTTACAAACTCATTGATATGCGTATAGTACGGATCGTGCTCATTATAACCTTTACCAACGTTCGTGTAATCGTCTATCTTATGTGCTTCCATGGTATCGTAATCGTTGTCGAAGAAATTGTGTAGGAAGGTGTTTTTGGTCGTACTCACACTATTACGGGTGCCACTGTTTGACTTCATGGAGTTATGCTGATGATTTTGAGCATGCCTGTAGGCTTCCCATGGATCATTAAATATTTGGTTCGTTGAAGGTGGTTTTGTTATAGCATCTTCAAGTGTAAAGAAATTATGCTGTTCTTTGTGCTGATATGTCTCTTTCCGCGTTGATGAACTGTCGGTTTGTCGTAATGGTAAAAATGTTATGAAATTTGAAGAAATAAGTGAATTTGGAGTGGTGCTTAGCGGATGATGCATTATAGGAGTTGGTAGGAATACTCTTTGCGTAGTTGTCTCCACTACTTCTGGTTTCAAGCTAGAAGTTGGCGGCGCTGGTGTAGTAGATACCACGACATCTGCAGATTGTTTTGGCAATGGAATAACTTTTTGCTCAGAAACGTGATGCTGATTTTGAGATAACATATCACAGGAATGAGTACTAGCGATTTGTAATGAGTCCTTAATTAACGATTTTCCAAAACATGGATATGACTTAGGCTCTCTTTCTTTTACAATATTGCTGTTATCCTTGAACACTTTTCCAAACATTTTTTCGGTACCCGTTATCGGCATAATTCCGTAAATAGGTTGATGTTGCTGAGGTACCATCGGCACCCTACTAATATTATTCCAACCTGTTAGCCTATTTTGATAAGGGTGATACAATTGTTTATTATTGCGATATTTCGGGAATGTTGGAAAAAATTGTGTTGTTGGTGGTGTTGGAGGCGGAAAATGAGGTTTTGGTATTACGGCATTTATAATGGTAATATGATGGAAATTTCCAGGCTTTCTGTTAATAAAAAATGCAAATATTAAATTAGAAAGACGCGTTTTCTTTATTGCTAATGGGCGGATATTTTGTTATTAAATGCAACCGCTCTCAAGGGGTTCATTGGGTTGTATGTATGAGATTGAGTATTAAACTCCTATATCATAATAAAAATCCAAATCTTAAAGAAAAAAAATGTTGTGGAGAATATTGCCACTTACAATTTAATCTCAAACATACAACAAAAGGTTCACCATCATGACGGAGGGATTTATAGGGAGAAACTTGCTGTATTACCTTTTGTCGCCCATTTCATTAAGTCCAAAAGGTTGCGGTTTCAGATTTGGTGTTGGTATGGCAAATATATAACTTTGATGTTTTATTTGTGGTGGTAATTGAGCAAATCCATATCGATTGTAATTAATTGACATTGATCCACCCATCAGCGGTGTTTTCGTATTCATATATATCGGTTGTGGTAACATTGGTTTCCATACCAAAACCCGAGGATGGTTGTATAAATCTTGACGATTGTTTAGCCGCCATTGCTATTAAAACAATCACATATGTATATATTACCAACAATCATTTATATATTTGTAAACTTACGTTTTCGGGATGAGGATGATGATTCTGTATGCAATTTATTTCGACAAATAAAATGAATACTAAGAAAAATAAAATTACATATTTTATATAATAGTTCCAATTATTTTTAACCATAATATATAAATTAAAATAAACCACAGAAAAATAATATATTGCCAATAAACACTTAAATTTCTTTTAAGTCTTAGAACTCTGCATTTTATCTGAACGAAATAGTAAATTTTTAATTAATTGACACTAAAAATATCAACAGTTTTAATTTTATTCAAAATAACTGTGGACAACTTCTCACAGAATGTAAAAGCATAATAATTATAATTTTAAAATTACACCAATTAGTCGATACTTTAAAATATCATTTAAATTAAAAAAAAAATGAAAATTTCAACAGTATAAATATTTTAAAACAAAAAATTATACCACAAAGAGCAAATAAAAACGAAGGACCACTCATATTTTGCAAGGCTTTCTACGAATTTTCTTATTTTAGTATGAAAGTATAGTATCTAGCGCTAAGGCCACACTGATTAAAGAATTAATTCATACGTTCAAAAGACTATAAAACAAGATGGAATCATGTGAAGCGGAACGAATGCATAGTTTTTTTGTTTTTTAGTTTTCACTGCATACATTTATAGTCTGGGCATGTTTTCTTATTTATGGTGTTCATGAACATCTTTTTAATAATATACACACATTTGAAGAAGTGTTAAACACTATTCAACATATTTTTGAATTTAAAGATGTAAGTATAGTATACGGATGCACCAGAATCCATTGACATAATAATTTTTAGTTAATTCTTTGAACGACATTAACAATATCCACAAGACTTATCCGTTATAATTGTTGTTGTTGTTATTGAAATACATTTACATTACCCGGATGGACTATCTTACGATTAGCATTCGTTTCCTTCGGATTTTATTAACATCTGATAAATATTTAATTTATTAAGCATAGTAACAAAGCCATATAGGTCATTTAAGTTACACAAAACAACATAACTTATACTACTCCAGAAACTTATACCTAGAATAAAATAACGTAGCATAAAAATTAAAATAATATATTTTTAATAACAAATTAACATAAAGTTAAAAAACGATTCATGTAACCCCAGTTATGAAAAACAGAAAAGAAACAGACAATTATAATGAACTAAAAATTTAGATATCATGAGATTAGCATTCGTTTCCTTCAGATTGTATTAAAATCTGATAAATATTTTATATTTTTGTGAATATGTTCGTTCTGTGAAGTCGTTGAATTGGTAGAATATTTGATATTTCTGTTGTTAAGTGTAGCATACACAAAATAAATGAAAACAACTAAACAGCACTCATGATTAATAAAAATATTAAAGATAGTTAAAAACGCTATTGCAGGAAAAATGTATGTTGCCGCAATGAAAGTGAGAGTAATTCAAGATGAAACATAAGTACACATACGAGTTGTACCAATACCTTGCAAAAAAAAAAAAAATAAATAAATAAATAAATGAAATAAAAAACGTCTACGATTCTTTCTTTTCTAAATTTGCACACGTAATTTGGTTTACACCTTTTATATAAAGTTTGGCTATGGAAAAAATCCAGACACCAAACATTAAGTGGTGATGTTGTCGTTACGATTCTACGATTTAAATATGCATACCTCAAAATAAGTAATTTAATATAAAATTTTATTTTATAAATAATATATTTTCTTAAAAAGATATCAAAATATTTTCTGCTCTACATAAAATGTATCTTTTAAATCAATTCCATTATTTATTCTAAGACGAAATAACGCATTGTTGCTTTTTATGCATTACGAAAAGCGTTACAGTTTCAATGTAATTCTACATATTATTGTTACTGCGCTCTGCGTAGAAAACTTGAGTCATCCAAATTTTTTATCAACAAGCACCACCTGCACATCTTACGTGTCATTGCCGAAATTTAAGAAATCAAGGACACCGAAGAAGGAGTAATAATTTGCAATTGAACCAGTAATGTATTCACCCCCGTACCAATGAAGACGAAATATTCAGTGGTTGTGTGTCACGACATGGAATATCCTGGCAACGGCAGGCAATTACACCATGACAACGACCAAAAAAAGTAATTTTATATTCACCCTCAAAGGAATTGAGAACAATGTTTTTACCAAACGTCCTCTGCAGAATTCCCTTAGTTATTAATTAAGTTCGATAATGTCAACAACGAATTGTACAGTTTTTTGCCTGCGGAGCATCGTTCCATTTCAAGTACTTTTAATAATTGTTCCGTTATTGGGTCAGCATGCATTTGTGTATGGCTTGGAAGCGCCCACAGTTCATCTGCCCAACCAAGGCGCAATTGTGGGAATGTATATGAAAATGTTTCGCACACAGAATATTAAGGCCTATTTGGGAATACAGTATGCCAAGGCCCCAAGATTTGCGCCACCCGAAATTAAAGTGAACAAATGGAATATGATATATAATGCAACATCATATGGACCAAAGTGTTGGCAAAGGCAAAAGGATACAAAACCGACCGATAAGCAAACATCCACTATACAGGAACTCTTGATGACTTCTATTACAGGTGGAGCAAGTTTTCGAGATGGCTATGACGAGGAGTGCTTGTATTTAAATATATTCATACCAGATGGTTAGTACAGCCAACAAACTAAAATATAATAATTATAAGTTCATTGGTACACCGTAATTACAGATGCACGTAATATTATACATATGGACTTTCTGGTCCTTTCCTCTGTTATGATGTCACCTTCAATACTATATATCTAAAGATAGATTTTTTAATACGATATATTTTTTAACTACATTTTATAGGCTATAGTAATGTTAGCATTTTTTATGAAAAATATGTGGTAAACCTTTTCAGGCCCCCCTGGTTTAACGGGATATGCTGTAATGGTTTGGTTTCATGGTGGTGACTTCTCATCTGGTAGTCCTACAGACATCGATCCTTTTCAAATGGTTTTTAAGCAGAAAGTCATTGTGATTACAGTGGCTTATCGATTGAGCATAATGGGATTTTTATCATCTGGAGATGCCGAGGCTCCTGGAAATTTTGGTCTAATGGATCAGTCCGCAGCACTCTTATGGATACGAAAAAATATTGCACACTTTGGCGGTGATTCGAAAAAAATTACTATAGTTGGAATAGGCGCTGGAGCCGTGAGTGCAGGCCTACATCTTACTTCGGGTGATTGGTCTAGAAACAGTTTCCACAGAGTAATCATGATGTCAGGAAATCCACTAACAGAAGACACCGTAAGGACATTTAATGCGTTCAGCCCACACTTGGATGTGATTGCAAATGTTTTTGGTTGTAATCGTAAACCGACTTCAATGCTTATGCAGTGCCTGAAAAGAGTTGACGCCAAAAGGTTGATGGATAATCTTCCAGATGTAGAATTCGGACCTATTATTGATAAAGGTTTCAGTAATTCATCTAAAGGATTTATTGATGATTTTCCAGTAGTCCTCTTAAGAAACGGAAATTATCATAAAGTTCCAATAATGATGGGAATGACTGACATGGAAGACGTTCTACAAATATTAGATGATGAGGAGCGAGAAGGAACCGAAATGACAGCTGAAGACTTTGAAACATTTGCATCCAAGGTGGCAATGAACGACATTCAGAAAAACAATCAAAGTGATCTATGGTGCACTGATTATCCTATAGTATTGGATTCCATTAATCTGATGTATAAAAATGAGGAGGACGTTAATCAGGAAACTGTCTTAAACAATTTTATAAGTTTTCACACAGACCGAGTGTACTTGGCTCCCCTCTTCCTCTTGGCAAATCTTGTAAGCACCGATGAAGACGTATATGTCTACTATTTTAATATTCGCCCGAAAACTGAATTCTATACACTTCCTAATTGGATAAGTGTTCCCAAATATTTTGATCAAATATTTATATGGGGTGTGCCATATATGAATAACCAAATGTTTATTAATCGTTGGAATGCGACCGATAAGAAAATCGCCGAAATGGTTATGACCCTTTGGGCAAATTTCGCAAAAACTTCCAATCCTACGGCTTCCAATGTTTACATAAAATGGAATTCCTACAATGTCAACAATCAGTCCTATTTAGTAATAAACGAAGATTTCAATGTACGAACTGTGGCTGAAAATCACAAAATAAATTTTTGGAATGATTACTACCCCAAATTGATAGATTTTGCCATTGAATGTTGCGCTTCCAGAAACGTCGCTAAATCACATCTTCCTCTACATGGTTTCAATATAACCTTTATAACTATAATATATATTTTACATAAAATGTTTATAGTGTAAAGTTGTTAAGATATATTTATATACACTGTATTTTATTATTGCCTAATAAAATATACTATACTCAACATGTAATTTGTTTTACTTAAGCTCGGCCACAGAGATAACGCGTAACTTCTATTAGTAGAAATTGTTAACCCTATGTAAATTGAAAGAAAAGTTATTAAATTTAATCAAGTATTGCATGTTTTGCATTTGAGAAGTTTTTTCATTCGAATTCTTTTATTACTTCTTTGAGAGTCGCGAGTGCACCTGTAAAATAGATAATTTTCACTCGTGTGGCACATAGTAATATTTATGTCAAACTTAGATCATGTTCGAAGATGGATCATACCAGTACATTCCTATTGGTTCCTCCCCCACAAAATGCTCAAAATTGTACTGAATTTTTTTTTTATAATATCAAATGAAAGAACAAATTGAATGTCCGATTTGATCCAAACTTTCTAAATTGTAATACTCATTTTCGTACCTTATGAAAAACGCGTAGAATGTCGAGATAGTAAGGAAACGTTTTGTATAAGCAAACAACAATGCGTATGGCTGAAAAGTTTACAATAGAAGTCAAATTCCGGAGAAAACAATTAAATAAAATAAAAAAAAAATTCCCAAAAAAAGTTTGTATTATTTTTTATTCATATTTCTTGATTTAATCTTTTGAATTGAGAACTTAATATTACAAAAATCGTAAATGTGTCAACCTATAGCTAATTACTGTGAACGAAAAAATGCTAAAATAGGGAAGAAAAAATATACATGCGAAACTTATTTTAAGGATGTTATTCAAATGTTTCCTTATAGGGAATTGTGGTACTATAATATTATGAAAATTATTTGGTGTTGAAAATTATTTTTGACCTTTGGATATTATTTTTATATTCCTTTTTTCGGATTGAGATCATCGAATTTTTCACCAGAAGCATATTTCACCAGAAGCTAAAAAAATACCGTTACATACACCAATGTTTTCTGTGAGTTCTTTTACGAAAGTTCCCACCTTTCAAATACTCTGACATTTTGACATTTGAATCCCCTAATCTGGCAACACGGCTAACAGTTGACATCGCATCGGCAAACAAAACAATTTAACAGGACATAATTGGGACGTTCCTTAATTCGCAAAGCACGTTTTTCATTACTGTCTATCTTCGAAATAGCTTTATTTCTCTGTACGCTGAAATGAAAATTCCATTGGTGCCACAGTGGAATATCAACAATGGTTGTGTTTGTACACCAGACGGTGGTTTCCTTTATGTAGGCTCTCGCAGCGTTAACTATATTAGTTCCCTGAAAGAAGGACAAGATACGCCCCAAATAAAAATATTCCACACTCGTCAAAACATTTTAAAGATTGACATAGATCATCATTGGGGTGACACGGAACAAAGCTGTGGTGGTAATGAGCCGGCACCGAAATTGTTTGTTGTTCTGTTCCAAGATAACTCTGTACAGATATGGGATTTCAATAAGGGCTATGCTCTACAGGGGCACCAAGCTCATTTGGCCTGTATGCGCTATATGGAAGGCAATGGCCCCTCGCCACAACATGCTGGTGAGGTATTTGTCAGTTACATGATTAATCGGAATGTGCTGTCAATGGACAGCAGGGACATTGTCGTGTACTGTGTTGCTTCGAACAGCTTTTGCAGAAGACCAATGTTTATTTCGCCTCGCAATCATCAAATCACTTCTATGAAATGTTGTCCATATAACGAGAACCATTTTGCTGTGGGAACTAGCCGCGGCTTGGTTTTACTCTGTGACCTGCAAAAAATGGTTACTCTGTATACCCTACGTGGTCACAATTCCGCCATTACGTCCTTAACATGGAATAGAATATTGCCTTCAGATATAGGCCAAGCATCTATTGAAGAAGACAGTAAACCTGAAAAGCCACTGTCGAAAACGGCAAAACTACACAGAACCGATACAACAATTGTGGATGCCGATGACATATTTGATATATACGACTATGATTATTTGGATAATGAGTTTGGGGCAACTACCCAGGTGTCCAAAACAAAATCAGACTCTATATCTGAATTTGTCGGCATTGAAAAGACACAAGACACTTCGGGCACAGCGGCAGAATTCGATTTCGCTGAAGCGTGCCAAAGTCTGAAGGAAGAAATAAATGCTCTGAGAGACGAACAGCCGCAACTGTCGCCAGAGCATATAGTCTCGCTAGAAGATTGCAAAAATGCAAATGTTTGTGTCGATACATCTTCGTGTGGCAGTGACAGTGAGAACGAGGAACAACCCTTAGAGAGAAAATCCTCTGAGGATAGCCTAGTGCGTTTAGTGTGTGGTACACCATCGTCCGAAGAAAGCGTTGACGTCGATGGAATTGATCGTGTTGCTAAACAGAGAATGGTGTGTCAGGCAGAGGTCCATGCCGCTCTATTAACTGAGAACAAAGAAGAAAATAAGGAAACGCAATGTCAAAAAGAAGGTGATCAGAAAGCATCGACTAGAAGAGATGATGTGATGTCTATACTAGAAGATTATCTTCTGGCATCATTAAGTGCGGATGGATCTCTATACATTTGGAATACGTCAACAGGAGCAACATGCGATCATCACAAACTCCGCAATACAAACGCGAATAAAAATAAGAAAAGTAAGTCAGTTACAGATTATTTATACAAATGCGTGATAATCCAAAACATTTTCACCCATTTCAGATACAAACCTTGCGATATCATGGGTGAATTCTACTTCGTTCATTACATCCAATAAGTCAGGCGAACTACAGCTATGGATGCTGGACACAAAGTCCAGTAATGCAAACAGCTCAGCAACGTCTGCATTGCAGCGGTACAAATTTAAGGAAGTCAAACGTCGTTGGCAGCAACGCACTATTGTCGCATTTTCTGCGTGCAAATCCAAGCAGTATTTATGGTGTGTTTCATCCAATCGAGAAATAACACTGGAAGACATGTCTCTAAATAAAATTGATATACAATATGGTTGTGTCTCTACGAATATAGGTGCCTTGCGCGAATGTCCGGATGATATGAACAAGTAAGTATTCGCAGCATTGTGTTGGATAAGATAAACAACCGTCTAACCAATTTTCCATACAGAATAGCATTGGCCTTTTCCGATCGTCGAATTGGAGTAATAGATATTTCCAAAATGACGCCGAATCTTATACACATAGACAATTTTGTACAACGAATCGAATCACCCGTAACTTCACTAGTGTGGAGTCCAGATTGTAAAAAACTAGCCTATGGAACACAAGAAGGCAGGGTATGCTACTGCCTGTTACCTGTTTTGGAACACAGCTGAATTAATAGCACTTGTATATATTTTCAGATTGGCATTTTATCGATTGAGGCCGGACACAAGCAGACACCATTCACATTCAATTCTGTGTGTGGCAAAACTATATACTCAATAAGCTGGTGGGATAAATATTTGTTTGTGGTATGCAACGATCGCATTGCCGTATACGAAGACAATCCAAATAAGAAAGGTATAAAAACAGATGTTTCCTCTAGTGGTGATATCGTCTATTGTAGCATTGATTTTGAGTATTCCTTTTGCCAAAAGAAATATCCGTTTGTGCTGATGAAGTTTGTTTTTGTCGCAAGTTGGCCAATGTTATAGCATGTCTATGATAATCCCACACATTCCATGAAATGTTTGAACATATTTGATGACGATGATTTGGCCTAGATTGATTACTTTCAGTTTGTGTTATGGAATCCTTAAGCTTTGCATCAGATTCTTCCGTTCTTTTTATGCTTAGATTTACAATTATATATTCTAATTGTAAAAATAATATCATGTCGACTGATTTAAGAACTATGCTTTCGAAACCTCCCGAAATTTGATTCATATTACTTTCTGAATACTTAAGAAATTCTGCGTTAGCAAAACCGAAACAAAAATTCATTTTTGTATTTTTGTTTGGGGCCGATCGTATTCTTGATGGAACCAGAAGCCCCTTCGTTAGAACTATTGTAAGAAGGCAATAATCTTTAAGTAGCGGATACTGTAAGAGAAAGGTATATTTAATATTGCGCATTAAAACTTATTTTTCATTTTAATGTTAATTAAAACTTACAAGTTTGTGATAGTCGATATTTGGCATTGATTTATACAAATCAAATGTTTTTGCCGAAGTATCATCAAATCTTATACATGATGGAATAGTTGCCTGGGTGGTGTTAATGACGGTTTGATAACTATTCCGTATATTCTCATTAACTACGTCATCTAACTGATCTTTAATTCTGTTCACCTCCGCTAGACAATTTAAATACACAATTAAGGAACGCCATACTTCGCTGAGGTAAACAAAGTGTGGCTAAAAAGAAACCAGAAATAATAGTGACCAAAACACGACTTCAAATTTATCGACTTACAAATATAAATTCAGTCTCAATTGCCGATCTAAAATTTAGAATATCGTTAATTTTGTCAATTACGCAGACAAACTTCTTCTGTGCCACATCAATCAAATATCGTATCTTTTGAACCGTTGCGTTTATGCTTTCTAGATGTCTTTTATAGATGATAAATAATATGACAAATTTATTGATTTGTCGTAATATTTTTAGCGGCTGTCGATACGTAATGGTTTTCTCCTTGATGTTGATTTCTATTGCCTCCTCCATTGTATGCATAGCTTGTTCTATGTCATTGGAATTCATTTGTAGACTTTCGACCATTGTGTCGTTGGTGTTGATCACAGCCATTTCTAAATCGCTGATAGCTAAAACATTCAATTAAATGTAAACTTTCACTTCTTTGAATATATTTGCAAAATTACCTTGCATTATAGGGTTTTTGGTCTTATCGAGTTTTCGGGCATTATAAAAGTTAAATACTAAAATGCCACAGACGGTTGCTCCCAATCTATGCAAATATTCAAGACGATGATATTTTTTCTTCATCACATATTTCTGTAGATCCCCACGACCCAAAACGCTATCAATGCTTTGGCGGGTCCTCATCAATATCTGTCGAATTTTATTTGAATATATACATATATCTATTTATATGGTTTATTTATTTAACTTACCTCAGCGTCGTTTGGAGAACCGATAGAGTAATTGGTTATAATAAAAATTTGCATTTTCACGTACATTTCTTCCAACTGTTTGGAATTGCAATTTTCGGGATATTTTAATATAGAATCTATTAACCTGTCTGTTTTCTCTTTAAAATTATGTTCTATTTTTTTCTTAATGTCGTCCGGTTCCAAAGGGATGTTGATTTTGCAAAAGTAACTCAACTTCAAAGAGTTCATAGTTATATCCGTGGAATCGTTCAATTTGCTTAAACATCGCTGCATGTATTGTTCCATCTGGCATATACTCAGCTTTTCAGTTTTCCAATTTCTTAATGTCAATCCGTCGGTTTCATCGTGCAATATTAGGCGTAGGAAATATTTTGCAAAATTATAATCAATATTTGTAAATATTTGTGGGGCTTTCCTAGCAAAATATGGCACTAATTCGTCGATTCCAATGCTTTTATTTGACAGCATTGCCAATTTATAATCTTTATGGTACCCGGGATGTGATTTGGACTTATCGTTTTCAAATATAAGTTTTAACAAATATTCTCTAAAATCTTCTTCAATGGATTTTTGTAAAATTTCTTGCAATATGTCGTTCACACTTAGACGGAAATATTCCATTTTGAATTTTTAAATGACGTCTTGCTTTGAATTTTTGCTTCGTAAAGGTTACCATTTGTTTATTTTTCGTTGCCAGTAACAACCTCTTACGCCTTTAGAACAATACTTTATTGAAAGTTATGTATCTCGTACACTTCCTTCGAAATGTGTGGTCATTATAAGACCAGAGTTGTTAGCCGGGTGCGCCAGTTACAGATCAATTTAGAATATATATAGGTTTTCTGTTTTTTTTTTTTTTTTGACCCATGGACTATGCTTTAACGTGTTTCATATTTTCTTCATAAAATTTCAGATGCATACATAATTCCTAATATTAATCATGTATCGGCCCTATCATTGAGAAATAATTTTCTGTTTGTCGGAACTCAGAATGGACGACTACGACTGTATCAAAATAAATCGTCTCCGTTCGAATATGAGTTGAAAAAGGAACTTGAATTGTCTTCTCGCTATATAACCGAGATTGTCTGGAGCCCGATTGCTCTAAATAAGTTAGCTGTAACTGCCAATTCAAATAACATACATATCCTTGAATTTAAGGAGGAGGAGGGGGGAAATGCCACATTGTCAGTTGTACGAACACTGGAAATAAAATCACCTAAAGCGGCAAACGCCTGTGTAAAATGGAGCAATCGAAACGATAACCTGCTATTGACGTGCGGCTTTGACGGAGCGATACGCGTTTGGGATTTGGCAGACGAAAGTTCTAATGAACGTTTTCTAAAATTGTATCATTGCCCAATGAAATGTGGTCTATTTTTACCTACTGATGAGGACGTAGTAATGTGTGCAGGCATGAGTACCTCTCTAGAATTCATAGATATGCGCACAGAAAAGCCAGATGAAAATTCCGCCAAGGCGAAGCGAGCTCGCACTTTGGACAATGTGCAATGGGCCACAAAAACACCATCAAGAAATGAAGGCAAACCCACACACGGCGACAAGAAATCCCACAAAACTGTTGAACTTAGGAGCCCATTGGAACAAAGATCAGGCTATTGTAAGCAGTGCCCTGATCACGCAAAAACCGACTGTGAAGAAGTTTCAAAAATGTTTGAAAAACTTGATATCCAAAAAAATAGTTCAGCCACGGCCACATCGGTCTATATGAAGGTTAATTGAAACATGCAATTTTTTATGTTTATATCAAAAACTGTTCAAACAATGGAATATCGAATCTACTTTGCAGATCCCCTCAACGTTGTTATATCTCACCACCAAGGAAATCAATAAGGATTCACTGGAAATTATGTTCAATATTTTAAGTCAATCCACCCTAGCCAAAACAATGGACAACAAGTCATTGTGTGTCAAATTATTTGGATCCAAAGCCGAAGCAATGCAGCTGTTAGCAGAAGAATGTATGTTCGAGAGTCTACTTAACATAAATATTCTATTCTGAAATATAATCTTTTATTAGTAAAGAATCACCAGAATAGTGAGACCAAAGGCATATCCAACCTCTACATGCCGCAAGTAAACGGCACGTTGAAGGATGAAATTCTCAGATGCGTCCAGAATAAACAGCTTTGTGAGTGGCACGTTTCATTAGCTCCCAGCATCTCATATAAGTATGTAAATTGTTTGTAGTTAACACGGAAGCACTTGTGTTAATCATTTGCTTTTTAGCTTTTGGCAAAAGTGCTGCCAGGCCTATGCGGAGCAATTGGTGGAGCAGGGGTATGTTCTGCAAGGTGTTGTATATATGATGGCCATTCACCAAGAACGCGATGCCATAGAAGTGCTAACGGAGAAGTCTTACTTTAAGGAAGCTTTGTTGATATCCCGCATTTATTTGCAGCCTGATGATCCCTTGAATGATAAAATCAGTGAACAATGGATAACACATCTTTATAATAATGGAAATTTAACGGGAGCTGCTCTCTTGTACGTCATTTAAATACGATCTCCGTAATAGAAAATAACATTACTTTTTTTGACAATTCTAGGTGTTTGCTGAGCAAACAAAACAATCGCGCCTACGACTGTTTGGCCAAAATTCGTAATACATCACCAGAAGTTGAACGTGTAATTCGTTTGTTGAAGAATTCCGAAAATTAAGACATTCCACTATTTCTCTGGCACCATGCGCCAAAAATTATCAAAATTGAATTTTCTGTAAGTCCACAAATATATGAATCTTTAGTTGTTATTTTTATAAAATATGGATTTATAAAAACATATATAAGTTTTCCAAATAAAAGTTGATGCATTTTGTGATTAATTTGTGTTCAAATTCTGAAATAGAAAAATATACGTTGGGTATGGATATTGTATAACAATTGGAGGTTTCCATACAGTACAATGCATTATTCAACATTTTCTTGTCGAAAATTGTTCTGTAATCTGTAACTAATGAAATTAATTACAACTGTGGACATTTTTTACGATTTTATCGAGACATTGAAGGACTTTGTAAAATAAGCAAACACATAGGATATTTTGTGTTTTTATCATGTTATGTGGGATTTCTCCCAACAAAATTGCATGGCAGTTGAGGAAGACTAAAGCATGAATTGATTCATGTTCCTCCTGATTGTCCTTGTAGAAATATACGGATGAAATTTTCAATATTAATAAATAACTATAGTCAAAGAACAGTGCATTTTTCTTAGAAGTAATTTTTATTGTTTAATTCAATTTAAAAAAAAAGATTCACGTTTGTTTTTTACATTAAATGCTAACATAAACTTCAATGTCGAAATGCTCTAGGATACTTTTGAGAACAAATACGTATAATGGAAATGTGGATGAAGTTCCTGCCTTCTGGCAATATTAAATTTACTTTATACTTTTGTTAGAATTTACAATTCTGTCTTTTTAGGTTTACCGCTGCGGTCGTAACCTTTCAGTTCCTTAGTAGCGTGTTTCGAAATAAATTTAATGAAATCGTCTACTTCGCGGCCTTCATTGTAGGATACAGGCTTATTCTTGGAGTCTTTAGGCAACCAGAAAAGTGTAGGGAATCCGCGTACATTGAATTCTGGTGGAACATCGTTGGCGGTAGCATCCATTTTGGCAATAACTACATCTTCATCTTGCAATTTTTCAGCCAACTCATCGTAGACTGGAGCCAATTTCTTGCAGTGGCCACACCATGGAGCGTAGAATTCGATCAGGGTGTCCTTGTCATTGTTGATGACAACATCATCGAAGTTTTTGGCAACGGCAACTTTGACAGGAGCACTATTATCCTCAGGGATGGGTTCGGATTTAATGTAAGGTTCCAGTTCGCCTTCCAATAATTTTTCTGCAAAATCACGTAAGTTCTCTACAGAGAACTCCTCCTTCAGAGCGTATTTCAAGTTCTTGGCATCACGAGCCAAAATAACTGGTTTGTCACCGACGAAATCGTAACCGTACTCGTTAAGTTCGTGTTGGAAATCATCTTTAGAAGAAATAGCAAAGGACAATTTGCCAGCAAATTCCTTTGCTACCTTAAGTACACGATTGCGCCAGTAATTGGTACCTTTGGGATTCTTAGCGTAGTCAACACCGTAGTAGGCGGTAATCAGGGGGTTTTTGAAGTCACGTACAGTGTCTTGAGTACGGTGACCGACTAATCCATGACTAAAGTAAAATTAAAAAATATATATATATATATAAATGCAAAAAGAAAAACACGTAAACCTTTGAAACTACTTACTAATTTTCTTTAACAAAAGTGGTCAGATCGGATTCGGATGATCCGTCAAACTTGACAGTGGATTCTTCAAATTTATTGGCTAAATGAGGAGCCCGGATGAGGACAATGGCATCGCTTTTTAGAAAAAAAAACATGTTCATTTAAATAATACACAACAAATTTAGGTGTATTTAATTTGGATATAAACAGTTTCTGTGTGATTCCTACCTTTCACCAGCTTTTTCCAAAACCTCGGCATTACTGCTGTGTCCAAAGCGGTATTTTTCACGATTTTTGTCAGCGAATTTCAAGAAGGTTTTGGCCAGTTTGGAGTTGGCGTCTTTGAAGTAACCGAAAATTGTTGTTTCTTTGGCTGCAAGGAATTTGTCTAATTCCTCGACAGATTTTACTTCTTTAGAAGCAGGACCAACTTGAGCGCGCATATATTTGGCAATACCTGCTGCCTCACGAGGGCCGTTGTAGTCTTGCGAGACTTCTTCGCCCTTGAAAATCTTTAATGTTGGATAGCCGCTGACGGAGAATTTGTTACATGTTTCCTTTCCAGCCTCAGTACAATCAACCTATATAACGAGAACAAAACAGCTTAACATTTGTACTCGAATGTAACAGTCAGTATTTATGTACCTTGGCCAATGTAATTGGTGGATCGTCATCTTTAACGATTTCGGCGGCCTTGGCATATTCGGGTTTTAGTCTTTTACAATGGCCGCACCTAAAACATGAGAAAACATTTAGTACATCCGGGGCTTTATCATTATTTTATAAACAAGAAGTAAACTTAGAAGATATGTGTTTTCGAAACAACAACATGTATATTCTAGTCGTATCAGACACCTTATCACTAAAAGTTCCAGAAACATTTTATTACAATTGGGCCGACAGAACGGAAGTTAAATGATTTGATCTATTTGTATGTGTTTCACATTATAGAATGTAGAGTAAGAACAGGAAATTAGGAATATGCGGGTATAGAATATAATCGTATTTTTTTACTTTTAACAGGCGATTATATTACACTCTTCACGGCAGAAGTACTTTATGAAATTTCAGGTTATAAGTGAGTCCAATTTATTTGGAAAACAGGGGCTTAAATGTTATTCTTACTTTACTCAATTAATGTTAATGTAAATATCAATTTTATGCACGTGGTTGCTATAATAATTTAAACACGCTTTACAAAAAATAAATCAAAGTCGTCGATATATATTTTAGATTCTATGATATTTACATATTTTATTAGAGGTCCAATTCTGAAAATGTTAGATTTGATAATAACATAGATATCATCAGTACTCCGTTGGATGCAATACCAATTACAAATCAATATGCTCTTGCCGGCCATTTAAATGCCAATAATGAACGATAAGCTTGCAAGTGCTGGTCATAGACCCTCACTCACACAAATATAGATTAGCCTTTTGTATATATAATATATATAAGTAGATGTTTGCATGCATTACTTTTCATAGCGAAATTTGTACGAATATGTGTGAAATTTTACAGAAGAACAAAAAAGGTTTAAAAACTTGAAGGATGACGTGTAAATTGTGTTAACATCATAAATTTCTTGAATCTTACCATGGTGCATAAAACATGACTAATGTAGTGGAATGCTCACTAAGGACGGATAAGAAATTTTCATCGGTCAATTCCAAAACATCGCTTTCGGCTGCATTGGACATAAAGGCCAATCCAGCTATACACAAAACCAATAATGCTTTATGCATATTTTTTTCTTTGAGACACAAAAACACCACAAATTTATTAACAACTTATTCCCGGAACGCCCAGACACGCAACTACCGACTACCGGCAAACAATTGATTTTTACCACCAACGAATGGAGCCACGTCAGTCGACTATCTGACCAGTGTTGCCAGTATTTATAAGTCTTTCTCTCACTCGCTTGTCTTAAAAATAGAAAATTGCCACATCCAAAAAATTCCCTTTAAATAAATGTCAAAAATGACATAATTATAAATTAATATCTCCGAATTTTGGAAAATAGCGGAAAATAATTTAATGTTGTATTTTGGCCTGTTCCCGTACTCAAAAAGGGGTAAAACATTTCAAATCTATAATATTATTTTCTGTTCGCCCGCAAAAGGAACAGTGCACAATGTGTAATCATTTTACTGTGTATAGCACGACGGATTTCTCTTGTTTGGCTTAGTTCCGTTCGTTCATTTCATAGAATCATTCAGTTGAACTAGTTTAGAGTGACACAACAAAACATGATGCTTCTTCAATTCAAACAAAATGTGCATCTGGAGGACTTTAAGGGATATACGGTAATTGTTCCGAGTATTTGTATAGGGAATGCGGCTCAATTGGCATGCGATTTATTGATATCATCGAAGAATTTGAAGCGGGTCGGTTCTATCATTCACCCCGCGTTAATTCCATGTTACGGACCGTCAGCTTTCCAACATGAGCCAGAAGAAAAAATTGCAGCATGCGAAGTGTATTCTTGCCAGGTTAGCAGACTGTTGGTCTTCCAATTTCGATCTCCGTTCATTTCGACGCATATGGTTAGTTTCCAAAACGAATTGGCCAATTTATTAAAAATTGCTGCGAGAGTAATAATTCTGAGCGGAAGTTTAGGATTCGAAAAGCGGATTATTGACTCCTGTCCCTACGAATACAAGGCAAGTGATGAATTGAAGGAAATATATGGAGATAGACTGAGTAATATGAAATGGAAGGAATTTAAAGGTGAAATGATATTTGGCGGCGGAAACGCCCTGGAGCTTTACAAAATTATGGAGGAGCAGAAGGTGCCCGTTATGATTTTATTTCGATATCTGTTAGAAGGTGACAACTCAACGGATGCCGCTCTCATCTTGAGCGAACTGACCGAACTTTGTAAAGACTTTTTAGCTTTGAAAACCGAAGACGGTGGATTGCAGTTAAAGGTTCCTATATCATGGAAACTTTTGTTCGGAAATGATATTCCAGAGTTAATATTTTAAATATACACTTTTATAGTAGTGTTTGGCGGGTTATTTGGGATACCATTTGTATTTTGTTTTTGCAAAATAGTCAGGCTTAATCCCAGTTTGTTGTTTTTATAAAAAACAACTATTTATTAGTATTAATTTATAAAAACAACAAACTGGGATTAAGCCTGACTAGTTTGAAAAAACAAAATACACTTTTATTTTAATAAGTTGGGAGGAATACTTTTTATTACTATGTGTTTTTTGGTATTATATAATAAAGGCGTTGGGAATTATTGTTCATTTTAAAATGCTCCTAAATGTGAATATTTGATATATGTTTAATAAAAGAAATATTGATTTTAAATGAAAAGTATTTTAATATTATTTTTTTGTACTAAGTTATTTTTAGGTAAAAATTATTTTTTTTTTAATTTTTAAGTAACAGGTAGCTTTATAAAGTGCTCTTTGATTTAGAGTAATTGGGGGTTGTCGTGGATATCTATTATGTAAAATTAAACTTCTGTTCCATAGGTTTATGCGATATGTTAAAGAGTTCCTTGGTTGATCTTGTTTTATAAGGTATTTAAGTTACAGACTCCTTTCTCTGTAGTGGATTTATTTATGTTTTCTAGATCTGTGAGAAACATACAAGTACTTGTGCAGCGTTTGTGTCTCTTATTGGAAAAATCATATTTTGTGCGAATTTCTAAAATTTTTAACCCTCTAGCCTCAATTCGTCTTAAAATTCATGGGTTTTGTTAAAAAATAAATAAATTTTAGCCCTATAACCTCAATTTGTCTTAATATGCATGGGTTTTATTTAAAAAATAAATAAAATTTTAACCCTCTAACATCAATTCGTTTTAAAATTCATGGGTTTATGTTTTTATTGCACAACTGATTTCAATTTTTAAATAATTATAACTATAATAACTTATATTTTTTATAATAATCTTTGTAATATTATTATAAGATATTTAAGCCTGTAACATGAGAGGGGTTGAGAGTAGATATAAAATTGTAGTCTTGGCCCTATGAACTAGAATAATCTAATTATAATAATAACAATGTTTTTGAATTACAAGCATTCTGACCCCCTCCAATTGAATAGACGTTAAGATATTATTAAGCTGGTATATTATTAGTTTTAAGCTCTTGGAGTAGTCTATATTTTTTTTGTTTTTTGAATCGCTCTTGTTCCTTTGGGCTACATTCTCGTATAACAAAAAATTTGAATTGTTCCTAATTTCGTGGTCAACATTTAATAAACGTGAACCTAGTCCAAAAGGCCATGAGCGATTTCAAAAACTTCATTACATGGACTACTCCAAACGCTTAGAATTGGCAATTTGGCTTAATCATATCATAAATAACAGTACATAAACTAACAACAGAAACAAATAACAAAAAAAAAATATATAGCATTTTAACAATATTTTTTTAGTAAAAGCTTTAATTCTTTTTTCTTAAAAAATTCTATTTCAACTGCTATATATTCGTTATCTGATTTTTTCATACTGTTAAAGAGTGTACTGAAGAGGAATTAGAAAATTGTAACGACTATTGGCTTATTATCACTATTTTAATAATTTGTCAAATAACTTAAATTTAATAAAAAACCAGTGAGCGAAGCAGTATAGTCGGACGGGGCCGACCATATCATACTCTACACACCTACGAAGGAGTTTAAACTTTCTGCGGATGTTTATTCCGAGCCTGGGTAATATTTCGTGACATCTGCACCCTCTTGTCCGATTAGAGGTCAACAGCACCTTTTCCATACACTGGCATATTTTCCGAATATTTCTAATATTCAGTACAGCCTTTCTAATTACTTATCCAGATTGTCTTCACCGTGGCTTGTATGGTGATTTTCGGCTTACAACTGTGGCCTATAGATCGATTCGAAAAACAAAAATAAGTTTTCGGTCCACTTCATCCCAAAATTATTATCTGACCATCACCAAAAATTATAGGCGCTGTCCTTGACCATAACTGGATCCCGATGGAAAATGTCAAATCGGTCAGCGTTATATTTCCGCCCTCTAGTGTGGTAATGGGTTACTAAATAATCAGCCTTATTCTGGATGTCAATTCCACGTGAATTTACTCGCTCTTTCCCTTCGTCTTATTCTGAACAACATTTTTGTGTGAATTTTTTCGCATTCTCGCTTTCGCCTTATTCTGAATGAAGTTCGAAAGCGAAATATTCCGCTTTGGGGAAAAATTAGGTATTCTGGATTACAGGGAGTAGGAGAATGAGATGAAATTTTTGCGAAATTTTTCGCTAATAAATTCAAAGTGAGTTGACTACAAAAACATAAGTTATAAATATTTTTATGAAAAATATTAACACAATACATATTCTATGACGATTTAGAATATTATAAATGATAATAAGCAAATATTTATCTGGAAACAGCAAATAAAATGCTTTTGGAAATCCTATTGATAATGATGCCTGCTGAACCAAATATTGCCAAGGAAAGTATAAAGGTAATAATGAATATTTAAGTCGAGTTTGATGTATTTGGGAGGCGAAAAACAGACATTTTGGGTGAGGATCTGTCTCTCAAGAAAAAAATTATAGAAAAACCAAATTTGCCTAATGAGCCGCTTTACAGTGAAAACTTAAATACAAATTATGAAACAACACAAAAAAAAAACTACAAAAAATATATATTTTTTAAATTATCGTTTGCATTATTTGAAGGAAGAAATAAAGGAGTAGGTCACTTTAAGAAGTTGGAGAGATAAGATATCGAAATTAAATTAAAAGGCACACAATTATGTGACTGCGTTTTTGCCATCATAAAAAATGTTCTTTTATTTGTAATCTATTGTAGTTGTTGTACCAAATTGCATCAAAACAATGAACAGCTGCTTCACATGTCATATTGTAGGTTGACATATTTTCAAACTTTAATTTATTTTCTTTTAATTACAAAGCACTTATAAAGCGGATTCTTGATATTTCACATTTGTATTGTTATAAAGTTTAAACAACAAAAACAAGTAACATTTTTTAATAAAATAATCAATAAATAAAATATTGAAAAATATTACACAATTAAAATACAATGGGGCAACATACATTACAACTTAAATTACAATATGGCAACACACATTACAACTTAAATTATAATATGGCAACACGAATCTTTTTTTCAACCACCATTTTCGAAAACTCGAATCCGCATCTCGCATTTTTTGCGTCTCCCTATTCATTCAGAATAAGGCGAGAATGTGAAAGCGAAAATTTTTGTGCATGCGAGATATCTCCCAGCGAATATCCAGAATAAGGCTGAAAATCTAAATCAGCCTTATTCTGGATGTCAATTCCACGTGAATTTACTCGCTCTTTCCCTTCGTCTTATTCTGAACAACATTTTTGTGTGATTTTTTTCGCATTCTCGCTTTCGCCTTATTCTGAATGAAGTTCGAAAGCGAAAAAAATCCGCTTTGGGGAAAAATTAGGTAATCTGGATTACAGGGAGTAGAAGAATGAGATGAAATTTTGTGTGAATTTTTTCGCTAATAAATTCAAAGTGAGTTGACTACAAAAACATAAGTAATAAATATTTTTATGAAAAATATTAAAACAATACTTATTCTATGACGATTTAGAAAACAGCAAATAAAATGCCTTTGTATAAATGAATGTATAAAGGTAATAATGAATATTTAAGTCGAGTTTGATGCATTTTGGAGGCGAAAAACAGACATTTTGGGTGAGGATCTGTATCTCAAGAAAAAAATTATAGAAAAACAAAATTTGCCTAATGAGCCGCTTAACAGTGAAAAACTTAAATAAAAATTATGAAACAAAAAAAAATATTTTTTTCAAAATTATCGTTTGCATTATTTGAAGGAAGAAATAAAGGAGTAGGAGCATAACAGGCCACTTTAAGAATTTGGAGAGATAAAATATCGAAATTAAATAAAAAGGCACACAATTATGTGCCTGTTTTTTTCCCATCATAAAAAAATGTTCTCTTATTTGTAATCTATTGTAGTTGTTGTACCAAAATGCATCAAAACAATGAACAGCTGCTTCACATGTCATATTGTAGGTTGCCATATTTTCAAACTTTAATTAATTTTCTTTTAATTACAAAGCATTTATAAAGCGGATTCTTGATATTTCACATTTATATTGTTATAAAGTTTAGACCACAATAACAAGTAACAATTTTTAATAAAATAATCAATAAATAAAATATTACACAATTAAATTACAATGGGGCAACACACATTACAACTTAAATTATAATATGGCAACACGAATCTTTTTTTCAACCACCATTTTCGAAAACTCGAATCCGCATCTCGCATTTTTTGCGTCTCCCTATTCATTCAGAATAAGGCGAGAATGTGAAAGCGAAAATTTTTGTATGTGCGAGATATCTCCCAGCGAATATCCAGAATAAGGCTGAATATGTAAGCAACTGTAAATATTAAGTATAACTCCCTCATCCGAGTACATACAACAATATAATTGGTATCAATTTAAAGGTAAACCACTCCTCTTGGATATATTATCAACTTCTGGGCTCTATGCCCTTCAGGAGTAAATATACAGTGGAGATCTTTCATATACTGCCAATCTCCTCTTTAGGAGGGCCCATAAATTTTCAATTGGATTTAGATCCGGGCTTTGTGGTGGCCACTTTATCAATTGAAAATTTTGATTTACAAGCCAATTTTTGCGGTATACTTTGGATCTCCATCCTGCTGGAACCATGTGTTCTTTTCGGCATTTGGAAATTTTTTCTAAAAAATCTGGCAAATTCATCTGAAGAATACTTTAATAATCTTCCTTTTTCATTACTCCGTCTATTTTACCAAAGGACCAACATTCCACCATGTGAAACATCCCCACACCATTAAACCACAACCACCATGCTTTACAGTTTGCTTGACATGGTGACTCTGAAGATTTTCGTGTGGACGGTGCCAAAAATATTATTTTCCATCCGATTGAAATCGATTAATTTTTGTTTCGTCCGACCATATAACGCGTTTCCAGTCATCCACATTCCAGTTACCATACTCTTTACAAAATTGTAGACGCGCCTTTACGTTCTTGGTTGACAAAGCTGGCTTTTTCTTCCTAACTGCCGAAACTAGCCCAATTCTTCACAATGTCCTTCTAATCGTCCATTCACTTACGCTTTTATTAATTGCTTTTGCTGCTAGTTTAGGTGTTTTTTTTTGTCATCAGTCTTTCAATGTGTCTGGGACGTCCACTTGCTGTAGATTTGGAAACCAAATTAAGCCTTTTGCGAACGCATTGAACAGTACTATGTGCCAAATGTAAAGAATTAGCAATTTGTCTGCCGGAATAACCTTTCTCGTTTAAATTTATTATGCTTTTTTCTAAATCCGCACTAATTTTCTTAATTTTCCAAGAAATTATGTAATTGTTAATATATTTAAAAGAGATTAACATCGAAGTGTTCAAAAATCGGATAAAATGATCTTCCAAATAATGATAATTTAACATCAAAGCAGAACATACCAAAAAACAACGGTAAACCAAAAAAAGAACCAACAAAAGTAATGCCAAGTTTAACGTGCAAATGTGTTCGAATGTTGTTGTAAAGAGTTTACTAAAAATAAATGTATTATACAACACTTCTTTTATTAAACTTTTTTTTATTCATAAATATAGTTTAGTTGATGTGCAAGAATGCCTTAAATTTATTCCCCATTTGGCTTTATAGCTAAAATTTAGAAAAGCACCAAATATTAATCGAGCAACATTTATATACTATATAATACAAATTTTGTCATTTTTCGCACAAAAGTCGGGGTCCATTTGACCCGCTAAATATTGACCGATCTTTATTAAAACAGACATGCTTATTCTTTGGCCTAATCCCCTTCTCCATGTAAAAATTCGTTATGTTTGGGCCATAATTGCGGCCTCTGGAGCGACCAGAAAAACCGACAAAAATTAAGCATTTGGTCAATTTCATCCCCTAAATATTAACCGATCTTTACCAAAAACAATACGGGTCTTCATTGGGCCGAACCCATCCTACATGCAAAATTTCGTGAAGATTGGTCCATTATTGTGGCCTGTATCGTGTTTACAAATTATAATGGACAGACGGACGGACGGACACACATGTCTAGATCGATTCAGCTAGTCGATATACAAACTCTTGGGGCTGCACAAAGCTATAATACCCTGACAACATAGTTGTGCAGGGTATAAACATAATTTAAGAAAATGTTGATTGCATCGAGAATTAAGCAAAGAGTGACGACGACTGGTAGACTTACCCTAAGATTTGAAAGATTAATAGACAAGATTTGAAAAAAATGACATTTCACAATCATAAACATTAAAACCTATACTAAGATTTGAAAGATTAATAGACAAGATTTGAAAAAAATGACATTTCACAATCATAAACATTAAAACCTATACTGTGTAAAATTCACCACTAAGAATTTATTCTGTACACAATATACTGTTTCTCTCTTAACATACGCTTATGAACTTTTTTACAACAAAGTCCAGTTCATAATTAAAAAATATATATTTGGTTATCGAGACGCTCGTGCAAAACACACTACAAAAGCTAAATTGTTGGTACCTGAACAAATGGTTTGAAAATAACATTACAATAGAAGTATTTTTATTTCAAAAAATCTAGATTTCTACCGGTATAATGTTTTTTATTGCTTGTTCGGTTGATCCCTGTGTCTTTTGGTAAATTATAATACAAATGGTATCGATTTTATTCCTATTCATATCAAATTTTAATATAATATATTTTAATATCTGTAGCACATTGCTAACGCCTCAAGTGCTAAAACATGTATGATGTTCGTGTAATTTGTTAATATCTGATTAAACATTTTAAAAACAATTTTATCAGTTTTCAATACATAATATTGTTTACGTGGAATATTATTTAATATATTCTGGGACAGGTGTCATTATTAAATTGAAATATATTTTGACTATCAAATCTTTGTCTAAATTACCTTTTATTGCAAACATGCCATGTATTTAAATATGTAAATACAATAACGATTAAGGGCTGCAATAACTGATAACAATTCCTCGAAACTCCATTTTAACGTTTAAATGCAGCTAATTCCAGCAAATCGGCCACAGTAAAATAATTTGAAGATAATCGTTGCTTGACACTCCACTCAAATGTGCTATTGAAGAGTCTAATCAGTTGGCGCGATCTGAAGTGTTTGTCAGATAAAAACCGACGATCACTACGTGAATCTTCTTAGTTTATAACAATATTTTGGTGCAAGCATATCTCTGGCTACCAATCCACCTAAAATATATTTTTTAAAAACCAGTTCGAACTAAAACAAAAACATGGGAGCATTAGGGACATCTCATGCAACCGATCATGTAGTGGAAAGACGTGAGTTTGCCTTTATCCGTTAAATATTGAAATAAAATCAATTAACACATAGTGATGTCATTTGTAATTAAGTGTGCTTCCGAAACTACAAAACATTTTAATCAATTGTTTATAAACTATAAATACAATGAAATAAATATCAAATGATTACGACTGTAACGAAAAGTAAAATACTCTACATTATAAAGGAAAAAATATTTTTAATTGTGTATTTATTGTATTTAATTGTGCTATAAATTGAGAATAAAAAAAGAAATTTTGAAAGTAACATAATGTCCTATATATGACAATATTCCATTTAAAAAACTTACTTTGTTTATTTTCGTGCTACATCAATGAAGTTTGGTACATAGGTTTGGAAAAATATACCGACTCCGAATTCGTCCTTGAAAGTTATTGGGATTCGTCCTTGAAAGTTGTTGAGGTTTCAATTTTGAATATAAGAAAATCATGGAATTTTTGTATATTTTCGCGAGGTCTCCCCCTTGGTCCCGTTTGACAGCGACACCGTTTGCCTCAACCTGTTTTTATTCCTTTTTTAAATTAAAGTAGGACAGTATTGTGTAATGTTTGCAATGCAGATCAATTTTTCCAGAACTATTCAATTTGGCTGATATAATGTAACAATTCCAAATTATAAAGAACCAATTCATTATTTCCCTATTCATTTCCATGCACTTTTGTTAATTTACTATGTCTTGGAGGAGCTGATAACATATTAACACATTGTAGAGTACAACTTACTAATCACCTATCGGACATGTGCTGAAATAAACCTTGAATTTTATTCAATTCATAAGCTAACGTGGTCAGATCTAGATCAGTTATAAATTGGAATCCATCGGAATAGTTTTGTGTTTCCACCGAAGCTATATGTTTTGTGTTTCCACCGAAGCTATATGTCTTCAGAGACCACTCAAAATGGTCTTTTTATCGATTTCTGAACGAACGCCTTTACTAAACAATTATATTAAAGCATTTCCAAACAATTCATCAAAGTTCTGTAAATTTATATCACAGTTAAACTTATCAAATAAATCATTTTTATTAATAAAATACTTGTTCGCTTCTCTTGCAGCCAATATAATTGGTATACGGCATTTCCAAAGCATACTTCTGTTCTTTGGAATGTGTTTCGGTTACTTTCTACGGGTAAATATATCAGCGGCAATTGTTCCTATGACACAGCCAACAGCAGATCAACCATTCTACGATTGGGATCCTTCGACAAAAAGTCTTATTCTTTCGAGTTTCTTTTGGGGCTATGTAGCATGTCAAATGCCAGCTAGCTTGATGGCTAAACGATTCGGTGGAAAACTAGTCCTTGGTATATCTACGTGTCTGGGCTCAATCTTGACAATCTTGCATCCATTAGTTGCGGCCAAAGGTGACTGGGTTCTGGTATGCATTTTAAGGGTGATGGTTGGATTCACTCAGGGCCCCGTCTACCCGTGTATTCATACACTTCTAGCCAAATGGGTTCCACATCAGGAAAGAGGTTTTTTGGCCTGTCTTGTTTATTCAGGCGCACAATTTGGAACAGCATTACTACTGGCAGTCAGTGGCAACATATTTGACTCAGGAATGGGATGGCCAGGCATATTTTACATTACAGGTGGTGTTGGCATAATTTGGGCCGTGGTGTTCATAATTTTTGGTGCGAACTCCCCACGCGATACTCAATTTATATCTGAATCGGAACTGAAGTATATCGAATGTTCAACAGGAAGTGACAATCAGCAAATAAACGCAGTAAGTATTAGTACTGAAATTGGCGATATATAACGGAGAAACTTAATTTTGATGTATCCTTTCTAGGCTGTACCGTGGAAAGCAATGTTCACATCAGCATGCTTTTATGGGCTAATCGCAGCCCACTGTGGCTTTACATGGGGCTTCTATACTCTTTTAACTGAAATCCCCACATACATGGCAAATGTTCTTCATTTCAATGTTAAGACAAATGCTTTGCTCTCCGCCCTTCCATACTTCGTTATGTGGATTCTATGCCTCGTTGTTAGCCCCATAGCTGATACGCTCATCAACCGTAACATAACAAGCGTCACTGCGTCAAGAAAAATATTTAATACGATCGGTCAATGGGTACCCATGGTCTGCCTTATTGCACTTGGCTACATGACCGAGGACCAAAAAACTACCGCAACCGTTTTATTGACCGTTGCTGTGGGATTTAATGCCGCATCTTTTTGTGGTTATTTGGTGAATCATATGGACCTTTCGCCGAATTACGCTGGCTTAATGATGGGTGTAACCAATATGGCTTCTAACTTATTGTCCATATGTACTCCATTGGTTGTAGGCGCAATTGTCGTAGACGAAGAAAGTCCCGACGAGTGGCGTATAGTGTTCTTTATAACAGCCGGAGTATATTTGATTTGTAACGGCTTGTTTTTGGTATTTGGTAAAGCAACAGTGCAGCCATGGAATTATGTGAATATTTCGTCCAGTTCTACTACTCTGCCGAACAACACGGATGGTCTTTCTGTTGCAGACGCCCATACATGAGACAAGTATGGATTTTAATAGAATGCAGCACCTTTTTTAGTTCTAGGAAATATTGACTGATATAAATATCAATGCTTTAAGGAATAATGAAATGGAAAATTGTGTAATATATTTAAATAGTTGATAAGGACACATATTTGATACGCAAATAAAAAAGAAATTTAATAATAGAATAGACGTACACACAGCGATCAATGTTATTTTCCTTAAGAACACTTCAGCTGTTATTAATACCCCTATATTTGCTCTTGTTAACAAGACCTTTAGTGTTTTGTGTTCTTATCTTGGTTTCATTGAGCCGCACAAAGGAAAGCTCTGCACTATCAAACAGAACAGAAAATTATATTTTTACTCCCTATAGATTTTGTATTATGTGGCCATTGATTATAATGCATGGAAATGTACTTGTTGAATGTCGAGAAAGTCATGAATAATACAAGTACGTATGTAGTTGCAGGCAGTGAGTGCTACGAACTTAGCCAGTAGATAACAATCGACATATCTAAATGGACAATTGTAAAACATATGTCCTAATGTAATAAAATAATAATCCATATATGCGGATTCTACAACGGCTGTTGAGTTCCAAATTACTGTACGTTAAATTTTCCAATCAGATTAGTGAGACTCTGCAGAACGAAACGCTTGGTTAACTGTTGCTTTTCTGTAGAGCCTCAGCATTCTGTCTAGTATACTCGGCATATCTGGGTTAAGCAGATGCCACAAAATTACTTTTACCATTTTACTCTCAGAACAAACGATGAAAGAATGTTCAACTGTTTTTTTGTGTACGGTGAATTCTTTTATTTTATCACGTATAATACATTTAATTATTTCTATGAACAATTATAAAATGACTAATATAACATAATAACATACCTACATAAAAACTTGTCACACCAAATATGATTTCATCACTCCTCCATTTACTTAATATTAATAACTACTTATTTTTTCTTTGCAACAATCGCTGCTCTTCTAGGTTAGCATTAATGGCAATCGGTATATGCCGTGTTCTAAATATCGTCCATAGCGACACCACCCAACTGGCTATAATTGTTATGTATAAGACCGTAGGGTGGGCACTCTCATTTCCAATAGGTATTACTGTATGCAATGATGATTTAATTTGCAGGGCTATTTTAATATCCTTCCACTTGCATGATGGGTCGTGGATATTTTTCGGACCCTCTCTGATCGCAGGAGACGTTTCATCTAGGCAGTATCCGGGATTAGTTTCAATTTCTAATTCTCGCTCAATAAATATTTGCTCCTCTGGGTTAGGACAACTAATATACATAGAATCGGGTGCAAAGAGATCTATAGGTATGAATGACCTGAAATCCAAGTGGGTGTCAAAAATCAAAATCAAGCAACAACACACTTTCCATATACTTACTGTTCTTCGCTTGGTGCGTGGTAACGAAAATGTATGGGCAAATGAATGGTGTCTGATACTTTGGTTGATCCTTTAATAAATATTTCGAATTCACTGGACTCCTCGGTAGGCTTTTCAATATCAACAAATCTGGGATATATGGCATTAAGCTGAAAATATATATATTAGTTTAATGTTAATTTTAAGGCATCTAAATTATAATATCAAATAATAGTATACCTTATTTTTCCTCGAAAGGTCGTCCAGCTCATCCACACTTATGTACACCGATGCCGGAAAGGACTGTCTTAGCACATACTCACAATTTTTTCCAGCCAGCGGATAATCAAATTGCACTGTATATATTAGGTTTCTGGAATGAGAAACAACACAATGCACAAATATGCTAAAGAGCACTGATATCTCCAATAACTATGTTGGCAGGGCTGTCTGAGGGCACAGCCCAAAACACTTGAGCAGCAAGCCAACCAACCGTACAATACAATTGCGTGAAATGGAATGAGTAATACAATGGTACTTGATGATTTTCATTCGACAAACCTGTGAAAGCCCTCCTCACTCAACTCTACACCTACAATGGGTGTGGACAGCAGATCCTTTTGTTGAAGTGATGACATGATTCCGGCCAGAAAACATCCTATAAACAATATTTCTCTCATATCCCTAGATTCTGTTCGATTTTTTCGCTTTACAAATAAAACCAAACATTACTTTCATAGACCACAAACGACACTACTGCGAAGTGAGGGGTTCATCATCAGCTGATAGTGGGATGCCGGACTATTCGACTTGACTTTGGTAGTATCGAATGCTGCCACATCAGTTTCGATTTAGTTGGAGATAATGTTTCATTTACATGGAGTGTTTGTGAAAGTGGAATTTTTCAAAACGAATTCAAAAGAAACAAAAGAAATTTAAATGGTGGTTTATTATAAATTTCCCCTAAAGTGCCACCTTTAAATATTTTTAAAGAAGAAGTCGCTGTAAAGAGGCTTAACCATATATTATTATTTCATAGAGTACAAACGATGATGTAGATGATGGTAATGGGAGGTAGATGAAGCAAACCACAATTTATTAATATTTAAATTTGCTATGCTGGGAATTGGGATTGTCACACTTTGATTGGTCAAGAATTTCCATGAAATCTAATCTCTCATGGGTCCAATAAAACAGTGTTTATATTTCCAAATAACTTTCTTTCGGTTATCCCTATTGCAGCGTGTGATCTCCTCCTTCGTTAATGTAATATGACTACCGGGTATTGTTGAGGGGGTTACTGTTAATAACCGGTGCTTTGATTTTGAACTTAACAACACTGTGTTTTTTCCTCTAATCTTTGTGATGGTGTGTTAATTCTTTAACATTTTTTTTATTAACAATTACCATAAAAATTAGTTTATTTGGAGGCATTTTCCGTCGTTATAAAGTGAGCTTGGTGCATTTTAATAGAAATATCCGAAGGAATTCCTTCAAGATCACGTGACAATGTTTTGTGAAAAATAATGAAAATCTGATGGTGATGGTGAAGAGTTAAAAAGAAGAAAACAAAATGAAAATCGGGGAAAACATAAGATTAGGTTTTTAGTGTGGCCAGAAGAGCAACATACTGAATTGTCGACATTGTGGTTTGGAAATCGAAGTGAACAACGAAAATATTAACAATTTTGCAAGATTAGATGAGATGAAAGTGTTTTGAAAAAAAAAAGTTCGTAATAAAGCACGTTAAGCAGTTGCGGTCGTGTTATCAATGACGTCGTAAGAGAGCATTCCCCCCTACGCTCCCACCCCACCCCACTACACTACAGTGTTACTAACATTTTGACAAAACAACAAAAACAATAATTAGGGTAATAAACAACGGACGATGGTGCGCTGCCTGCCTGCCTCCCTGCCAGCTAAAGTGTGAAATATTTTCGATACAGAAGTAGCAACGGGCAAAGGATGACAAAGGAATCGGACGGTGGAGCAAGGAATTTGTGTTGGTGTTTTCCTTGTTTTGTTTGTGCGAATAAAATTATCGCTTGCATTTAAATGATTTGTATAGAGACGCTCACACCGTCATACATAATTCGCAGCATTTATGTATTCATCGATATCGTCCCCCGAACATGGGCTATTAAATTTGTTACGCTGGAAACGAAATTCGCATGCAAATGAACAAGCGTACTCGACAAAAGAACAAGAACAAAAACAAACAGAAACAGAAAAATGAAAGTTATGATTTTTTTGAATAATAGACTACTTACAAATATTTTTCACATTAAATATCGACGACATATGTCGTCGTTTGGCCAAAGAATGTCCTGCATCACAAGGATATTGTGTTGTTTCCTAATAATTCATGTTGCACAAGGTTGGTACCGCAACGTCGGCTCTTAATATACCAATTCAATTCTGATCAAGATGTCAATTTGTTTCTCGTCCCAACAGTTGCTGCCATTGCTATTAAAACATCCTCCATCAACTACAATGCCACATCTTCGGGATATAATAATTTAAATAGCCCCATGGAATATGGCTACAATGGGAATAGTAGTGGCAATGGTGCTAATTTAAGAAGATATGTTTCTGGAACTGGTCGTCCCTTTTCGGCTATTCGCAATGAGTCGTTGCCGCAATCATTGGTATCGCCCACACCGGCAACACATAAACATTTAAGGAACAAATCACGTAAGTCGGTAACCCATGAAGTTTATGCTGTTTAATTTATTTTTATGTATTTACATCTCCTTTATTTTGCAAATGATTTATATCGGCCGATTTGGAAAGTGCTTTTTGAATGTTGCCAAAACCACCTTTTCGATCTTTATATGTTAATGATAATGTGTTATTTAGCAATTGTGCGCTTTTTGAATTTTGCCCTAGATCAGATTGCTCGTAGGACATAAGTGTGATAATCGCACGGTCATTAAAAGAACTAATAGCATATAATCAATCAATCTATATGACCTATACCATATTCAAACATAGTTCCGAAATTATATTCAATTCGATTTATAACGGTATACGAGAATCTAGCCCAAAAGGCCAAGAGATATTCCAAAAACAAACACATATAAACTACTCCAATAGTCTATATCATAAAATGTATTGAGAGGGGGCAAGAAACCCTGTACTTCGACAAACCAGTTCTATGCGTAATTATCTTATAATAATATCACAAATATTAAGACTTTTGTGTTATGGAAGGAAATTAAATTAAAAAATATATAAATATTTATTTATGTTATGGAAGGAAATTAAATTAAAAAATATATAAATAGTTATTTAAACAGTTATTTATATAAATAGTTATTTACTATGTTTGGTAAATTAAAGTATATGCAGAGGGGGTCGTCTAATTAACACACATCTTAAGGGAAAAATATTTGGAATAACACTCGATTCGTTTGGAATATTTGTAAATACTTTTTTATTCAAAACACTTATGTGTAATATGCTTGAGCGATTATGTGTGAGAACAGAAAATTATCTCGGGAAAATTGTGATATATAACGGTATTTATGAAACAATTCAAATTTGAGGGGGGCACGTAATTAGCACATCTTGGAATTTTAACATAAATGTCGTTGATACTAAAAAATATATATATTTAAAAAAAGTACTTCGTGTAAACAAATTATGTCTGATGAATCATTTTCGGAAGAAAAAGTTTAAAAAGTGCTGTAAAATGTATTTAAATTGGCAACAATTCATACGTTATCTTTATTTTTTATACAAGTAATAAAGATGCGAGTGGCCCAGAAATTGCTAGAATAACTAGAGATCGATAAATATTTATAAAAAGGCTTCGAGGAAGAAAACCAGTATATTTTTGCAATATGTGAGGAAGTAACAATTTGTAATGATATTTGTTATATCAAATCAGTTCTTTGAGTAGAACAACAAAGAATTTTATCGAAAAAAATATCAGTCGACACTAAAAGATCATGAATATATGGCTATCTATGTTGACCAGAATAAATCTAAATCACACAGCTGAGATTTTGTTGATCGACTCAAATTCTTTAAATTTCAATGCGGCTGTTTATATTATTTAAAAAAACAGTATACGAAATATATATTTTAATTTGATAAAACAGGCCACTATGACGAAAACTTGTTATCTGTTGTTAGCTATACCACTCCTGCCTGTTTACTTAAGGGGACCCCCCATTCTCGGAGTCAATTTTCAAGTGAAAATCTCAAGAACTCTTGAAGATATAGCCGAATTATTTTGTCACCATCAAGTGACGGCTGAAGGGCTTCTCAAACTTTAAACGCGTTTATCTCTAAAAAATTTTTGGAATGGCGGGCACGATTAATCAAAAACGAATAACCCAATGATTCCAAATTTTTACACGTTTCTGTGTGAGTGTATAGCTTTCGTATGAACTAGGATAAAGCCAATCGGTGAAGATCTTCCTTATTTTTTAACATGGTTTTTGGTAAAACATCGGCGATTTTTCAAAAATATTTTTCCAAAGGTCCACCATTTTGTTAATTTTAGACTGAAGTTAATAATCCTAGTTCATACCAGAGCCAGACATGTACTCTTTCTAACACCGTTGGAATTCTGAATTTGACACAATAATATAATAGGGTTATGATTTTTTTTTCTCAAAAATGATTTCAAATAGTGGTAATGAATGACCTTTAGCCTAATTCCTAATGTATATACCTCGGTTTCATACGAAATAAAAACCTACAATTACAGTATTGAAATAATAATAATTTTAATTTCTTTATCTTTTCGTGTTAGGTCCATTGAAATGTCATTGTGACATTTGCAAAGATAACAACTATATATGTGAAACGCAGGGCTACTGTTTTACCTCCGTGGAAAAGAAAGATGGAAACACAATTTTCAGTTACAGGTAAGTCTCGTTTTTGATTCACTGTAACTTCTTTGATAAAACTGTGGCAAGGATTTACTTGCATAGAGAATTTTTAAGTTTAAGACTATTTCTATTTATTTAATTAATAATTATTTTTCTATGACAATACTACGATTTTCGATCAACGTAACAAATATTGGTTTATTAACTATAATATTTTCGCCCACCGATCGAACGGTTATTATCTAGATGCCTTCAAAAGTCGCAAGCGTATCCGCCAGGTCGATTTGTATGGTGTAACGATGGCCGATATGGTGGTGGTGATGGGCCAACGACCAGGCCCGTTGATAGCTATGGTCACGCATGTTGCAAAAACTCTAATTTTTGTAATTTGAAATTATCGCCTATTTTGAAAGATTACAAAAAAGGTGGGCAGCAACTAATCTAAAATGAAACCGAGTGTTTTGATACGAGCCACAGCTTTCAATTGTTACATACATTTGTTCATCGCTCCCCAACCTAAACTTGTCTTGTTGCAATTCTCTCGTGTCTCAAATAAATTCTGAACTAAAAATCGTTTCAAATATGTACTATCCCGAACGCGCGAGAGAAATAAACTACTAAAATATCCCTTCCTATTATATCCAGCAGCTAAAAAGGCTTTAGCATTTTGATTTACTTTTCTCCTATTATATTTGTATTTTTTTTCTTTTAATTTTGTATATATACACTTTGTTCTTTTGAAAAATATGTTTTCAGTTCTTTTTTTTAATTATGTATTTACTAACTACACTTTGTCCAATCGAATTCGGAAACAGTGTTTTTTAGGATGTTTTCTAAGTACAAACGATACAATTTCTAACCAATTGTTTGCTCATGTGTTCTTCTTTTTTAACTCTTTTTGATTAACCCTGTTCGTCCACACGTTTTTGAATGCTCTTCATTATTGTAATTGTTAGCTGCCTTGATAAGACATACGACCTCCAGCGGGAGCCGTTTGAATGTTTGACCAGTAAACCGAAACAACATATCTATGTAGTTCAGTGTTGCCACGACGATTTCTGCAACAAAAATGAACTCCTAAAACTGAAATTCTCTGAAGGTACTTTCCAAATAAAAAGCATATTCAGACTGCCTAAAATACAAGTAAACTACTTCCACATATTCACCATTACCAACCACTATTGCTAATTGTATTTTATATTTTTGCTAGTCTGCATTAATTTCTTTAACTAGACTTTGTAGTAGTGGTACTTGCCTATGTTAAACCTATAAATTATTATATGTCTAATAAGAAGTATGGGCGTATGAACAAGTAATATGAAAACAACACTAGGTCTAAAATCCCCGGAATGCAACCACATAAATGCTTCCTACAATACCCCCCTCTAAGCAGATATATAAAAAAAAAAAAACAAAATATCTATTTTTTATTTTTGCATTGCTATTTACATTTTGAAGTACTGGTGCCGGATGTTGTGAATGCCTTCCCTCTTCTAAACAACTGAAAATAAATATAAATAGATCTTTCTTTCTTACATCCTTATATGTTATATGCCTTCCTATCATATTTTTTCTGCTCTGAAACACATACACAATCACACCTTTTCAACACTACCCTACAAACTGCACATAGCAAACGAAAAACAACCAGAATTAATACAAAAACGAAAACACCTACCTATCATCATATATACGGTTAGTGACCACAGCCTTGAATTGTGTCCTTCTAACAAAATGAAAAACTACCAAAAAAAAAAAAAAAAAAAATTATGACTAATTCCTATGAAAATATTTGTTTTATCAATCATCAAAAATAACTTTCACTTTGTTCCTCCTGCTCAATAAGGGTACTAGTGTTACAACAGCCGCTTTTAACAACTGCACCGCTCGATTTGTCTACTTTTAATACGAATAAAAATATTTCTTAGTTTTTCTCTATTCTAGATATCTTTAATTAGAGTTTTATTGCATAGACAAAGAAACAGAAATATAAATAACAAGTTTGATTTTGAAAGCTAATACAAAAGTTCCTGGATATGTAAATAGAATAGATGTATGACCGGCAAGATAATTCGATGGATTTAAGAGAGATCAGAGACTGTTGTCGGTATATCGACAATTCCACAATTCACTGCATGTGTACATAAGTTCGGAAATTTGAATTACTCGGTCCATGGTATTGAAAATTATGGCTAAGGAGTGACATGACATACTCCTTTAACTGGACGACGAGCAAATGAGTGTAGTACTCGGGTTGAAATTAATTATTAACCGTTTTTAATGTATTCTTAATGTTGGGTTAACTATTTTGCTAAGCGACAACATTGACAATATCAAGAACCAATTATTTTTATCGCATTTATCGACTTTTGTTTTGCACCTTCAAATAGATGCTTTCCTGTAGAATACCACTTACCGCCCGAAGACCCGGCCTGGTGTCACGTAAGCACCTCTGAGTCCTCTATACAATGTTGTGATGAAGATTTCTGTAATACAAAAGAAAATTATGCTGGTACATTGCCAGGTGAGATTGAAAGTAACCAATTCTAGAATTAGAAACAAATTGTATGAAACTCATCATTTGATATCTGAAATATAACTTGATATGGAAATTCGAGTAAACAAAAACAGATGTTCAGCACCCTCATTATCATTTCTTTTTGCGCCCATCCATCGTAATTGAAATTCAAAAGTGAACATATCATTAATGTTTAAGTATCACCGTATCCGGAAACTATAAATATCACCTCCACTCTGTATCATTGGCAATCAGGAGGGACGTCTGCTCGTTCTTGTCTCTGTCGACAATTGCTTTCTATATTTACGTGCGTCATTTTCTGCTACGCCAAAATGGTCCGGTCCATTAATATTGTGTGGGTTTTGTGTACGTCCATTTTATTTGTATCATATCCTATATATTGTTTCGTAATGTTGCGTACGTTTTGTGGGAAATGATCGTTGGTTGGGTTGGATTGGGTTGCGTGGTCGTCCATTATTGAACAAGTTCCAGTTAGACCAGCCCCAATGTCCTGGGTTCAGTTTGTTTTAAATGTTTTGCATCATCTATCTCACCCTTATGTACCTACCTATATGTGCACAATTATTCTATTCTATTTAAATAAATTATACATACGAGGTTTTAGGTAAGGCTTTGTTGGGGGGTTTGAGCTTAACGTGTAAATTCTGCAAATCTACAGCGACCAGACCTTTATATCTGCAGATTGACTTTGTCAAATAAGAATTAGAGAGTCTCCGGCACACGCATACACAAAAGGAGACATGACGCCATAGCTTCTTCGAACCTGGCTCAGAACTGTTGCAATTAGCGAAATGTGGAATGTTGAATGGATGTGAGCATTTGTAATTATGTAAATATAACTGTATATAGCACACATGTGTAGAGAATTGCGAATGTCGAAGGAAGTCAACATGACAACATTTGCATGTAAATTATAGAATCCAGCTATGTTTGCACTGTTGAACCACTTTGGCGCCCAAACTTTAATTATTGGCATACATATTTGCATTCTGGCCTTCACCTTTATTCTAAGATAATTACTAATACCACAGACACCCTGCACATCCGCATTATGCACCCTACGTACGTACCCATGCACACCCCTAACCCCGCCTACATTTACGTAATTTTACCTGTGTTTGTATTGGTGTTGTGAAATAATAATAACCGCATGCCTTAACTTTATTTTTGGCTTTTGCTTTTGGTTTTTTTGTTTGTTTTTGGTTGTTAACAAATTGTGGTGGCTTTAAGTAAAAATGCAAAAATATAACTATATTATATGAATAATCACACACACGCACACACATGAGTGTAGTCTAAGAACAGTGAAAACATGATATAATAATTGGTGCCGAACATTTTATGACACATTTAGATTTTCCGCCGGAGGAGACCATAAACTCATGGGTATTGGTCGCCATTATATTTGGAGCCACATTGTTTGCCTGTCTTTTGGTATTTATGTCGTGGTGCTTTTACCAAAAACGTAAACAGGGCACTAGTCGTGCGCGTCCCTTCGCTCCCGAGGACTCGGTATATGATCCAATTTTGAATGGCAACACTCTGCAGGATATCATCGAGATGACAACATCTGGATCTGGTTCAGGTTTGTAATACAATTGATATGAATAAACAACGCAAAGGAATGCAAAGTATGATAACATTGTTCTGATTTTTAGCGGGGCTACCATTGTTGGTCCAACGCTCGATAGCACGCCAAATACAGCTGTGCCATGTAATTGGAAAGGGACGCTTCGGAGAGGTGTGGCGTGGTCGCTGGCGTGGCGAAAATGTGGCTGTGAAAATATTTTCCAGCCGAGAGGAATGCTCGTGGTTTCGTGAGGCCGAGATATATCAGACTGTCATGTTGCGACATGAGAACATATTAGGCTTCATAGCAGCCGACAACAAGGGTAAGCGTTTTGCGGTTCTGTGACTTCAATCAATCAACCAATGAATGAATGTTAATTTTCTTATTATTATTGCCAGATAACGGTACATGGACCCAATTGTGGCTGGTCACCGATTATCATGAAAATGGCTCCCTGTTCGATTATTTGACGTCGCACACAGTTGACACGAAAACCATGCTCAGTATGGCATTGTCCATTGCCACGGGATTGGCCCATCTCCACATGGATATTGTGGGCACACGTGGCAAACCAGCTATTGCCCATCGAGATCTAAAATCCAAAAATATTTTGGTTAAATCGAATCTAACCTGTGCCATAGCCGATCTGGGTTTGGCTGTAAGGCATGTCGAAAAGAATGACTCGGTGGACATACCATCGACTCACCGCGTGGGTACTAAACGTTATATGGCACCTGAGGTATTGGATGAGAGCATGAATGCTCAACACTTTGATTCGTACAAGAGAGCCGACGTATACGCCTTCGGCTTGATATTGTGGGAGATTGCGCGGCGCTGTAACATAGGCATGATATATGATGAATATCAGTTACCTTACTATGATGTCGTGCAGCCGGACCCCACCATAGAGGAAATGAAGAAGGTGTGGTGGTGTGAACTGAAAAATATATTTCGTTTGTTTGACACATTGGTTTTCTTGGTTTTCCAGGTCGTGTGCATAGACAAAATGCGTCCTAATATTCCAAACCGTTGGCATGCATCCGATGTGTTACACAGCATGGCCAAAGTTATGAAGGAGTGCTGGTACGCAAATCCCGTAGCTCGACTCACTGCTCTCAGAATAAAGAAGACTTTGTCCAATATACGAGTTGAAGAGAAAGTTAAAAACTGATTATAAACATAGGAAGTATATAATTCCCATTCCCAACAACTTGATTTGATACCATGAAAAATGATTTCAATATACAAAAAATGATCTGGAGGAATCAGCTAGATATATGTCCAAGATTTTGTTAAGGTCGTTGAAAAAGTAAAATAGGAATTGACAGAATGTACTGCAAAAGTTTCCAATTGCATCAGTACGCAAAAAACAACGTCTTTTTTTAATACTGAATGTTTTCCCTGACCTGACTTTTTCGATCAAATTGACTGTACACGTTTTTGGACAATTTAAATTTATCATTGGGGTTAATATCATATAGGCATTTAAGGCAGCTACTTTTAAGATAATAAGTCGTTCAGGAACGACTATAAGTAAACATTAAGAATGGAAAGTGTGTACAATATTTCTGTTTTTGAAAAGACAAGTTTGATGTTGCTAAAATAAGATAACTGTACCTTATAACTACTTATGTATGTATTTATATTTAGTACATAGCACGGAGGAGCAGACTTTCTTTGAATTTCCCATTTCCAATTGACGTATGTTCAATATTTATGTCAAAGTAAATATACCCACGAAACCAAAGAACCAAATTGGATATCGCACCACAAGTCCTTCCACATTGTTGTGCAGTGCGCCAGGGCCATGATACCAACAACATGTTGTTCCTTTGTATTATAACACTTCATTTGTTGTGTTTCCAATCGTATGCTGTAAATATATTAGCCGGAGGAAGTTGTGTTTACCCTTCGTTCATTTCGATATTTAAGATTTAGTTTTATGTATGTAACTATTACGAAACGTCAAATGAAATTGCAACAGATTTGTAAATATATACATATTATATGAAATAGGCATTCTATTTATATGTTAGTACTATTTGTGAAAGTCTTTTATATTCTTTAGAGAATATTTCGATGTTCACTGATTGATCCTTTATTTGGCTGCGGTCATATATATATTTTTCCTTTTGTTACATATGTACATTTCGTTTGTTTTACGCTTCGGCATATACATTTTCCTATTTTACACTCACTCATACCCATGTAGATTAGTTTTTATATACATATACATAGCATATATTCGCGCGTTGTTTTTCATACTTATTCGAAAAATGAGGTTATGTTTTTTCCATTTGAACAAAAATACATACAAAGATATACTGACTTATTACTGTAGTACCTATTCATTTATTGATGCGTTTTTGGTTACTTTTTGTGTTTTTCCTACCAATTTCTCTACACACATACATAGTTCGGGCTCAGAACTCAACAGAAGACTGCCATAAACTAAGTTTTCAATTCTTGTTTATTTTCGCCTCTAATTTCATTTTCAATGTGTAACATAGCTATTTAACAAATAGAAACATATATATCAATAGCAGACTTTACCGATATCTGCAGAATTCAAAATACAACAAGAAACAATCTACGTCTTTGTTCATTTTGTAACATATTCAATAAATATAGTTTTTTAAAATAAAACATTTTATTTATAAATCAACAATGTGTTTTTATTTTTTATTGGATGGATGGATGGATGGATAAGGTCAGTTTAATAAGTCTTCATTGTCTGTCAACATTAATTCTTTAAATAATAAATAAAAAATATATATTTTTATTTGAAGCAAAATATACGTTTTTGTTTTAAAGATAAATTGAGCTTTAATCATTTTATGGTTGATATTTCGAGATAAAAAAGTTGACAGCAAGGGAAGACTTGAATTCGCCTTCCTGTAAACCTTATTAATAGGCCATGATTATAAGCGTATCTCTAGAATTCGATAAATAAATTGGGGGTGTGTCCTTTTGGCATCACCTCTATTAACACCATGGTGAGAAACATATTTTTATTTAAACTTACTCCGCCGATTATCGTTCTCCCTCTCCGACCATCATCACAATATACAGTATAATTTTAATTAGGGGAATGTCGGTGACGTTCCCGAATATGAATATATTCATTGGAAGTGCTCCAACAAACAATTAGTTAGACTTTGAGATTAAATGACACATTTATAAAGTTATTATTTTACACATTTGTTTTATTTATTGTTGTTTCTAAATTTTGATTTTTTGTTTTGTTTTTGTGTGTGTTTTAAATAATGTTATGAGTACTCATAAAATGCCCGACATATTTGTCGTATGCTTTCGGAAATTAATGCTTCTTTTCCGAGATGTAATTTTAAATGACTTATAAACTCAACTAACTAATAAAAAAATAAATAAATTAACTAAGCTTTAAACAATAATTAACTAAATTAATAAATAAACTGTCGTCGGCATCGTCAGTTTGTTGTCCGTTCGAAAATAAATAGACAATTTCAATAAATAAATAATTAATTATATAAAATAAAATAAAAACAAATAAGTTAATTTAATAAATACATGCATTACGTCAATTTGCTACATATTTGCAAACAAACAAATGTGGACTACTTATATACTAAATACGACGAGTACAGAGATGTCTAAAAGAATACGTAAGAGGCCCCATTTTTATTGAACAATGAATTCCTCGTTCATTACCAACCAAACACCTTAAATAATAATCGTTGTTTTGTTTTCGTTGTTGGACTGTGGAATAGGTGGTGACGGTGATACAATGCTTCGTTTGTGCAGAAAAGAAAAGATTTAGAAATTGTGGTCGTTGGGATCGATACTCTTATTTCACTCCGGTTATGCTTCTCAACCAGGGTTTGTAGAATGTGGTGCGCATGTACACACCCGGCAGATAGGGAGCAGCACATTTGATTCCATGGGATACGGTGCCGGCCAATTCATAGCGTCCATCGGGGCGTTGCAATACCAAAGGACCGCCGCTGTCACCCTGAAACGGTTTAAAACAAATTGAATCCAATTTTAATGACGATATTATTTTTAAGAGCTTAGCTTCAGGCTACGTACTTCACATGAATCCTTCAAGCCGGTGGCATAACCAGCGCACAAGAATGAGTTAAGAATTTTTTTATTATGTCCACCTGTATTGAACATTTCCTGGCATACGCTATTTTCAATAACGGGCACCTGCAAGAAAATCAAACGAAAAAAAATTAAAATTGAACATTCATATGTTTAACATTTCTTCTGTACGATTGTCTTAATTTTGCTGGAATAATCGGGAATGGCAAAATTCCCGATTATTCCATTCACCGCTGTTGGCCTTTTTTTATTTGAAAAATAAAAATATACTCACTTGAACTTCTTGCAGAACTGAGGGTACTCCGCCTCCATATTTCAAACGACCCCAACCCGTTACAGTAGCCATGCGTCCAGTAAAATCAGCATTATCAGGCGGCATACAAATCGGCACTGAAAATCGGTTATTATTAACTTTTGTTTCTACACTTTCATAAATTCTCGAAAATTACCTATGTGGGTATCAAATTGCACCGGACTCTCAAGTTCCAGCAGGGCGATGTCATTCTCAAATGTGGCTGGATCGTATTGGCGGTGAACAATGACACGTTTGACATTCTTGGTTACGGCTCGTTTACTCTCCAAATCTCCCGAAATATCGAATTCTCCCATTACAGCAACCAAGGAAGCTAGGAATCTGTCCATGAAATAGAAACACTTGTTGAACACTTTGTCTCCACACGACGAAGTTAAGACTTACCCAGGCTGACAATGGGCAGCTGTTATTACATAGCGATTGGTAATTAGGACTCCACCACACTTGTTTTTGGTAAAGAGTCCAAGCCATGTCGATTCTCTGACTAAAACTTGCCAAGGATATGCACCGAACGTGGCACCTTTACCACCGACAATTCTGCCGGATTTGATGTGTGGTCGGACTCCGCATTCTGTTGATGTGGAGTGAAATGTTTTAGGTTTTAGGAGAAAGGGAAAGTATAGTAAGAACAAAGATGTGATTTAAATTAAGTGCGTGTGTGTTTGGTGTGGGTGGATTTATGTGTGTGTGTGTGCTAGCGGGGTTGCTTGGAAACGTGTGCGTGTTGGCGATTAGATCGTAATCAGATTAGTAATGGTTAGTAGCCGAGTTTGAATAGGAGAGGGACAGAGGGGAACAACGAGAAGGGATGAGGATGCTGGATGTTTGGTTTGAGGAGTCACTATTCACAGAATTGCTACCAGGTGGCTTAATAGACGTACTGTACGTATTTGGGTACATTTTGCCAGAGTGAGGAATGAGGACAATGAGTGAGTAATGAATTAAGAAGAAAAGAAATTTCTATTGTTCGGATCTGTCCATCTTGTTCAATAAATAAAATATCGATTATTTATATTTCATTGCAGACTTACGTATTTTACGGCCTCCTACGCCTGGACCTGATTGGGCATCGTCCTCTTCGGGTATTTCATTGTCGCTCGGATTGACGTCTTCCTCATCTTCCTCGTCGACAATTTCATCTTGTGGAGCCTTGGTTGTGGTAGTGACTTTGCGTGTCGGTTTCCTTGTCGCGGGCTTACGGGTGGTGGTGGTCGTGCGTCTTACCTCTGGTTTTTTGGTCGTAACTTCCGGTTTCCTTGTAGTTGCAGTTTTCTTTACGGGTGCCTTGGTTGTTGCTGGCTTTTTGGTAGTGACTTTCGTTTTCACGGTAGTGGCTTTGACGGGCTTACGTGTCGCAGGTTTCTTTGTTACCGTTGAAGATGCTGTCGGCGATGCCTGGTAGGTTAGTACTGGGGCAGTGTTATTACTTTCGTCAATTATATCTGCCAGAGCTTCAAAATTGCCCTGCAAGGATTCAACAATTTTGTGGACCAAAGTGTTCATTTTATTCTTCAGTATAGTGTCCTCAACAAAGGCGGGCGTCGAAAGTTCCAAGTCACTGGTCACTGCACTCGATGCTGCCGACATATTAAGATTTGGATTTCTCACGGGAGGGAAGTTAACAAAGTCATTGGGCGATGTATATGTTTCCTCTTCAGCGGCTGAGCCGACCTTCTCTCCGGGTACGGCGAAAGCTGGATATGTGGGTGTCGGACCATAATAGCCGGGGAAGGCGGGCTTGTCATCTGAAGGTGGTGGGTACACACTTTCCGTGGATGATTGTGTGAAAACGCCGGGCAACGGCTGAGGAGGCTGTGCTTGGTCGGGAGTTCCATAGTAGCCTGGGTCGTCAAAGTCATTTGAATTGACAGTTGTGAGTCCGACATACTCGGCACCTCCACTGTTCACAGCTCCAGGTTGCCTTGTCACCTGGTGGTTGTGTAGATATGACGTGCTGGAATGATCAGCCAGCGGTGTCGTTGGAGTGGTATGTTGAATTGTGGGGTAGTGATTGCCGGCCCCAGTGTTGAGCTTGCTGGGCTTAGGCGTTATCAAGACTGTTGGTGAAGGGGGCCTTTGTGTTATTGGCTTCTGTACAAAAGCAGGTTTCTTGTGCGTATTGTATTGGGGCTGTGGCCGGAGAATAGGCACTGGGGTATCAACCACAGAGTTATCGTACAATGGTGATTCCTGAGTATTGACGGCGGCAGCGGAGGCTAGACTTTCAGCAGTACTGTGGACAAAGGAGTCTAGTTTATCATCAGTAGCAATGACTTGATGTTGACCATCGTAACCGAAGTCCAGTGACGGGGAGGGCCGTGGTGAAGTTGGCCCGGTGACATAGCTTGTTGAGACTGGCTTGGAGGTGTGTTTCTTTGTAGGTTTACGGGTGGCAATGGGCTTTGTTGTGGATTCTGCGGTATATATGGATTCCTGGTAGTAGTTATTGTTGTTGTTGTTGGATGGTGAATTATAGTTTTGATTGGTTTGAGTTTTAGTATCGATTGGTTTTCGCGTAGGCTTCTGTGTTGTCATTGACGGCAGACTGTCCTGGTAGTAGTTGTCGGAGGAGGGAGCATAATTCTGACTGCTTGGTTGCTGATATGAAGGTTCCGGTGCCTTAGTCTCAACAGGTGTCGTCAAATAGGAACTGGTGGTGCCTGTGCCTAATCTATTGATTGGTGATTTAGTAGTTGGTTTCTTGTTGGCCGGTCTCTTCGTTACCAAATTCGGGCGAGTCTTCACAGGTTTTAAGGTGGTGGTGGTTGTGCTGGGCTGATATATTGGTGTGGTGAGTTTGTTTGTGGACATAGTAATGGGTTTATATTCCACAGAGGAATCAATGTTTCCCTCCACCTTGGTGGTGTGAGAAGACACTATCACTTCGTGGGGCACTTGTGGCTGCTGCTGTCCATAATTCTGAGATGTCACCACCCCAATATAGGTGGCCACAGGATGGGGTTTTTTGGTAATAATTTGAGCTGGTTGCTGTGTTGAGTATGAGCTACTTGTAGCAATTTTTTCATTGTCCAAATTATCTTCTTCCATGTGGGACATATCAACGGGGTAGGCAATACCCATTGCAGGCATTTTGTTGAAGTCAGAAGTGTGATGGTTCGAGGAGATTTGGTCGTTGTAATTAGTCTCGGGCATGGTGTGGTCTTCTTCCAAAACCAGTTCGTCGGCATAGTGTCCGTTGGTGGTAGTAGTGGTTTTAGTTGTAGAATCTTCCGATGTCGACGACGACGACCCATATAGCGGCGTGGCCGTTTGCTTTTCGTTGTGCTCTGGTTCGGCTTCGGACACGGGCACATACAGAGTAGTCTGCTCTTGAGTATAGTCTAAAGCTGGGGCATTCGTGGCATTGATAATTTCATATGCAAACGTGGACGATTGTGGATTAATGATGTTATATGTGGGACCATGGCTACTGTTGTTCAACTGTTGGATGATGGTTTCAATGGAGTCGACATGTGTGGTGATGGATGAAGAGGTAGCTGTGGTGGTGTCGTACGCACTATTACTGATCGGCGTCTTTTCGCTGGCTTCAGGTGCCGGCACAACAACTGGTTGAGGACCATATCCAGTGGAGAATTGTAAATCGTTTTCGACTAGAACGGCATCGGCTCCTGGGTGAGTTATATCACTATGACTGAATGTTCCAGCGTTGTACAGGTTATCCTTGTTGTGTGTTTGTGTGCTCTCGTATTCGGAGACGTTGTCTTCAGTGTTAGGCAAATCTGTAGCAGGGCTGGCATGACTCTCTTCAAACGACTCGGACTCAGAGCTCTGATGTTCGGTTAAGCGATTTACAATTTTCGTGGGTATTTCGGTGGTGAAGGATATCTGTTGGTTGCTGTCGTCATCCTCTGGCGGTAGTGTATTCAATGCCTGCATCACAAAATCGTCGTTCTGCGGAGCCTGAGGACTAGCAGATGAAGACATTTTCGAAGGGTTATTTAGAGCAGTTGACATAGGGGGTTCCCGTGATGAATCGCTAACATTTTCGGTGCTCGATTGGCCACTGTAGTCGGCTTCGGTACTGGAACTGGCTTCGGAATTTTCCGTTGAAGTATCAGCATTGGTGGTACTGCTTGTCTGTTCCAAGGTGTCCAGCAGCAATTGCTGGTCGTCATTGTTACTAACATTGCCCGAACCGTAGGCATTCTCTTGTGATTGAGCTTGAACTGAATTTTCCGCAAAATTTTCATAGGCCTGAGAAACGATTTTGTTTGTTTCCGTTTCCTGTTGTTGCAGCTTATTCTGTTGATACTGTTGGTAGTAGGCATTTTGGGCATCATTAATAAGTGTGCTTTCTGGTTGTTGTGTTTTCGGCACTTGACAACAGGCACCGAATAGGAAGCCGTCCATACATGCTCCCACTACTTCACCATTGCGTTGGGCACACTCGTGATTGAACATGCATATCGTTGGTCCACTGGATCTGGGATCGGAACTAGGCAGTGTTTTAGTTGCTCGACATTGTTTCGGGGTGATGCGATATCCACCAAAGAGTTTGCGTCCCTCTGCAACGGTAAACAAGAAGAAGAAGAAGAGTGTGAATAAAATATGTTTGTAATATATTTGTTCGTTGAACATGCAACTAGCTAGCGATGATAAAATCACAAGAGCTACATAAATGAGTACCAAGAGAATTATTAGAATTTTATTTTTAGTTTTTAATAATTAATGGGAAAAATATAAAATAGAGTCGCTTAACACATTAAAAGTTTCAATAGACATTTTTCGCATTATTTAATTGTTGTTGTTAACCTTGAATGTTTATGTATTTTTGCCTTAGGTAGACCCAGATACTTTCTCACTCTTCCAAGTAAAAACAAAATTAAAAAAGAAAATGTTTAACATTTTGAAGAATTGTACCATCACCATCGATCATCAATAATTTGGTACACCGACGGTTCAAATTCAACAATTAACACTTTTAAAACGTGAAACTAGAAACTGGGTCATTGGTTCTTTATTTTTTTCTGAATAGCTGGAGACGACTAAAGGTGTTACTAGAACAAGTAAAAGTTTCTTTTTTTGTTAATGCATGTATACGCATTTGATGTGCGGCGTGATGTTATAATACACAGATATATATATATATATATATATTAAGAGAGACTAGTGGATATCCGACATTACTAAGGATTATTTACAAAACAGTTTAAATTGTATACAAATGAAACATACACATAAACAGTTTTGTGATCAAATCTGTTGAATTTAGTATATCGCATTATTTGCTGTTTGGTATTTGTTGTCATTTTCTTCTGTTCTGTCGATTTTTTATTTTCTATGAATAATGTGAATAATTTTTCGGATGATTTGAAAACAATCAGATTCATTCACTTTAATCAATTCACCTGTACTATGGATGGATTTTTGCCATTAAGCTGTTGTGTTGTTTTCCATGATGCCATCTTGCTGTAGCCGGCATGGTCGCACATCATTGCTCTATAAGCCAGTAAACAAACAAAAAAATATACAAATACAGTATTGTCGATTCGATAATCAAATGAAAAAAAGATTATTCACTACTAAAAATGACAATGGTTGGAACCACCAGCAAAAGCAGTATGCCCGGCTAGAATCCAAAAACTATAACAACAATAAACAAAAACAACAATGTGCTGTGCTTATTCACAACAATGCCATTCATCCAACCAACCAACCAACCATCCATCCATCTCACATTCCATATTCCAAAAATGTCTTCAAGCCGAAAAAGAGCAACAACAATAACATCGGTAACAAACCACGCAAGCGCAAAACGCGTCGCACAACAAAAAAAATGAAAGTTCTCATTTACATAATTTCTCATTGGTTTTTCGAACGGTTTCACTTTCTTTAGATACAAAATTTATTTGTACTCAAGATTTTGAACTTGCGTTGTCTTTTTGCTTCGACCAATCGAATTAAATGTGGAATGCCGTTGACCCAACAAAATATTGTGCTTACTCCTGACCTAAACAATAAACCAACAATTATTGCTGGGCGCGTTTGCATGTTCTGCTTCTTCTTCATCCACTTTTCCACAACCTTAGACGTGAAGACGTTGGGTCCTTAACTTCAGTTGACAGTGAATTTCTTTTACTGCTCACGAAAGTGGCACAGGTTCGTCGTATGTGATTCGCTTATCAATTACCATTTTGATTTTATTTTATGGAGGGGGTGTTTTGTTGTTGTTGCTGGATTTTTTGAATTACCAAAAGAAATTGAAAGTGAAAAAAGAATGCACCAACTATATATGCAGTGCTGTTTCGAAATGAAATGATACGTGATTCAAAAATGTCATTTGAACAGTTTTATGGAATTATCCATGTGTTTATAGCGTTTCGGCAGGTGTCAGCCGCCAAGACTATGTAATAAAACTCGTTTCGAATAGTCAGCTCATTGATCAGTCAGAGCTTTGTTTTATTGGTGAAATTATTTTATTTATTTTCTGGCACAAATTAAAAATCTTCCTACATTGTCATATGTTTTAGTCTTAGATTGCAGGTTTCCTCAAGAGTTTCAAAAAGTTTAACACTACTCCCATCAATTGCATCTGTCTAAATGAAAATGTTAATAAAATATAAAATTATAAAAGTAATAACAATATCCGATAAGTTATTGATCTGTCCTCATATATTATTGATTTCTCATTTGACATTGACATTATTCCTGGGAATTTTTATTGAACTTCCGAGTTATCGATATCGATTATAATTTAAAAATCGGAAATTCCCCCTCATAGCTATGCTGGAAACCCTCTTCAAAATATCGAAATTTGGGTGGTGGCGTCTATATCAATATCTTTGTTACTATTTATAATAAGATGCTCAATGCGAATTGTAAAGCTCTATTCGAAAACACAGTTCGGTCTAAATTCGAAAATTACTAAATTACTTTTTGCTGATTTTTTTGATGCCAATTGGGTTAGTCGGGGGAAAAGTAGGCGACGAAAACGAAAGAGAAGAATAGTCGACTAGCGTTTGCCGTAAACTAAACTAAACTGCACATAAATGGAGCATATATAAGTATGTATGTGTGTACGTATGTATTTTTCGAGGTAGTCTCGTCACAGATGATTGCCATGCGTGGCTTTAAACGTTTACCTCCCTCCACTTCATCATCTACCAACACATGCCACATTCATCTTCTTCAAATTTTTGTTTTATCTATTCTGTTTGAATGTGCATGCGCATACTCATCTAATTATTTATGTATGTATGCCAGTAAGTGGCTTGCAATGCAACTCCAACAGCTATCAATCACCCTTTTTCTAAGACATCATCGATCACGATCACGAGCACAAGTCTTATGTCCGTCTGACCGCCTATCGGTTGCTTTAGAAATTCATTAGCATAACGAAACCAAAACATGCTGATCGTTTACCTCTAAGAACGCCAATAAAAGCCACCGCCTGCCTGGTTATTAAGTTGTGTCCTACAGTAATTGGTTATTGAATTGTCACAATGAGCGAACATGTTCGTTTAGTGTTATAATGAATGTAAGATATCGGCATTTTAATAATTAATGAATTGATTCAAACGATTATTAATAATCGTTCGATAGAACCATATCATTTTTGTTTAAAGTTGGAAGAAACGACCCGTAATTTTTGTTTGAATGAAAAAGAAAAGAAAAATGATATTATTATAATTATATGCTATGGTGGTAAGGCAGTAGGCCCAGAAGTACCATGTAGTAAGGCGGCTTTGTGCTCATTTCCGGCCTCTCATTTCTGAGTGAATAGAAATCCTTCAGAACGATCCAAATTTTTTTGTACACCAGCAATTTGAAATGTTAATTTGCTGGTGATAAAGTTTTCAATAATTGAAATCGTTATAGCATTATAAAGTGTTAATATCCCTCTTACGAGTATATAAATACAATTTTATCGTGTTTTAGTTTATCACTTATTGTGAGGGGAAAAAGACCCAGGAATAATATCAATGTGAATGAAAAAAAAAAATCATAACTCTATCGAATTTATTTGTTTATGGGTCATTATTTTTGTTTGACGTTCGTATATCGATTTATGCCACTCATCAATCATTAGTTTTATTAATTTGACCAGCAACACGCCTTCTAATAAAAGGCTCCGTTAATTGATTATTAAGTTTACCTGATTGGACTGAACATACCGCCAGCACACACTACTTCTCTTTTTTTACTAATTGTTCTAAAATAGCAACAACAAAACGAGTTCAATTCTGACATACAACGACCGCAGTGATTTACTTTTGAGATCAATGCGAGGGACACTGTAATCCAATGTCCAGCAACAGGTATTCCCAACAAGTTTATACATGCACACATACTTGCACGCATTTATGTGGAAATGAACGTTTTCATTCGTTGGGAGAATCTGGTGGTACCGGTTTTTGGGGTGCCGAGAAGTGGCTGTCGTAGTTCCACTTGAATATTATTGCGGCAGTTAAAAATGTAACAGTAACCCAAATAAAGAGAATTTCTCGACGTGTTGTCTGCAAACTAAACAACTGGCCGACCGGTATTACAACCAAGTTAAATGAAATTTTAACAGCCGCTGCTACCATTTCTCAGTGTGGCTGCATCATCGTCGTCATGATCTATGCTGGCATCAGTTTGCCTAACTAAATTGAAACGCGCAAAAATCAATTAAACTATATTTGGAGGGAGGTCACAAACATTTATTAAATAATCCATAACACCCATGATTGGATTTGGTTAATTAATAATGTTTTGGAGTAAATATAAGGGCGAATGTTAGCGTTTGCCATTTCAGGTTCTTAAGACTTATGTTCCAGATATAAGACACTACGGATTATGAGCACACAACAGTTTTACGTATATTATTCCATATTAACCTTTAAATTGGGGGATGGAATTTTAGAATAGTTTTTGGTCATTTTTACCACTATGCATTTTCTGAAATATTTTTTTTGTAGAATTTACTTATTTCTATATTATTTTGCTTTGTTTGTTTGTTCAGGTGTCACCAAATAATAAATAGACTCAAATCAATACACATAGTTCATTTATATAAAAATTTAGAAAATAGATTTCCCAGATTTTGTTTTAATATATTTGTATCAATTTCTCGATGTCAAATTTCGACAATTATCTATCTACTGGCTAGTAAGGGCTTTGTTATTTCCGCTCTGTAAAACATGAAACCTCAAAAAATAGTTCAATTTTTCTTTTCTGTAAATGGTTTCATTACATTCAAGCAAACATTTATTTCTGTAATTCCAATACCAAATTTATGTTGTTTTCTAAAACTTATAGTTGTTCCACACTATATATCTCATAAAGTCTGTTCTAATTCCCATTTCCTATAATAAATGTCGTTCTGGCGATTTCTCACCCTGCTGATGGGTATTGTCAAGTTTTTACATTTATTCCATAGGTATTCCCATGCCTTGCTTTACAGGATTCATTCAAAACCGCCATTGAGATTCCATAGAATAGTGTAGGAATTTTCTCCAATTCAAGCATATGAGACAAGATTTATTTTTCATTTGTTTTTGTCAGAAAACAACAATTTAAAAAAAATGCGACAAGTCGACCCAACTGAATGTACATTTGCCTAAACAATGCCACAAAAACTACTCGTACTTACAAATACATATTTTGTCCCTGGCTGTTTCTACAGCTCAGTTTTCGTAAAAACAGTGAAAGTAAAACAAAACAACAACAAAAATAAAAAAATGAAAATGACGAAACTCATAAAAATGAAATATTCTTGTTAAGTGCTGTGAGAAGTATTTAAACGTTAAGCATGCCGTGAAAAAATACGAAGAGACAAAGTAATGAAACATTTAGCTATACAATGTTGATGAATATCGAAAGTATTTGTCGGTCGGTTGGTCGGTCGTTCGGTTGGATGGTGTATCAATGAATGCCAAAAGTCTATTGACACATCATTTTCAAGACAATTATCCCATTCTAGCCAGTTAGGGAGAGAGAGCGAGAGGGTCGGGACATGCCATCGATGTCTATTGCATTCGTTTGTACTAGGAATCCATCAACGATGAAACGATGGAAAATTAATGTTTGAAATTATGATAATCATAATTCCATAGTACGTGGTCACAAGTAAAACCACAAAAAGATGCACTGTAATGGCCCATGTGGCAACGTGATCATGTGTGTTGTTTCTTAAGGCCATTAACGTTTGTTTGGACAGGTTCATGCAATATTACTGCCACAGTACGTACGTGTACTATCTTCGACATAACTACTAAGAGCTTCATAAAAAAACCCAAAAACTTTCCTTATGGACACACAACAGCCAACGAGCGGACGAACAATTTTTGCATGACGTCATTGTGGCATTTGGCAAACATTGAAAAGCAACAATAACTCATACAATAACTTTCACTGACAATGTAAAACAACAAAAATAAGATGTAAATTTCTTTTGGCTGACTGTAGCTGCCAAGAAGGGCCACGACCAACTATGTTTCCCAAAAATAGTTAAAGTTTTTCGTCATGCCGATACCACCGCCATAACTCATTGACGGTGGGGCGACTGAGTTATGTTGCCGTTCAGGTGACCACCACTGAATAATCTTCAAATCCTCAAGTTTTAGTTTGGTATATCGGTTCGCAGGGGTCATGAAATGCACATTCAAGAAAATTTTCTTATTTCTCTTTTTGTCTGCCACGAAGATCTGCATTTTAATGTCGTTGTTGTTGTTGCTGAATCTCATTAATATTCCAAGGTGAATGAACACTTTATTGCCAATTCACTTGGGCTGTTTTTTTACATTTTTATTATTGAAAACATTATGAGAGCATTATAACCTTGTCAGTTGGGAGCTATCATAATAATTGCCTTGTACATTAGCTATTGTGTGAGGGTGTGTGTGTGTGTGTGAAAACACATTGGGTTAATTATGTGAAAGTTACTCCCACAACGGTAGGTTAGGGTTTTGGGTGTCTTGGGAACACAACAGCATAACCTGTGAACCCCGTTTTACACGCTTACATTGCATTTTACACACTTTTTCCATGGCAAAGCCGAAACTTAACATCAAATAGAATAATCAACGTTTAAGATCTTCAACAACAAAGACAATGTGAAATAATTTAAATGAGTTCGAAATTATGTGTAAATTGTTTTAACAATAGCCCATACGAGATTCCACGGGAAGAAGTTACAAGTTGTATCGTAATATTCACATTAAGGTATTAAAAATGCCCGTTGACATTTAATTGAGATATTAAGGCCAAAATCTAAATTCCTTGGGTATAAATTATATAGATGATTTTTTTAAACAAATGTTAATCTTAAAACTTATTTAAAAATGTACATTTTGTATTAAGCGGATCCCCCATTCTCAGCTTTAAAAAATAGAATTTTATTTAATTCGAAATTACATTAATTCAAAAATGTCCCTTTAAAAATTCAAGTGGAAATATCAAAAACTCTTGAAGATATAGTAAATTTGTTATGTTAGCATCAAGCGACGCCAAGGTGGTTTCTCAAACATAAAATTAATTTTTCCTAGCAGTGTTTTTACGAACACTGTTCATGCTATAGCTATATATATAGCTAGGATAAACGTAATCGGTCAAGATCAAATGTCTCCCATTTTGATAATTTTGTTAATTAAGCCTACAAGAGCCATAGATGTAATATTTTGAATCGCTTTGGAATTTTTGGGCTTCGATGTTCTAGTAATCGTATTTGTATTTTTGTTTTATTCCACATAAGGTTGTAATTATCTTGTCCTAGGGTACTGTGCAGTTCTAATAATTAATAGCACTGACACGCTTTATACACATTAACGAAATTGTTACAAAATAATCTCTGTGGTTCATCTTTTTATTAGTTTATGCAACTTTTCTTATTTTTATTCTTTAAAGAGATGTAAACTTTATTAGCCAGCTTTGTCGTGCAGATAACATATTTGACACACTGCCAGGGAAATTTAATTTTGATTTTTACCAGCTGAAAAGAAGTGTGCAACAGATTGCACATATATTTCAAATGCATACACATACATATGTATGTATGCGTCACATGTAAAGAGGTGTATTCTAACCTAAATATCCACTTAACAATCAAGTTTTCATTTTTTGTGTCAGATTTTTGTTTATGCTTTAGAAAATGGATTTTCGTTTTCATGTTATCCCATTTACACGTCTTAATGATGTTAAGATAATTGGTGGAGTTCTTTGTTGGGCGAGGTGAATTTAGTTAGGTGATCAGTTTTAAATGGTTGTCGGTTTTGGTTAGGATTTGATAGCAGGAGGTTCTCCATTGTTTACATATTACACACATTGGAGATTCTCCTGACAGAAAAAATAATAGTCTTAATTTTTAATTTATCTTTACTGAATGTTTTTTATATATTTTCAATTTAACTATCAGGATCCTTTGTCATTGGTAAGAATTCATAATGTTCAATCTCACAGTTCAAAACTATACCTAATGACAGTTATATCACGGGCCATGTTAAAATATTTATGTAATATATTAAATGCTGAAGATGATAATTTCTATAGCTATTGGTATTTTGATTACACCCTGTCCAAATTTTTTAATTCATTTTTATCTTAATAGGCCTATTATGCGATGCTAAATTTCCATATTTCTTACGTAAGACTTTGACAAAAAAAACTGAACTTTTCCATTTGTGGAATTTTGCCCTGTGGCATAGTTTTGTAAAATCCACCCCTTTTTCAAACGATAAATAGCTTCACATTTTGTAATACTAAATATGAAATGACGTCCAAATTAAATACCAATGATTCGACATTTAAAGTCGATTGACATTTAAAAAATTATGTAATGATCACATTAAATGGTTTCTGTGTCGTAAATGTTTGAAACTGTTTAATCATTTTTTACGAAAGATGTGTATAAGATGCATATTAATTTAGTAAATTCTGTCGGATCAATTGAAATAGTATTTTTAGAATCTTATCCATCCAGATTTTTTTAAATCGAATAACAGAGCTTTTGTTGTATACGACGAAATTTAAAGTGCTTACATCACCGTGCTTAACTTCCTGATTTGTAGAAATAGTTTTTTAGAATCTTATCCATCCAGATTTTTTTAAATCGAATCACAGAGCTTTTGAGGTATATGACGGAACTAAAACTGTTTACATCACCATGTTAGCTTCCTGATTTTTGTTAAATAAGCATTTTTCTTTTGAAATTTAAGTTAAATACACAATGGAATATATGTTTCTGTTCCTGTGCACAAATTTTCTGTTTCTGACTTTACAAATGGCTAGTGTTTGAAGCCGAGGGTAATCGGACCACTCCTTCTAATGGTCAAAAGAAAGAAAGAAATAAAGAAAGAGATTTTTTAATCTCATAAGAAACAAATGGAATATCCAATTTCATTCAAATATTTTAACTTCTTCTGACACCTTCCCTATAAAGTGCAATATCAAGCGAATGTAAAGTCCGATTTGATCCCAACTATACACATCTTAATATTGTTGCCAAACCTATTTCAAGTCCGAAAATGAGACCCATCGGTACACTTCTTCTAAAAAAGTGAAAACATTAAGAAAATGAAAATGAAAGATCAAGTTTGATGATTGGATCTATGAGTCCATACCCCAAAGTGTCAACGTTTTGAAAAATTTTGGCCATTCAAAGTCATGT